GCTCACACAATAGGAGTGGGGTGGGAAATATACTGAGCAATCCTCGAAACCTGAGAAAGACAGGGGTCTTAGATTTACGTGGCTGATTTGGGGGGAAGCATGTTTGGGGTTGGGTTCTACTGGGGCATGCGCAAAAGAGCATGTTCTTCATATTAGCATGTCTCATTAGCATCTTGAGTCTCCATTTGGGACTGTAAGTTTCAGCCAGCTAATGAGACCGAGGCCACTTCTAGGTCAGTCTCCTGCCATCTGAATCAGTGTGGCCATCAGGTTTTAGCTAGTTCTGGATTCATCTTGGAAGACAGGAAACTTCTGCAGGGTAGAGGGTCTTTTTCTCTCTGGTGATTTGCTGGCCTGGCTGTTTAGCCTGGGGGCTCAATAACAGGAAGTTTAGGTAAGCAAGGAAAAGTTCTAAGGAGTCCTGTAACAGAACCTATTTCTCTCTCTGCATAGCTAGTATTGCCAACTGTGGGTCCAGCACCTAATGGCACAAAAAGTGTGCCAACAGCTTATGAACCAATTCAATGTAAATTAACCTAACAGGAAACTAGAGGCAAGGCACAAATCAGTCTTCCCAATGATGGGATTTTGACAGTATTTATGGGGTGGAGGAGTAAAGAAAAATATTTTAAAATGCAAGTTGATAGTCTGATTAGTTGTTTTCTGCTAAATCATGATGTAAATTTGGATCCAGAACAGCAACAAAACAAAGCACACCTTGCTTCTGAAGGTTGTCCTTCTCACCATGAACCAGGCATCTTAGTTCCATCTTCCAGAACTATTTTTCAGTCCAGGCAATGAGAGGTCACCTCAATGACACACACACTCTCTGAGTCTGCACTCTGAAACACAACTTGTCAACTTTTGAAAAAACTCGGTGTTTGCCCCCTCATTTAAAATGGGTAGGGGTATTTTGTCCCGTTGTTACAAGCCTGTGCTGCTGTTCTTGAAAGATAAGCAGAAACCAGAAAAGGCCATTGAGATTTCAGTAGTGTCAGAATTGAGTTGAATTCTTGGAAAACAGGCTGGGTGTCCAAGAATTGCTTGCTGGTGTGCAGAAGCCTCTACACACGCTCATGCTAGAATTGGGTGCAGGAATTCTTTTCACTATTAAAAATCCATTTTCTCTTTGCTGGTAAGGAAGGGCACCCTTAGAAGAAGGTGAGGGGAAACTTTTGAGGGAATCACCCTTCCCCCACAGTCAGTGCAGGAGTCTGGAGTGGGCTCTAAGGATGACCTGTCTGACCAGTTACAGGACTCCAAGCTCTTTCCTCTACATCATGGATTTCAGACTTGAATTGTGGGAAACAAGATATGATGCAGAACCCCAATCTATTTTATTAATTTATTTTTTACATTTAATTTTATATTTTTTACATCATTTTTCATTTTTGCACAATGTATGCATTTTCATCTTGGTTATAGTCCCCAAACAATTCTCACCCCGCTTGTTTTGATCCTACTCCCTTCTCCCCCCATCCCCCAATGTGTCTCCAGTTTATCGATTCTTGTTGATTTTGATTTTTACTTTATTATAATTGGTCTTTTTTCTGGTCCCTTATTTAGGTTTTCTAAATTCCTGTTATGAGTGAGACCATCCAACCCCACTCTATTTTTAACAATCAGAGGAGAGGTGAAGGGTCCAGATAGCTCCAAATTCTACCCTTTTGGCCTGCAGGTGGCTAGTCTCTGCAGGGAGTAATGAGTTAGAGAGCAGGAACTAAAAGCATGAAAAGTTAAGTAATGATAATTAAATATGACTGGATTACAATAAAAGAAATGTCTAGAGCCTTGCCACTTATTAGAAAAATGTTGGAGGGGGCCTCCCCGGTGGCGCAGCGGTTGAGCGCTGGGTTGCGAAGCTGCCCGCAGCCTCGGCAGGGCCGGTTCGATCCCCGGCTGCTCCCCGGCCACCAGAGGAGGGTCCCACATGGCACGCAGACCTCTCCTGCCGCCCGCTGCTCCCCTCAGCAGTGTACTTCAGTCCTTCTGCCTGCTCTGCTCCCCGCTCTGGCTCTGGTGAACTCTCTCACCCTCCCACGCTTCTGACTGTACCCAGTGCTTGTATAAATAAATAAATAAATATTAAAAAAAAAAAACAAAAACAAAAACAAAAAAAAAAGAAAGAAAAATGTTGAAGGAAAACCTCTCCACTTCTAAGTCTTACTTGGCTAAGACCCTCAGGACAACTTTTCTGAAACATTCTCCTGCATTATCTTGTGCGCACACACACACACACACACACACTCATCTCTCAGCTAGATCAGAATTTCCTCTAGGCATTTCTTACTATCATTGCACAGGCCTGTCGCTTCACCTAGCTGGTTTCTAAAGATAAATATCTTTTCTACAACTCACGGTTATGAGTCTCTTAAGGGACCCTCCACATTCCAAAGAGATTCTTCCTACCCCAACATTTTCTTCTAGTGCTCCCTCCATAGGTGTCAGCCCTGCAAGATAATCTAAAAACTCTTCCTGCCTCTGTACTCCTACTCCCAGGAAATCTCCTGCACAAAAAAAAAAAAAAAAAAAAAAAAAAAAACCTATCTTGGCATCTGCCTCTTAGCAAATCCTAATACATTTATAAGTGTTTAAAAAAATGAACAACAGGCTAAAATGGTGTTATTCATTCCAGACCCCACCAAGACTTAATACTTAATTTAGAGTTTTAGCCTCTCCCCAAAGGGGAAGGCTAACCAATCAATCAGGTGTTTCTAGTTTAGCACCATAAAGTAATCTGCAAGATAAGGCCCTCTTGCCTTCCCTTGCAGGAAAGGTAACTATAACTATGTCTGAAATAATATTTCTTTTCTTTTGTTAATAACTTTTCCCCATCCTCTTTCTGTCTATAAAACTCTCTGTCCCTTGTTGATGGAAAGTTGTCCTAATTCATGAATTGTTTAATAAAACCCATTAGAGCTCTAAGCTTGTTCTGATGAATTTTGTTTAACATAAAGAATTGCTTTGTTCTACCATATTTACATTAACACTAGTCTATGCATTTAAAATATTGTCGTACAACCTATGAAGCTATCCACAGCTACTGCAGCACAAGTCCGATCCCCAGCTAGGGAGCAAAACCACATGTTGCAGCAGACCTCTCCTGACTAGCCGGCTGCTCCCCTCAGCTGTGTATTTCAGTACATCCGCCTGTTCTGCTCCCCACTCTCTCTGGTGAATCCTCTCACCCCCCACACCTCTGGACTATACCCCAGTTCTTGTATGCATGAATAAATAAATCTTTAAAAAAATAAATATTGTTGTATTAGTTGACAAGATGAAGCCTAATGAACTGGTAGGGAAGCAAAACTATGTCACCCCCAACCGTCTCTTGGACATAAGGTTTGTTTCATAACAGGGGCTCTGAACACTGGAAGGATCTTGCCTTGTTGTAAAAGAAACTTACATGTTTAAAGGAAAATGTCCCTTTCTACGGGCCATGACTCTCAGTATTCCAGGAAGACCCACTCTCCCTCAGTTATCATTTGAAAAGTTTGCACTTGCATCTGCACAGCATTGTCCTGCTTGCCTGTGGCTTTCCTGGTGACTTCCCCTGGTTGACCATCCTCCCTCTTCCTCCATTTCCTTTGCCTCTAGCTAAAAATACGTAAGGCCATGAGGGTGAGTTAGTCAGTCTTACTGGGTCTCCCCCATGCATACAGGACATACATATGTTAAGTCAAACTTCTTTTTGGTTTTTTCTCTTGTCAATCTGTCATTTATTTGATTATTTGCCAGTCTTTCCAACCCAGAGGGATATGGTAAGATCTTCCCCTGCACCACCAAAACTCCTATCTTTCAGGTATTGAAATAATTAATTTTCCTATATTAAAGTATGACTTTGAAAAAAAAATGACTAACATTGCCCTATTAGGTTATAATGATATAATTGGGACTCTTCCTTTGTCTTGCCTTCTTGTCCCTCTTTTTTTTTTTTTTTTTGCAAGGTAACAGAATAGTGGATAAAAGTTTCAGCTCTGAAGTTATCTGAAATCTAATCACAGCTAAACCACTCCGTGGCTCTATGATCCTTGGGAAATGGCTTCTTCTCTTTAAACCTCCATTTTTGCTCTTTAAAATGGGATGATGCTTCCTCATCTCTAAGCAATACGTTTAAAAATGAATACCCACCATGGAGAATTGTTTTATTAGTTAATTTTCCGGTATTATATGCAATGAAAGACCTATTATGACAGATTTAAAAGAATGTTGCAAACCAGGAAGTCCTTTGAGGAATTTGTTTTCTTTGAATGAAATAAAATGAACTAATAAACCATTGCCTTTTATGGAAAATCGAGGTTGATTCACATCAGCAAGTGAAAGCTGAAGACTTGTTTATGGCTGTTTGTGATTTATTAACACAGTCCATGGTATTAGAAAATAAGTTCTTGACATTTCTTCCATAGAGTTTGGTTAAAAATACTCTGCCTTTCAAAACGTTTTCAACTATTTTCCAGAATATGCCAGAAAGGCTGCTGTATTGGTAACTAATCCATTTTCAATCAGTATCAGTTCATATCTCCTTTCAACACGAGAGCATGTGGAGTGGGGGCAGCAGCACCCGCCTGGAGCGCACAGAACCGGGCATGGAGGGTCGGTGTGCTCAGCGTGCTTCTGAAACCGCAGCCTAAATTTCAAAGCCAGAATCACGAAGCACCTGTTGTCACAGGGCCCAGGACAGAAGGAATGTTCAGGCTGAAAGGAGCCTTTGGCAACGGGACTGGCGGGACAGGATCGTGGAAAAGGCGCCTGCAAGCGCGCTCCAAGCCATAAGCGGCAAGTTGCAGCTGCTTTAAAGCCTCGGGGAGCCTGGCATACTTCTTTTACCCACCACGTTCAGATCACACCCCAGAAAGAGGGAACCTCACGTTTGCATGCCGCCTTGGGGGCGCTGGAGCCGCTATTGTGATGTGGGCTCGGGGTCCTGCGCGCGCCACGCTGGAGGCCCGGAACCACACCCCCAGGCTCCCGGGGCGTGGCGGGCACGTGTGCGGGGCCCCGCGGCGGTCTAGGCTCTGGGCGAGGCTGGGGCCACGGGCTGAGCGGAGGACTCATCCGAGGAGCGGCGCTGAGACCACGAAGCGGACCCTGGGGTCTTGGGTGAGTCCCCTCTCCCCTGCGCCTGCGGAAACTGCAGACCTCAGGAGGGATTCGGCTGGGAGGACGCGGGCCGGGTCTCGAGGGTGGGGGAGAGAGCAACAGGCCCGAGGAAAAGGGAAAGGCAGAGACCGGAGGCTGGAGCTGGAGGAAGTGTGAAGGCGCCACCCTCCCAGTCTGGCTGGTGTCCTGGCTCACCCGCACAGAGCGGCCCTTTCCCCTGACTTCTCTGGGACTTCAGAGCCGGCTTCTAAGGATCCTTTCCCCAAAATGATCAGAATCAGCGATTGAGCAGAAGAGAGTTGGGCGATTACATTTACTTTATTCTCTTCTTATGAAAGCAACTGGGTTGTGTTTCTGCATTTTTTAATGTTGTTTTTAGTGTCTTTATTTCTTCTCCATGTATTTCTCTCAAGTCGATCTCCTGTACAGAGCTGCTTCCCACACACCCCCACCCTCACCCCCACCCCCATACTTTTTTTTTTTTTTTTGGAACTTTGCCCTTTGAAGAAAAATTGACTGAAGCAACCTGATTTCTCTGCACCCAGTGCCCCTGCCTGTGCTTAGAAATATAAGTGCTTGGGCGGTGACATTCTCAATTCACATTAAGCCTTAGACTGGAAACATTCTAAGCTTTTGCTTCTGATACAACCTATAAAGAATTCAAAGCATAACATTACCAAGTTGGTTTAAAACTGGATTTACAAAATATAGTTCATTTTCCTCAGCAATTGAACTTTTACCCCATTTCTTCTTGTAGGAGCTTCACAGTTCACAAAGTCAGCAGACTTTGCTCATTTATTTAGTATATTGCTCTGTGGAAAGCTAGATTTTTTAAATTGTTCCTGCCCCCAGATGACTTACAGGGTAAAAGATGAGCCAGAACATCTTGCTAATAACTCTGAAGTAAGGTTTTTAATGAAAAGCATGTATGGGGGGGGGGCGCGAGGGGGGGGAGCAGGAATTCTAGGTAGTATGAAATTATTTTCTTTTCGCACTCAAATTTTATTAATATGTCAGTCATTTACATAGCTATATAACTTGGGGACTACATCTCTACACCTCCATGTGTGCACAATCTTCACTTTCCCTCCATCAGAATTCCTATGCTGATGTCCCTCTGGATCAGGGAGTGTGTGCTAGCTCTTAAAGAGAGTTTTCAAAGCCGACTGACTAGACAGAAGGGCTGAAGTAAGCGACAATTGCATTCCAAACGAGGGAACCACAGGAGAAAGGCAAGCAGGTGGGACAATAGTTAGGACAACAGGGGAACAGTGGGGTTTTAAGTGCCCTGGAGAAAGAATAGAGACTGAACCTGGGAGTTCCTGACTTAATCCTATGGAAGCCAGGGACAAGTTACTGGCACTTTCTGAGCACCACAAAGCTAAGATATGAAATGGCCTTGCCACGGAAAGATTATTCTGGCAACCTGTATAGACTGAAGGGGCAGAAGAGAGCAGGGATTAGGACAGTGATTGCTAACTCCCCTCGCACACCCTTCCAACCTCTATGTTTTAAACTTTTTGAAGAGCAATCAAAATGTACTTAAATACATGTAATTTGGTTTCTCTCAGTCAAATCAGGTATAAAACTGAGCTTCTGAGCTCTGACCATTTTTGAATATCCGCTTATTGCCCTACAAATTGCCCTATAAATATGAAATAAATACATAGAAAAGTACTAGAAGTTTATTAGTGTGAACAGCCTAGTAGTGGTCAGTTTAAGAGCTTCTTAGTGCTGAACTTAACTCTTGGCCCTTTTATCACTTGAAGCTTCTTGAGCTTCTGTGGGCCTCTCTGACCTGTGGTTTGTGCCCACTAACTTAGATAAGAGGTAACAAAGGGTGAGTTATGAGGAGGGGGGCAGGGAGGTGGGGAGCGGAGGATTACAGGGGAAAAAAAGATAACAGAATTGAAATGACTTAGTCCCTGAATAGATAAGAGTAGCAAGGGTTGGGAAGAAGGTGCCAGTAGAGCTGAGATGACAGGAAAGAAGATGCTGGTTAGGGAATAGTAATAAATGCTAATAGCCTATAGCCATCAGGTCCAGACTTCATGGAGGAGAATCAACTTGTATTGACCATGAGCCTGGCCCCTGTTGTGAAACACTTTACATGAATGCATTCATTTCATTCTTTCAGCCACTCTGTGAAATGTAATTCTATTATCTGCACTTACAAAAGGAGTAATAGAAGTACAGAGAGTTTAAGTAATGGACCCAAGTTCCCCTAGTTGGTAAAATGGTAGAGCTAGGATGCAGATCTCTGAAGTCTAACTCTAGAGATTGTACTTGAAACTCCTCTACTATAAGGAGGAAAGAATTTAGAGGTCAAGAGGGCAGATTCACTTTGGGTATCTTGGGTTGAGATGTTTCTAGGAGTGCAGTGAAGATAAGCAGCAGGTGGAACAACAACCTGGTTCCACGCTCAGAAGCTGGTCTGAGATAGGGCCTGTGTTACTGACCTGGCAGGTTCACAGGCCAAGTAGTAAAGATGATCCCATGAAGCCTAAGGAATTAGTATGCAAATGAGAGCCAGGGACCCCAAACTGTGAAGTCATCCACATATTTATCACTTGTTGATTCATCATGAATGTCCAGCAGAGCCATCAGTCTAGGCAAAGCAAAAGCAAGTGAAAGATATTTCCTATCTTGGGAGCTGATCCCATAGGGGAGAGGTGAATAGATCATTGTGATAAAGTTTATGTGGTTTACTAGAGCTAAGAAAATAGGGCAAAACTGGTCAAAATTATGCCAGTTTTGGTTTTTGCTTATATCTATTCAAGGATGGGAAAACCTGAAGTCAGACTGAAGCCTTTAGAATGTGAGTGCTGGTATTACATGAGATTCCTACTTAAAAAGAATATATGGAAAGAAAGAAGAATTTCCCTTGTGTATTCACCATATTTCAATTTAAGTGATAATAGTTCTTCAGACATTTGACCTCCCCAAATTGATGTTCTTTCTCAGGTCTGTTGTTTGCTTACTTCTGCCTTTTGAGGTTTCAGATTGACTCAATCATCTATAGAGATAAAATGGGAGAAAAATATCTGATGATTTCTTCTTGCCTATCTTTAAAAAATCGTTTACTGCCCTATAGAATTAGGCTCTACAATTTTATATTCTTTTCACTTGCTTTGTATTCTTGTAAGCATTTTCACCATTCTAACTGGAAATGGACTTTGCCCTGCAGTTTTATCATTAATTAACATTCCTTGAAGAAGGAAAGGAATTACATTATGTTTTCCAAACTTTTTTTCAGAAGCTCAATGGCCTCCCCAAAGAAGAAACTTCAAGGTCTTGTGGCCGCCACCATCACACCGATGACAGAACATGGGTAACTATCATTTAGGATCTCAAGGGATCTGTTCTCTCTCCACCAAAAATAGACCGAGGTTCTCTACACTGACAGCCATTTTAACTGTTGCCAAATGGCAAGCTTCCATTGAACATCCCCTTCCACAGTTTCTGACCAGTCAGAGAGAGATCTCTGAATAACAGTGTCGAAAAAGGGGAAGGAGGACATGGCAGCTGCCTTTCTCCCAGTGTCTGTAGAGTCGCAGAGTAAATTCTCTGGGATTTCCCACAGACGTGGCTCTCCTGGAAACAGGCAGTAAAGCTGGACAAGGAGAATCTCATTTTAGCAGGATTTGGTGTCAGGCAGCCCCTCTAGATCCTGTCTCCAGGAATATGAATGTCTCCAGCCCAGGCTGTTCATAGACTCAATGAAAGTGTCCTGTCCTGAGCAGAGTCGGGACAGTGGATAGCTGCAGGTTTACATGCATGTTTACAGTCTCTTTTGTACATTGGTTAAATGTTGGGGTGCCTGTAGGAGTGAGAGATAACAGCAGATGATTGCTGAGAAACTATTGCCCAAGCAAGTATTTTAATTTGCAGGTGAATATCGTGACAGCCCTTTTGCTTGTACTAGCAAGTAATGGTCTGATGACTCTGCTCCAGAGATCACCATTAACAAGAAGAGATTCCACCAGTGGATTTAAGTGTTTTTGAATCATTAGGAGTCAGGCTGCCCAAACAGGATTTCTGATTTCTTAAAGCTTCTCCTTTCTTTCTTTATAAAATGTGATAGTCATCATACCTACATTGAGGCATTATGAACATTAAATGAGGTGACACCATGTAATAGGGCATAGCACAGAGTCAGTAATCAGTCTATAAGTTGGAAGTGCAATTGTGGCACAAGATAGAGGTAGAGGGCCTCCTTGGTGGCGCAAGGGGTTAAAACGCAACCTATGAAGCTGTCCACAGCCTCTGCAGCACAGAGTTCTATCCCCGGCCTGGGAGCTACCCACATGGCACAGCAGACCTCTCCTGACTTGCCCACTGCTCCCCTCAGCAGTGTATTTCAGTCAATTCACCTGTTCTGCTTCCCACTCTGTCTCTGGTGAATCCTCTCCCCCCCACACACCTCTGGCGTGTACCCTGGTTCTTGTATGCAAAAATAAATAAATCTTTTTAAAAAAGATAGAGGTAGACCTAAAAGGAAGATGGTTATTTTAAGATATCTTTAAATAAGTCTTTTCATTTGAGTCTTCTTTTGCTGAATTTATAAATCTTAGCCCTACTTCTTTAAAATAGGTGAAATTTTTTTTTATGATTTTTAATATTCTCATCAAAGTTGGCCATATCAAAGTTCTCTCTTTCAATCATTGGAGTACAAGTCTTCTGGCTTCGAAGATTCACAAGAAATTATGTCTTTATTAGATTCAATAAAATTCTTGCTGAGATAGCATTCAGATACTCAGTGGTGAATAGCAGTTTTATTTTCTGTTACTTTTCCCTTTACACAAGTTGTAAGAAAAACTGAAGTCAGCTCTTTCTCAGTGCATCAGCTATTTGTTGCCAGATGAAACAGAGAACATGTGACTGAATGAGCAGGCAAAGTTACTTCCTGTTATGGAGGGAGATCCTGTTTGCAACTTTAAAACCCTATATCTGGTTGATGCCACTTTAACCTTTTTTTTTTTTTATCAGATTCCTCTTAGCCTAGATATGGCTTTTTTTTTTTTCATTTTTGCATACAAAAGCTGGGGTTTAGGCCAGAGATACAAGGGAGTGGGGGGTGGGAGGATTCACCAGAGACAGAGTGGGGAGCAGAACAGGCGGATTTACTGAAATACACTGCTGAGGAGAGCAGGGGTGAGACAGGGGAGGTCTGCAGCTCCATGTGATGTAGCTCCCTGGCTGCAGATCAGAACTCAGGCCCTCAGGCCATAGTGGTGAGACTTAACCCCTAGGCGACCAGGAGGCCCTAGAAATGGCTTCTAAAAGCAGTCTTATTTGTTTATCTGAGACCCACTAAGAGTGTCATTGTGTTCTTCCTTCCTATTCTGCTGTTTTCCTGGGACACCAGGCCCCATGTATTAGAGATAACTGAAATGACTGCTTTTCTGGATCCCCTATTTCCCAATAACTCTGTTCATGCTGCTATAGTTTTCACTATTTCCTTTTTTTTTTTCAATCAATTCTCCTTTCCTCTTCTAGGAACCTCACTTTACTGAGGTATGCAATCAAAATAAGAATGAATTTTTTGGCAAGAGCCTTTTAAGAATTAAATAATACATGTTAATATATAGCAGATAGCTATACTAGTTCCCTTTTCTCCTGCCACCTGCATCCAAACATTTTTATAGGTTCAAAGCAGGTTTGGAATATGTACCAAGAGCAGGTAGGCATTAATTTAATTGCCAACAAGGGAATTTGCATTTCTGACATGTTTTCAGGAGACTGGATGAACAAAAGGGTCCCATGGAATAGATTACCTGCAGAGTCTGCCTAATTTGGTGCATACAGTTTACCATGACTACCATAATTCAGAATAACTAAAAATTATTCCTCTGCATCCTTTTTCTTTTAACTCTAATGATTCAACTTTCTAAATAGAAGCTGATGTGCTGCAGTGGGGAAGGTGGCAGAAAAACATAGTTAAATGCAGTTTAGTTGGAGATTATCTGAGTTCTTGACCCCTAGTTTTGCCACTAATTAGCTGTTTGACCCTTGGGAGGTCTTGTCACTTTCTATTTATTATTTCTTGATGTTTTTTAAATAATTTTTTATTGACATAATGTTGGATTATGACATTATATAGGTTTCGGGTGTATTTATAATGATAAATCAATAGCTGTACATAAAACATTGTGTTCACCACTAGAAGTCTAATTTCATCTCTCACCATACAGTTGACCCATTTGATCCAATTTCCATACTCCCTTACCCTTTCCCCTCTGGTAACCAACAATTTGATCTTATAGACTAAAAGTTTGTTTTTATTTTACTTTATTTATTTGTTTGATTTCTCTATATGCTGGAGTGAAATCATGACATTTTCTGACTTACTCTGTTTTTAAAAGTTCTCTTTTATATTCTGTAAAGACAGGGAGTTCACCCACATTATCTCTGCTCCTTCTGCAGTGCTCTGGGGTTGTCTTTAGGGGTATTGTGATGATTGCCATTAAGTGAGAAAGTATCGAGAACCTGCAGACATCACACTGTAGCCCAGAGAGACTATCCTCGGAAATAATCATGTCACCCTCCTCTCTAGGAATCTCTGTTGACGCCTTTTTTCTAAATTTGGCTACTCCTTGTGTAACCCATGGACTGCTAGCCCCAACGTCACACAGGACCTTGCTAGAAATACAGACTCTCAACCTGCCTAACAACTTGCTACTGAAGAACCTGCCTTTTATCAGTGTCCCTAGAAAATTCTTTAGTGCATTGAGTCTGAGATGAACTGATCTAAATGTCCAAGCCCAGAATCCTTGGGTGTCATAAGCAGTTCCTCTCCCTTTCCTGCTTCATTTCTACTTCCTCATAACCCTTGTCTTCATTCTGTGCCTTTACTCATCCTGTTTCCTCTGCCTTTTTCTGACACCACCTTCTCCTTCCTCTACTCCATTTGAACACATCTTTTTTATACATAAGAACCACCCTCTGGTGATTCTTCCCATTTTCCCTAAAGAGTTAAAGAGTTCCTTCCCCCAGGATCCCATAGTACCCTGCATACCTTTCTCATAATATCAGAATTATTTGCCTATAGGTTTTATAGTTATTACACACCTATCCCTACCAATAGGCTTTGAGATATTTAACCTTTTTCAACAGGTATTTATTAAGTACACGGTAATACATTAGAATTGAGCACGTCTTACTTGCCTCTGTATCTTAAGCATCTAACACAGTGTGTGATAGATTTGTTATTTTGTGAGTGGAAATACTGCAAGGGTGAATAATGCTGACAGTCGAGAAGAGGAAAGAGAGCTAACACTGATTGCCTAAGCACTCTGTGTCATGCCTGGCAGTTTAATTTACATCTTCCAATTTAATCTTCTCAACAACTTCCTTCTGTAGTTTTACAGTTGATGAAAACAAGATATCAAAGACATACTTGCCCTCAGCCACATAGCTGGAAGGGAGGCGCCTTCTCTACGCTCCCCAAACCTCATCTTTTTCTCCATTAAAGTCAAAGACTTTTGCTTTAGTTGTTTCAAAAAGTCAATTTTTCCTTCTAGCAGGTCCACGGTCTTTTTTTAAGATTTATTTATTTATGCATACAAGAACTGGGGTACAGCTCAGAGGTGTGGGATGTGAAAGGATTCACAGAGAGAGTGGGGAACAGAACAGGCAGATTGACTGAAATATACTGCTGAGGGGAGCAGCGGGGGAGTCAGGAGAGGTCTGCTGTGCCATGTGGGTTGCTCCCTGCAGTGAATGCGGATGGCTTCATAGGTTGCGTCTTAATCCTTTGCGCCATCAGGGAGGCCCACAGGTACACAGTCTTTAGAACAGAAAGTCCATTTCAGATTGACCAAAGGTCAAGAAAAAGTTGTTTTCTTCCTTGAATGTCCTTGACTTCAGCAGGGGAATCTTTACAACACTATCTAGTAACACCACCCCTGTTAACCCAGTCAGGGGGACTTGGCCTGCCTAGTTGGAGTTGTAGGTTGCTGTCTTTTTAAGTGTGTTGCAGGTGAAGTGTCCCAGATTCCCAGAACTAAGCATTTCCTAGCAAGCAAGGTGGGGAGGGGGCAGCCACGGAGCCCCTGCATGCTTCTCTGCTCCAGGGCTTCTGAGCAGTTATTTTGCCAAAAGCAAACAACCCCCCATCTTTCAAATGCTGAGACTTATATTAAAAAGATCAAAAAAATGGAACGTTGTATTTTCTGTTATGCATGCCAGATCCTGAAGTTATGAAAAGGGCCACCAGGACTGTTGACTGTTCTCGAATGAAGTGAAAGTCTTTCACTGTGTCATGAACCAGGAGAGGAAAGGGACAACAGTAGGATTTTTCTCTGAAATGTGACTTATACTCTGAAATATTATCCTTATACCCTAAGAGTAGATGTGTAATTTGCATCTGGTTTCACCTACTAAGGGTCTACACTTGTGACAAAAACAACTTGGGACCTCCCTGGTGGCACAGGCAGTTGGGCACCGCACTGTGAGGTGCTCACAGTGTCCGCAGCCTCTGCAGCATGGATTCGATCCCGGCCAGCTGGTGAGAGTCCCACATGGCAAAGCAGACCTCTCCTGTCTTGCCCGCTGCTCCCCTCAGCAGTGTAATTCGTCAGTCTGCCTGTTCTGTTCCCCACTCTGTCACCCTCCCATGCATCTGGCCTGTGCTCCAGTTCTTATATTTAAAAAAAAAAAAAAAAAACAACTTGATAAAAGATCCCTCCTCTTACTATAGTTGGGAGTAAACTAATTATCTAAGCATATACTGTTAGCTAAATGATTTATGTTCATTCATACAATGAAATGTTGTGCAATCAATATAGTAATAGAACTCTGAAGACGTGGGGAAATATTCAATTTGGAAAACTAAGTGAAAAAATGTTACAATACTGTGTCTGAGTACATTTATTTCAGAAAATATGATGTTATGTATTTTTGAATAGAAAAATGTTAACTTATCAAAATAATGAGTTATCATCTTCAGAAAGATCCTAAGTCTCCCTCCCCCCCTTTTTTTAATTGTGTGTATTCTAAAATAAACCATATAGCTTCTGTAATATGAAAAAAGTTAAATACTCTTACTTAAAAAGAAAATCATGGACCTAAAGCAAAAAAAAACTTGAACTCATGAAAATTGAAATTTAGACATTAAATTGGAGTTGAGTATGGGAATGTCTACAGCAACCACGGGGTTTTGTCCCAGACACTTTCCCCAAGGTGGTTGGTGGCCCTGTGTGCTCTTGGGGCTCACAGAGGAAGAAAGATACAAAACCAGTCCAAAGCTTTCTGGTGAACTGACCTGTGTCACCTCTTTCTTCCCTAAGCCCCAGTGGCCAGCCAGAAGTGAGATGAAAAATCCAATCTCATTGTTTCCATTCACCCCAGTGATTTCTGAGAAATGAACATAAATTTCTGCAGTAATGAACATAAACTCAGATACCTGGAGAGGTAGAGCAAGGTGGGAAACAGGAGAGGGAGCAAAGTCCCCAGACAGAATTACCCTGTTATCACCCCAGCCTTGCTGTTTGAGGTACCCTTGTGACAAATAGAGTCAGCTCTGGGTGATTTGCTTTGCCAAGAGCCACCAAGCCTCTCTGCCAGGTCTGCAGCCTTTCCCTACAGTCAGACAGGGATCTGAAATCCTTGAGGTAACCTGGGGGCTTCTGTACCTCCAAAAGGGGCAGCACTGCCCTCCTGGCTGCCAGCGGGTGCTCTAGGGAAACTGAATGGAAAGGTAGGCCTCCCTTACTTGGATCTTCTAGGTTTTGAAATGAAGTCATTTTTTTACATGAAGAGAAGTGTTAATATTGTGAAAGTCAAGCAAAACACACTTAGGAGCCATCCCTTTTCATGAACGCTGACCTCTCTAAAGGGACTTGGTAGTTCCAAAAGCTGTACGTTCAAGGACATTTTTGAGTGACTCTGCCATTGCCTCAGAAGCTATCATAGTGTTGCCCTAACAGGGTATGGCATTTTATAGGAAGGGGGAAACTGTGCTTTCTGGAAGGGATAGATAATGTGTCGCCCACTAGACTCCTAGCCTATGCAAAATTGCCATAACCTGTCATCCAACAAGGCCTGAAGGAGGGAGGTGGGTCATTGTAGACAGATGCACCACCCACTAAAGCAATACAGTAGTGTGGGGTTCACTGAGGAAGGAGAAAGAACTGTGGATTTCACTCACTGGCCTAGATGTGCCTGAGGGGCTGCCAGTTCCCCAAAATGACCAACCACAGCTCACAGGAATGTGAGGGGAAAGGGCAGGGGGCAGTGCCATAGGGTTCCATCCTGTTTATCATTTGAGGACTACCTCTTCCTTGAAGTTTTCTTCCTAACCTCCCTAGTTAGAATAATCAATTCCTCTTATGAACCCCTTAATTTTTAACTCAGTCATAGCTTTCATCATAATTTCCTCTGCATTTTAGTTATCTATGCTATATTCTTTACTCAATTCATGTAATAGCCAAAGTTAAAGCCTCCTGCAATTTTGGGGATCATGGATGATCAAGTATCAAGGACACAGCTGCCTCCTTTGGGAAGTTGTCACTCCAGCCTGGGTACAATCTACAGGACAGTCGCAGTAATAGAGATGTGAACTTTGCTGGGGTGCGAGATATTTCTGATTTTCATCTCTGAGAGATTGTCAATGCAGTCATGACTGAGCATTTAATTGATGCCAGGGACAACACTGAGTGCCTGTGCTGGAGTGGTCAGTAGGGGCCCACTTGGTGGCAGTCACCCTGCTGAACTGGATTTTTTTGTTTCCTATCTGCATCAGGTTTTTCCATTTTGTTTTGTTACTTAAGGAATAAGATGAAAAGAATGCTAATAATATTTAAATTAAATTGTATTCACTAGACCCACAGACAAAATTGCAAATGGCAGCAAGCGGTAATTTCTGGGCATGGTAACCATGGATTCTGTAACATTTAACACAGACTTGCCACACAGTGTGCCTTTGGCACTCCATCCCCTATCCTCCTTACTTGCATCTTGATTGAGGACAGGTCACTTTATATGATTTGTGTCAGTTTCTAGATTTTAAAATCAGTATGAATTTAAGTAAGGAGCCCTGAGTACTCATACAAGATCAGTGTCTTCACATTGCAAAATACACCGAAGGATCTTGTTCTGGTGCAGATCCTGGCCGGGCAGGACTTGAGGGACCTAGACTCTGCATTTCTAACAGACTCCCCTGGATGCTGAGGCTGCTGTTTTGTGGGTCACACTTTGAGATACAGTAAAGGCAGAGGTCCTTTCTAACTGTTAATCCTCTGATTTAAAACCAGTAAATGCAGATGTTTAAGCTTTCTTTTGCTGTCATAGGTTTTCACTGCTAAAATTCTTGTTATTAAGATCAAATTTTTCTAGCTTGTTAACTTAAGAAATGATTGCTCCTTGCCAAATGGAAAATGTTAAGTTCCCATTTTACTATACGCCAACCATCCCTGGTCCCCAAAAGGGCAAACAATTATTTAGTAAACTACTTCTAAAATACTACTTGTGACGAGTTAAATTGTAAAGGTTTTGCTGATAAATTGTAGTGTTTTTTTATATAAGTGAGGGACATGGGACTGAGTAGGGAAATCATCGAACTCCCAGGAAAAAACTTGAAAGCTATTATTCAGAGCAGGTAAAGCATGTCACAGCTGACGAAGTGGATTTTTCAGTAACTATTCATAAAAGAGCAGTAAGAGGTGTGGGGATTTGTTAGATAATAATCTCAAATAGACTAAAGATATATTTTTTTCCTGTATTCTATAGAGAAATCAACTTTTCAGTTATTGGTCAGTATGTGGATTATCTTGTGGAAGAACAAGGAGTAAAGAGTATTTTTGGTAAGTCTTTTCTACAGATCTCTCTATATAACTTTAGCTCAGTCCTTAGAATCCTCACATGGTTGCTAGCCAGGAGGTAACCTTGTCAACATGTCAACATGTCATAGGTTATGATTGAGCCTTTACTTAAGCAAAGTAAAATTTGTGAATTTGTAGACTCATCAATTTTACATCTATTAAGCATCTCAATAAGATTACCAAATCTGTACCTTCAAGGCAGATATTATTCTTATCCCTATTTGAAAAGGAAAATTTGTGGCTCAGATCAGGTTGCCCAAGTTCATCCAGCCAGGAAGTGGTAATGTAACAACAAAACCCAGGCTTTTCTCTCTTAAGGATGGGGTTTATTCTATTTTGACAACCATTCAAATAAAAAATATAAGACTCTAAATGCAACACACAGAAGAGTATGTTTAGCATCTCCCCTTACCTGTTTCATAGACTACAAAAATTTAAAAATCAAACCTTGACTCTTTCAAGTCTGGGAACTAGACTTAACTGTGACTGGGTGACCCCCTGCATTGTGTCCTGGGTGCTGGGCCCTTTGGTTCAATTGACATTCTGAGAACACTGCACTAGAACTACTGCTCTATCCCCTGGGCCTCTATTATGCCATGGGCATAATAGAGCTGGTTAAAACTTGTGTGAACAGTTGTCCTGAGTCATATGTCAAAACCAAAATCTGGCTACAGAACCACCCTGTGTGCCCCTACAGCTCCAGGCCACAGTAGGGAAGACAGATTCTTACTCCTCAGAGGAACACCCACTTCCCCTGAGTACGAGGGAGAAACAGCAGCATCCCTACCACTGGAACATACTTGAAGTGTCTCAAAAACCCAAAAGAGTGATAAAAACACTCTTCTCTGCATCCCTTCACTTGTCCCCCTCTAGCCCCAGGTGAGTATTCAATGCTTGGAGATCCAAAGTACATCCATATGCCTTAGACTCCATTCTTGTGTCCTGGTGCCATCTGCATCCTTTCTGTGACTCTATAAGAGAGAGCATTTTGGGATCATGTGGATCTGGATTCCAAAAGATGATTTAGTGATTCAGAACCATATATTTTCATCTGTAAATGAAAAGAATCATTTGTATTTTGCTTAATTATTACAAGACTAAAAAATAATAGGAGTGCTACTACAGGAAAATTAATAGCTTTGTGATTTTGCATGAGTTATCATTTTTCAAAAATGTGTTGTCCTAGAATGCTACTATCTCATCGAACTGTAGAGGCAGTTTTAGATCTGTAGTATATGCCACTAGTCCCATTTATGACCATTTTGACATGTTGGTTTTCAAGTCCAAATATAGACCTGGGTGTTGTGTTTGGAGACTTGCCTAAAATCTCAACAGTTATCTATCGCCATTCAAAATACTATTCCTGAGAGCACAGGCCATTTGTAATTACAATTCATAATTAGACTACCTGCTGATTTTCACCAGGTGGAGATGGCCAGAAAGACTGAGTCTGGATGGCAAGGGAAGCTTGGCATTCCCTCCCCCACCAGAATCTATGTTCATTGTCTCTCCCTGCCCCTTCCTCTTACACAGGGATTTCCTACCCTGCACTTGCAGTGGTGGCTTGGGGGAGTGAGAGGGGCTGGTTGGTCCCACTGACTGACTCTTCTTTTGGAACAGTGAACGGCACCACGGGGGAAGGCCTGTCCCTGAGCATCGCAGAGCGCCGCCAGGTTGCGGAGGAGTGGGTGACGAGAGGGAGAAATAAGTGAGTGGAACCAATATCTAAACACTTGCGTCAAGAACTGCTAGAATGTGGCTCTTTCCCGGGTGACACAGCCTCTGTGGTTCTGGCCATGAGTCAGGCTGGATGTCTGCTAGTAAGAAAATGAGCAGGGACCCCAGGATCTTGACCATTGGGAGGCCAGGAGCTGAGGCAGAGAAGCCCCTTCCTTTCTGGAAGGGCAGCCACACTGCAGGGCACACCTGGCCCCAGAAGTTCCATCTAGAAATTTCCCATTAATACTAGGCAAGGTCAGTCCTTTCTGGGTACCTGTCCTTGGTCTGAAAAGATAAGAGGGGATGGTGCTGGTGACCAACTGGGCTCCTGGCTCTTCTGCTGTACAACTCCTGCTCGTTCCCTTCTCAGGACAGAACTCAGGTGGTTCTGTCTCCTGGGTGCTTCTTTATAAGGCCTCTGCTCTCACCCAGCATGCTCTTTATTGGGCTTCCTCTTGTAGTCTTCGGGAACTTCCTACATCCTCTAATGGTAGAGCATGGTATAGAGGATAGTGTAATGGTATATTTTGGTTAGAATGCTCCACTCTTCTCATACTATGGTAAAACACATAGGATCCTATCAGTTCAAGGTTTATTCACTATTATATTGCTGTGTGTCTGCACTGGCCGGGGAAATGCAATAGGCTCTGGCCCTCGTGGTGCTTACCGGTCAGTGGATATGTCAGATCATGGAAATGAACACGGATCATACTGATCAACAGCCTAATGGGTATGGGAAGGCATGATTGATGTTACCCTAGGTAGAGGCAGAGATTGGAGGTAAATGCCAAGTGTGTCTGTGGCACAGATGATCAGTGGCCTTGGAAATATGTCAAGGACTTTTACATTTTAATTCCAGTGGCACCTTGAATGCTCTGAAACTTTATGTCAAGTTTGAGTGTGAGTCAACACAAGCATTTTCTGGTAATGCATTGGCTTTCAGTGCATTTTCACTCAAATTCTGGGCCCAGAAAGATTACAGACCCTGGAAAGAGTGAGAAAAGAGAAAGACTAAGGCCAAGCGTTAAGCACCAGAAATGGGAAGCATGAAGAACAGGACAGAAACAAAGTACCTCAGAAGAGTAGGAGGGGGGTCAGGAGTGACTCCTGTCACTGAAGCCAAGGAGATGGCCTCAAAGAGCATCAGTGTAGCATGGGGGTTAAGAGCAGGACCTTAGGCCAGATAGCCTGAATCTGGGTCCTGGCTCTGCCTTTGCTAGACCTGTAAACTCCTCCGTCTGGGTTTCATGGATAAATAGGGATAACTGTAACCTATCTTATAAGTATTAGGAGGTTTCAAACATTGCCTGGCACATAGTCCTAAGTATTATGCAAGCATTCATTGTAATCATTTGCAGTAGATGCTGCATTATTATAATAATTATTAGATACTGTGAAAGTCAGTAGCCGGAGGACGGGGAAGACCTCTTGGCTTGACATGTAGGAAGTGACCAAGCATGTGAGGGAACAGAGGGAGCAGGGCTCCTGTAGCAGAGGCAGAATGCAGTGATCTGTGGAATGAGCAAGTGTGTGGCAGCTGGGCAGTGAGTGTAGCTTATTCTCACAAAAATTGTTCCAGTGAAGGGCAGGAGAGAGAGAGCAGGAGATTGGGCAGGAGGAAGCAAAATTTATAGAGGTGAAGTTTCTTTTTCTAGAAGTGGATAAATCTTGAGTATGTTTCTGAAGCTTTAGGAGAGGATTTTAAAGCGAGTGGAAAATTGACTCAGGCGGTAGTGGTGATAACACTGAGACTTAACACCAGGGCCCCAAAATTCTACTTCTTGGTTTAACCTTAAATTTTACTTCCTGGACATTATTTTTTAATTTCTAATTATATTAACCTTAAATAGACCTGTGAAATTTAATGTCTTGAGATTGCAATGAATTGGACATAAGCTGTCTGCTAAAACCAGCACAAACCAGTATAATGCAGCCCTTCTGTGATACTGTAAACATGAAGCTGTGCAACAGAGTTTTCTCTATTGTAGGTTGGATCAAGTAGTAATTCATGTTGGTGCACTGAGCTTGAAGGAGTCACAAGAACTGGTAGGTATAAGTTAAAATCAATACCATTTTTGCTGTATCTTGGATGTTGTGCTGGAGAATATAGTGTGTGATCTCAAGGAGCTCAGAGCAGGCATAGAGTCCTAAAGAGAGTAGCCCAGGGTGAGAACTGCCATCACAGAGCTTTGAATAGAAGATAGAAGCATCTCTTCATCTGAGCCAGGTGAGGATGAGTAGAGACATAGCCAAGTTTGCAGGTGAGGGTCAGAACTTGAGCCAATCTGTTTTCTCTAGGATGTAAAAGAAAGCTATCTCCTGGGTGTAAAAGAGATGGACAGTGAATGGTAAAGTTTGAGAATTGCAGGCCTCCCTGGTGGCGCAGGCGGTAGAGTGCCACGCTGTGAAGCTGCCTGCAGCCTCTGCAGTGTGGGTTCAATCCCGGCTAGCCAGCAAGAATCCCACATGGCGCGGAGGTCCTCTCCTGTCTCGCCCGCTGCTCCCCCTCAGCAGTGTATTTCGTCAGTCTGCCTGTTCTGTTCCTGCTCTGTCTCTGGTGAATCCTTTCACCTTCCCGCGCATCTGGCCTGTACCCCGGTTCTTGTAAAAACATATAAATCTTAAAAAAATAATAATAAATAATAAATATTGAGAATTGCTGCCTGGAGAATGAGGGAACACAAAAAAGAGTGCTCACACTCATATTAGCAGCACTGTTCACAATAGCAACCCAAGGGCCCTTGGAAGGATAAATGGATAAATGCAGTGTGATCAATGCACAATGAAGTAGTACTCCGCCTTAAAAAGGAAGGAAATTCATTTTGTCATTTTCCTCCCTATGGAGGAACCTTGAGGATGTTATGTTAAGTGAAATATGCCAGTAATTAAAAGACAAATACTATATGATTTATCTGAGATGACATTTCTAAACTAGTCAAATTCAGAGAAACAGAGAGTAGAATGGTGGTTTCCGGGAACTAATTAGGTGTGGGGGAAGGAGTTGTTTAATGGCATGAAGGTTCAGATTTGCAAAATGAAAAGGCTTTGGAGATATGTTTCATATATATATATAGATAGATATATGTTTGAATATGTTCACTTCTGATTTCTACTTTTAGAAATGGGTAAAGTGGCAAATTTTGTTATGTTTCTAAAGTAAGTTTTTATAAATAAATTTTAAGTAAATAAATTATTTTAAAAAGGATTGTCCAATGTTGACCAAAAACAGTGAAACATATAAGTCATAAATTTTTCATACCACATTTCATACAGTTCTGGGAACTTTTTTCTAGGTATTCTTTTCAACCAAAACATAGGAACTAGAATGCAAATAGTTAGATTGTTCTAGGTTTCGAGGTTAGCAGATTAGGTGAAGCAAAAGAAGAAGGAGTTCAAGTTGCTGGCAGGCTTGGAGTGAGTGAGTGGAGGATAAGGAGGACATAAAGATGTTGACATTGTTTACTGGAGGCCCAGTACCTTAGGCTGCCACTAATGAGCCAGGTTTCCAGAATTTGGGTATTCTAACCACAAAGACTATAATAACAATCTAGCGCAACATCTTCCTTGTGGTTTTATTTGATTGTTTTTCCTATTAAATCAATTTGGAAATGATATATGTTATGCATACCTGCAAGATTACAATTCACTCTCTTACACAAGCCACAAAGGAAGATGTGTTCCTAGAAGGTACCATAGTAAACTTGAAACTCGATGTATCAGAGACTCGATGTATTCTTCTTACAATAGGTCTTTCAACTGAGGCAGTATGTGGTAGAAAATCATTCTTTTCAGTTACTTTATTTTCCTCTTTGTCTCTCTGAATTATATGAGCACTTCACCAAATTAATCTTCCCAAAGAGGAAGTTGTGGGAATTCCTAATCTGTAGCCATTTGTCAGAAGCATAGATGATAACCTGGGCTTGCAACTCGCTTCTGAAGTGGAGGGTTAGGGGGACGGCCTTGTGGAATTGAGCCCTTACCCTGTAGGATCTGATGGGCAGGTTATTTTCAGGTAGATGTATGGTTCAGGTAGATGGTGTCAGATTTGAGTTGAATTGTAGACACCACACTGATGTCAGAAAGTTACCAACATCGCCCATTTTGAAATTGTCACCCACATGTTGAAATTGTTACCAAATCCATAATGGTTTCTTCTTCTTTTAAAGGCTCAACATGCAGCAGAAATCGGAGCTGATGGCATTGCTGTCATTGCACCTTGCTTCTTCAAGTCACTAAACAAAGGTACACAGATACAGAGCTGCACAGTCTATTTCTTTTTGGTTCCATTCAAAATAGTTATATTTAACTCATGAAAGTTTTATAGTATAGTGATTGCTAAAATAACTAAAAATCAAAACACCATATGATCCAGCAGTACCACACCTACGTAGGTATCCAAAGACTATTAAAATAGTAATTTTTAAAGATACATGCACCCTTCTTTTCATAGCAGTATTATTTGTAATGGCCAAGACATAGACTCAACCTAAATGCCCAAGGACAGATAAGTGAATAAAGAAGAAATGATATATATGCTTAATGGAATAATTGTTTAGCTATTTAAAAAAGAAGAAATCTTGCCTTTTGCCCCAATATGAATGGAATCTGAGGTGATTACATTAAAAAAATAAGACAAAGTGAAAGACAATTACTATATGGTTTCACTCATATGTGGAATATAAAAACCAAAATGTCTTTGGCAAAAAACAACAAAAATGACTCTTGGGGTTTGTGAAAAAATATGATTCTTACCAGAGGGAAGGGGAAAGAGGTGGTCATGTGGGTAAGAGGGGGTCAAGCTTGATAGCTTGAGGGGTGAAGAACAAGTATAGCATATACATGTATCAAGGTGTGAAGTTGTATTCCAAAACTTAAATAGTTTTGCAAATGAATAGTTATATTTAACTCATTATAGTTAATCAATAAAAGTTGATTTAAAAAAGAAAAGATAATTCTATGGACTAAAGACATGTCATTGCAATGGCACAGAAGTCTTATTTGACTTTCCTGGATTAAAAAAAAACTCTTAAACAACCCCAGCTCATTTGCCATGTAATCTGATTGAGTCAACAACTAAAGCATAAACCATCCACCTGTGCTTGAATCAAGTGTCCTCTCCTTGTCCATCAGTTGGGCATGTCAGAGTAACATGGCAAGGTACTTTTGAACCATTTTTCTCAAGAAAGAGGAAAATAACTGATGGGCATTTTGAGACTACACATTCCCTTCAAGGATAACTTAGTGATGAATTTGAAAAGAGTTTTCACAGGAATATCCATTGTCTTCTGATATATCACCTTATTACTTTCTTTTTCTCTCTTGTGGTTTCCAAGTATACTGATGTTTTTAATCCTTGATTTGCACACAAAAAAGAAATAGACTTATAAAAAGAATTAAAAATGGACAAGACATGATTTGCATGCATGATTAAATAAACCCATAGCTAAATGTACAAAGAATCTAATTATCATGAAATAGCTATTATTGGTAGGAGGGGAAAATAGTTGTAATATAGGTAAGTGATTTAAATATGTTATTTGGGGGACACATGAGTATTTTTAAGATTTTATTACCTTTTTTTTGTTTGCTTGTTTGTTTTTTGTTTTGTTTTGTTTTTTGTGGGACATTTACCGGCGGCCTGGGAACGAACCAGAGCTGCAGAGGCTGCGGGCAGCCTCGCAGCCCAGCGCTCAACCACCGCGCCACCAGGGGAGGCCCTTTATCACATGGTTTTAAAGAGCTTTACATGAATATTTTTCACAAAAGAGAAGAAATAATAAATTATATATAATAATTTTGTCAGAAATATTTATCATAGAAGGCACTATAGTGTTTAGGTGAAGTGCACAAGGTTCTCTCTCCAATATCCAAGGTGGCATCCACAGTGTAAACAGTTCTGCCATTAATTCATCATCTGTGGTTGTTGCAGTTGGAAATAATATTCAACAGTGGAGTAAATTCAAATTCCCCAGTATATTAGGGTGAGCTCTCTTCTGATATATCTGAATTTCATCTTAAAAGGAGAAAGTACCAAACTTATTATGAGATTGAATTATTATGACATGTGATACTTTTATAGCCTCCCTCTTTGAACAGATGTTTATCTTTTTGCTATAGACTTTTCCATGTTATGGTATTATTACTCTGATCCTAATGCAAAATTCTTTTTCATGGACCACGACTAATCTTTCTGGGGCAAGAGGACAGAGTCTTACCTTATGAGCTTCTGGTTTTTATGAGTATTTCATGATCTCTTGGTATGTGGTAAACTTTACACTAGTTTTTTAATAGTATGTTAGTATGATAGAAAAGTGATCACTTTATTTTGGCCTCTCTACAGAGGAAAATAAAACATCAAATGAAATGAATTGCAAAGACATTGCAGTAGCAATGTCAGGGATGATAAGAGTGATCAAGAATTCTTGGCCTCTGACAATCTCCCTAATGAACACTGATGCAAAAATCCTCAACAAAATTTTAGCTATCAGAATCCAACAATGTATCCATAAGATAATTCACCACGACCAAGTTGGATTCATTCCAGGGACACAAGGATGGTTTAACATCCGAAAATCAATCAACGTTATCCAACACATCAACAAAAAGAAATATAAAAACCATATGATAATATCAATAGATGCTGAGAAAGCTTTCGACAAAGTGCAACACCCATTCATGATAAAAGCCCTTGAAATTCTTGGGATACAAGGAACATACCTCAACATCATAAAGGCCATCTATGACAAGCCAACAGCCAGTATCATTCTCAATGGTGAAAAGCTGAAAGCAATTCCATTAAGATCTGGAACAAGACAAGGATGTCCACTCTCACCACTGCTTTTCAATATAATACTGGAAGTCCTAGCCAGAGCAATAAGACAAGAGAAAGACATCCAAGGAATCCAAATAGGAAAAGAAGAAATCAAACTATCACTATTTGCAGATGATATGATAATATACATAGAGAACCCCAAAATCTCCACAGAAAAACTAATTCAACTCATCAATCAATTCAGTAAAGTGGCAGGATACAAAATCAACACGCATAAGTCAGTAGCCTTCCTATACACAAACAATAAATCTGAAGAAGAAGAAATCAAAAAAACCATCCCTTTTATTATCGAAACAAAAAAAATCAAATATTTGGGAATAAATCTAACAAAAGAGGTAAAGGACCTATACAAAGAAAACTATAAAACACTGTTAAAAGAAATAGAAGAAGACACAAAGAAATGGAAAGACATCCCCTGCTCATGGATTGGAAGAATAAACATTATTAAAATGGCCATCCTACCAAAAGCAATCTACAGATTCAATGCTATTCCAATCAAAATTTCAATGTCATTCTTCAAAGAAATAGAACAATTATTGATGAAATTCATATGGAATCACAAAAAAACCCGAATAGCCAAAGCTCTACTGAAAAAAAAAGAAGGAAATGGAGGCATCACACTCCCAGACTTCAAACTATACTACAAAGCCATAATCATCAAAACTGCATGGTATTGGACCAAGAACAGACATACAGACCAATGGAATCGAATAGAAAATCCAGAAATAAACCCACAGATTTATGGTCAACTAATCTTTGACAAAGGAGCAAAGACTATGCATTGGAGCAAAGAAAGTTTGTTCAATAAATGGTGCTGGGAAAACTGGGTCGCTACATGCAAAAGAATGAAGCTTGACCACTACCTCACACCATACACAAAAATCAACTCAAAATGGATTAAAGAACTAGACATAAGACCTGAAACCATAAAATACATAGAAGGAAATATAGGCGAAACACTACGTAATTTGCACATCAAAGACATCTTTACAGACACATCACCCAAAGCAGTGATAGTGAAGGCAAAGATAAACAGCTGGGACTACATCAAATTAAAGAGCTTCTGCACAGCAAAAGAGACAATAACAAAAACAAAGAGAAACCCCACCAACTGGGAGAACATTTTTGCACACAACACTAATGATAAAGGACTGATCACAAAAATCTGCAAAGAGCTGATGAGACTCAGCAACAACAAAGAAAATAATCCAGTCAAAAAATGGGCAGAAGAGCTAAAAAGAAACTTCTCTGAAGAGGAAATGCAAATGGCCAACAGACATATGAAAAAATGTTCAACATCACTTGTAATCAGGGAAATGCAAATCAAAACTACCATGAGATACCATCTCACACCAGTGAGAATGGCACATTTAAAAAAACTAGCAACAACAAATGTTGGCGAGGTTGTGGAGAAAAAGGAACTCTTGTGCACTGTTGGTGGGAGTGCAAACTGGTGCAACCACTATGGAGAGCTGTGTGGAGATTTCTGGACCTACTAAACATAGAGCTTCCATATGATCCAGCAATTCCACTCCTAGGTATTTACCCAAAGGACACAGAAACATCAATTCCAAAGAACACCTGCACCCCTATATTTATAGCAGCACTGTTTACAATAGCTAAGCTTTGGAAACAGCCCAAATGCCCAAAAACAGATGACTGGATCAAGAAGATGTGGTACATATACACCATGGAATATTACTCAGCATTCAAAAAAGATAAACACATGCAATTTGCAGCAACATTGATGGCGTTGGAAGGGATCATGCTCAGCGAAATAAGCCAAAAAGAAAAAGAAAAATACCGGATGGTCTCACTCATAGCAGGAATCTAGAAAACTTAAATAAGGGACCAGGAATATGAATATTAGAAAGTGAAAATCAAAATCAACAAAAAACTATGAACCAGAGACACTTTTTGGGGGGGTGGGAGGGGAGGGTTTGGGGTCAGAATGGGGCGTTTGCAATTGTATGGGGGAATATAAAAATAAAATTTATTATTTAAATTAAAAAAAAAAGAAACTTCAAAAAAAAAAAAAAGAATTCTTGGCCTCTGAAAAGAATAGTTGCAGTCAACAGATGACTCATTTTGTTTTTAATTTAGCCAGGAAAATCAGTGTTTTATACCTGTTCACACCCTGACTTTTCCTACTGTTCTTTCAGATGCCCTGATTAATTTCTTAAAAGAGGTGGCTGCTGCTGCACCTACATTGCCATTTTATTACTATCATATTCCCACCTTGACAGGGGTAAAGAGTAAGTACTGCTTCTTTCTCTCCATCTCTCACGTCTTATCTTATTTTGCTTAAAAATCCCTACTCTACCCTGCCCATCCTACATCACAAAAGCATCGTAACACTATTGACTAAACAGATCTAATTGCTCCAAATAAGTCTCTTATATCAAAAATAAATCAGTTGTGTGAACCATTGACATCACCTGTATTATGGAAGTTAAATATGAAAGAACAATTAACCCTAGAGTGCTTTCAACAGACACCTGGTGTCAATCACATCTCTCCTTCATGTGTGTGTGTGTGTGTGTGTGTGTGTGTGTGTGAGAGAGAGAGAGAGAGAGAGTGTGTGTGTGTTTAAAGACATGAGGTTATAAGCCCTTTGGGATAAGGACTATATTTGCCTTTATGTGCTACTATAGTCTTAGTGCCTGGTATGTAGAAAGGTACTCCGAGATCTTTTCAGTTTTCTTCTAGTGTTTCTTTTATTACTACTATACTTCTTCAGTAAGAAGATTTGTTACAATTAGGTGAAATTTCTTAGGAGATAATTTTTTGAATCCCACTCCTTTCTAACTTCCTTAAAAGAAAAAAATGGAAGCATACTTTATAAATATCCCCTCTACTGTCCTCAAGGATTATAAAGCTTAGGGCTATAATTTAACAAGTATGTAAGAGAGAGCAGTAGCTCTTACATTAGGCCAGGGCAAGTGATTATGTCCAATGCACAGTCTCTTCTAGCTGAGAACAGCCCCCAGCAGCTCTGTGCAACTGTGTGGGGCTCTGTGAGTTATGTGGTATTGTCTAGGGTTCTGCAGACTAATGAAACATTAACTATTTGAGCAGTTCGAGCCGAGGAGTTGTTGAATGGGATTCAGGATAAGATCCCCACGTTCCAGGGACTGAAATTCAGTGATACAGATCTCTTAGACTTCGGACAGTGTGTTGATCAGAATCGCCAGCAAGAGTTTGCTTTCCTTTTTGGGGTGGATGAGGTGAGTTACCCCTGGAATATCCCAGCAACTTAATTTCCCTCCAAGACAATTTATATAGCTGCTTATATAGTAGCATCTTTTCTTTCTCTTCTTCATAAAAGTAAACACTCTTTCTCTGTTTCTGATTAGCAACTGCTGAGTGCTTTGGTGATGGGAGCAACTGGCGCAGTGGGCAGGTAAGCAGTACTCATTTCCTCTAATGATTACAAATATAAATTCTACCCCTTTTGTATTCATTGCTAGAGTAAAGTATACTTCTTTCTGTGAGAAGTTGCCTTTACCCCACAACCATTCAGCAAAAGGAAATTCAGGAGGGCTAAGCAGTTTGTTAGAAACTCAGCCATTGTTCTTTAGAAGCTCTGTTGCAGTTAGAGATGAGGTACATGAATGCAGTGTATGCATTATAAGTTGTGATAAAGTACTGAGAAATTATGTAAAACTGGGAGGAAGAAGTGCAGCCAGATTCTAGACAGGATGAGAACCTGGAATTGCAAAGCTCTCAGCAGCCAAAGTAAATAATTCTCTATGTGGCCCTCTAGTTGTGCTCACTGTTGTACCTATTTCCCGCTCTCTCCACATGGGTTTTCTCTGCTTCCATGTGCACATAGCTCTGCATGGCTATACTGGCATCTGAGGATAACACTGCCCAGTCAGGTGTCCAGTCAACTACACTTAGGAAGTAGAATCATGTGACCTAATGCCTACTCAGCAAATGACTCAGGAAAGGCTTGTGGCTTGATTAACATGCCCACCATACATGGGCATGTTAATTCTTTAGAATTCTTTAGAAATATGTCTGCAAGAAAAGTGAGTGAAATATTTACATTAACTTAAAGTGCAGGAAAAGTATAGGGGAACAAAATAATATTCATAACATGATGTGGTGAGCACAGCTTTGGTGAAGAGCAGTTGAGATGCATAATCTTAATAGCTTATTTACCAAGCCAGGATGGCCTGCAGTGTCCACTGTCACTACAGAGACATTTCTACCAAGGAAACCTGAGTGTCTAGATCTGCTGACCATGAACCTTTATTTTCCTGGAAATTCTCTCTTTTTTGACTCTTCTTTTTTAGTCTCCATACTAGGCATTTAAATCCTATCAATATAAACTATAAGCAAAGTGTATGTGGTTAGACTTCATTTCTTCTTCATTATTATCATATTCCTCTCTGTCTAACTGAGGAATCACCTAAGAGCCTTGGGCTTTGAACTTTCATATTCTGAAATTTCGCAGACATTCACGTGCACATTGTGACTTAAGGATGTTTCACCTCTACAAGTGACTTGTCTCAGCTAATATATTTTTAATTTCCCTTACTCTGTTACCAGAAGATAATGCAAATTTCATCTTCTTCAAATCCCTTGCTGTTGACCACAGGATCTACAAATATTACATACCAACAGCATTCCATTCTTGGTACATCAAGATAAATACATTATCTGATACTTAGTTTCTGAGAAGTTGTTTAGAAATTGGGTAAACATCCTTATAATGAATTTCTATAACCTACCTTGGTGGTTTCTCTAAGAGTTTAGTGGTTAGTCTATTTGTCTTTATTAGTAGAGTTAAAGTCTACAAGATCAGTTTACCAGATCAAATAACCATTTCACCTTCACTTGGGTTGAATTGTGATGGAAGGCAGAATACAGAGATGGGAAGAATATGAGGCCACTTAGCAGCTCTCCATGGAGCTATTGTTTCTTCCAAGCAAGATAGAAACAAGGCCTGCCTTGCAGGACTATGAGAGGGCTAGCTATGATTCAAGCCCTGGGAATGTAACAGGAACTTAATAAGTGGTCTCTCATTGTATGATTATCACTATTAATATTATTCTCTAGAAACTAGTCTTTAAGTGATATATAAATTGACAAGGAATTTAGGTAATTTGTTGGGATTTATTTACCCTTGTATTGCCATGCTCCACTCACCCAATTCATGAGCTTTTTTGGACTCATCTCAGATCCTCCCTTTCATCCGCAGTTCTAATCTAGTGTCACGTTCTGTGTTTCCTCTGGGCAGATTTTGACCTCCCTACCAAATATGCCTCCATCTTTCACTTTTTTCCCTCTAATTTTATCCTTTTTCCATTTCCCCTTCTGTATTCCCTTTGGTATCTTCTGCCTCCTCCTGGCACTACTTGATGTTTTGGAAAATTCAAAGACACCTAATCCTCTGATAGAGTAAAGTTTATAAATAGACCTCCAGGAGGTCTGGAATGTTTTTTCCCTTGTAGGCACCAGAGGAGTTAAAAGATCTGGACTTTTCCCAAAGAGTTAGTGATTCTGAGGTGTGGTGTTTTTTTGTTTTTATTTTTGTTTTTTTGTTTTTTTTGTTTTTCTTTTTCCCAGTACCTATAACTACCTGGGAAAAAAGACAAACCAGATGTTGGAAGCTTTTGAACGAAAGGACTTCTCTTCTGCCCTGAGCTATCAGGTAAACTTTTCTTCCCTTGCCATCAGTTACAGCCTTTTGTCTTCCTCCCTGAACAGTTGTTGTTTTCTCTCATCAGCATTTCTACCACACCTGCCCTCAATAAAACAGCTTTGCTGCATCTTTCTTCTGTTTCTTACTTTTTATTTTTAAAATCAAACCTTTCCCCCATTGTTCAGTGCAGGCTCCTTACAGGAATGACTCCTCTCTTCTCCTCCTAGAAATGGTCTTTACTTTTTTTTTAACTCTATGTTTGAGTATAATTGTAACTGTAAAATCATGATGACAGATTTCTGGGAAAGTGACCCCAGGCTATCTTCTTGAGGGAATCACACCAGAGTCCCCAGAGAATGTGAACACACCATAAAGTCGGTAACTAAAGAGAAGTACTGATGCAAAGTTAGAAGTTAGAGCAGGCTGATGCTCTTCATCCTGTAACATGCTGAGAACTGGAAACATCCAGCAGAAATGATAGCCAAGGGGACTTGACACAGGAAGAGAAGCAGCAGGAGCTGCCGTGGTGCAGGGATGGACTGGCGGCCTTAGTGCTGTATGAGGACAGCCCAACTGTCCAGAGTAAGGAGAGCCTTGCTTGGGTGTAGCACCTGTCTCAGCAACTGGGGAGTGTATGTTCTGGGGACAAATGAAGTGAAGCAAAAGGAAATCAGGTCAGCATAAGAGAAAAACTTGGCTAAAAGGCACAGATTTTCAGGATAGTAAAAGTAAATGCAAAAGCATTCCAAGAAAGTAAGTGGGAATAAAAGGGTATAAGCAAGATCAGGGCAGGTTGTTGGGCCCAGTAAAATTCAGATGAGTGGGGACCTCCCTGGTGGCACAAGGAGTTAAGCACAGCACTACAAAGCTATCCACAGCTACTGCAGCAGGAGTTCGATCCCCGGCCAGGAGGTGACCCACATGGCACAGGAGACCACTCCTGTCTCACCCACTGCTCCCCTCAGCAGTGTATTTCAGTCATTTCTCCTGTTCTGCTCCCCACTCTGTCTCTGCTGAATCTTCTCAACCCCCATCTCCGGCTTGTACCCCAGTTCTTGTATGCATAAATAAATATTTAAAAAAAATTCAGATGAGTGATCTTTTGAACTGAATAGACTGTCATCTGAGGAAAGATACAGAGAAGTATAGTGCATCCTGGAGGGAGTGAGGTGAGCTCCAGCTCAGAGAATATGAGGATGCAGTAGCCTAGATATACTTCTTACATAAAGTCAAAATATATTATTTAACAATCCACCTCTGTTTAGCCCCAGAGCAGGTGAAACTGAGCCCAGGAACAGCATGGGGGGACTTGGGAAGTTGTGCCAACCAAAGTAAACATTGGCAAGAATATAAATTAATATAAGGGAGGGGGGAGGAAGAAAAGCCTGAATTGTGCAGACCCCACTATATCTTTGCATCAGGTATTTTCTTTTTTCTTAGTTTTCCAGGAAAGGTTATTTCTGAAAATTCTAACCTGTTCTGAGCTGAATGACAGGTAAATTGAAGGATGGAATAAACCAAGAGACAGTTCTGGTGTGGACCCTTCCACTCAGTGGTTTCTTTTATTGACTGATCCGGATTCTATGTCTCCTCCCTTCATCTCTCAGCCCTCCCTCCCCCACTTAGTCCCACTCAAAATAGTGTTGGTGAGGAATTTAGTTGACCACATTCTCGGTCTTTTCTTACAGAAAACAAATGCCAGTGGGTCTCATGTAGTCATTTGTTCATATATCGAGACCTGAGCTGAATTCATAATTTCAATAAAGCTGGTTTTTGCCTTGCAGTCAAGTGAAGAAACAGACAAGTGAAATGTTAGGACTAAATTTTTCTCATTCACGGTCACGTATTCAAATGCCATCTGTTCTGTTTGCATAAGTGAAGCAACAAGTGTACAGAGATAGTCCCTAAGCAGTGTTTGTAAAAGCAAATGGTAGAAACAGCCCACATATCCACCCATAGAAAATGGTTAAATCCATTATATTCAAGTTATGTAATGGGTTTCTGTCAAGTCCTTTAAAAGGATAGGGTAGTTTTAGATATACTGATCTGGAAATGTTGCCTTGATATATTAAGGGAAAAAAACAGCAAAGTACAAAATATGGAATATTCTGGACTATAGTTTGTGTGTGAGGGAGAAAAGAATGGATACATATATATTTGTAAGAGTCTCAGTATTGAGATTTTAATCTGCATTGAATTTTTTATTGCTAGGTAACAATTGACTAAAACAATATAGAAAAATTACACTTTTTTTTCAGTTTTATTATTTATTTATTTATTTTTAATTTAAATATTTTATTTTATATAATTCTTATCTCTTTTTTCGTCTTTGCACAATGTATGCATTTTCATTTTGGTTATATTACCCATACAATTGCACCCCCCCTTATTGACTCTAGTCCTTCCTTTCCCCGCCCCTCCCTCCTCTCCTCCCCTTAGTGTGTCTCTGGTTTATAGTTGCTTGTTGATTTTGATTTTTACTTTGTATTAATTAGTCTTTTTCCTGGTCTCCTATTTAGGTTTTCTAAATTCCTGCTATGAGTGAGACCTTCCGGTATTTTTCTTTTTCTTTCTGACTTATTTCTCTGAGCATGATCCCTTCTAGCTCTTTCCATGTTGCTGCAAACTGCATGCGTTTATCTTTTTTGATTGCTGAGTAATATTCCATTGTGTATATGTACCACATCTTCTTGATCCAGTCATCTATTTTTGGGCATTTGGGTTGCTTCCATAGCTTAGCTATTGTAAATAGTGCTGCTATAAACATAGGGGTGCAAGTGCCCTTTGGAATTACTGTTTCTGTGTCATTTGGGTAAATACCTAGGAGTGGAATTGCTGGATCATACGAAAGCTCCACCGACTGGGAGAAAATTTTTGTACACAACACTAATGATAAAGGACTGATCACAAAAATCTACAAAGAGCTGATAAGACTCAACAAAAACAAAGAAAATAATCCAGTCAAAAAATGGGCAGAAGAGCTAAAAAGAAACTTCTCTGAAGAGGAAATGCAAATGGCCAACAGGCATATGAAAAAATGTTCAACATTACTTGTAATCAGGGAAATGCAAATCAAAACTACAATGAGATACCATCTCACACCAGTGAGAATGGCACATATTAAAAAAACTAGCAACAACAAATGTTGGCGAGGTTGTGGAGAAAAAGGAACTCTCCTGCACTGCTGGTGGGAGTGCAAACTGGTCCAACCACTATGGAGAGCTGTGTGGAGATTTCTTGAACTACTAAAAAAAATTACACATTTTGAAAATTAGTTTTTCATCATGAAAGTAAAATGTTATTGAAAATGCATCTTTTTAGGGCCTCCATGGTGGCTGAGAGGTTAAGTCTCAGCATAATCACACTGTCACCACTATCCCTAGCCAGGGAGCTAACCCACATATGGCGCAGCAGACCTCTCCTGTCTTGCCTGCTGCTCCCCTTAGCAGTGTATTTCAGTAAATCTGCCTGTTCTGCTCCGCACTCTGTCTCTGGTGAATCCTCTCACCCCCTGTACCTCTGGCCTACACCCTAGTTCTTCTACACAAAAATAAAAAAAAAAAAAAACAGAAAATTAAAAAAAAGAAAATGCATCTTTTTAGTTGATGGATGAGACTTTTTTTAACCAATGAATTCGTGTATTCATGATAAATATTACTATCTGTTAGGTTAAATTTCAGTACCAGTACTTCTTTTTGTTGTTTTTAGAGAAATAAATGCTGAGAAATCCTGTTCATATGAATTAGCAGATAAAAGTGGAAGTCTTTTTGTTATAGCATGTCACTCAAGTCTTTGAACATTTGAGAACTCAGTCTGCTTAATGATGTACTGGTTTTCAGCCCGTGTAGCAGCATTAAGAGCAATGTTAAAAGCAAAAATTGAAAACCCTGTAATTTTTTTAGAGAACTTTATCCATTAATTACAGGAATCACTGTGTTAATTAATTACAGGAATCATTGCTCTGTTGATGGTAGCACCAACATTTTAATTTGCTCCTTTATTTGGTCCCCAGAGCTTTCCCCAGGCAGTGATGTGGGAGGAATATCTTTAATTTTTCAGAAGTTGGAGAAGGGCGATGAAAGGGGACATATATAAAAGACATCCTGCATTTCCAGTCTATATGAAATTTTATTTTAATCAATTTTAGAATACAGTACCTTTGGGAATTGAGTACCTAGAAATTTATTCCCATAAGCTTAGGCTTAGCCAAGTGTCCTTAAGGTATCATGGAAATTACCCCAGAGGTTCATGTACCCCATTTTGAAATGCCCGTACTAGATCAGTTTACCTAAATAATCTAGCTGGAGGAGGAGTGGGGGATTGCTACCCCATTTTATCTCTCTCTTATCCAAATCTATCACTGGAGTTCCTTTTCTCCATGGATCCATTTTATAAGGCCTATATGTATGACAAAGTCCTACTTTATCCTAGATGGATCTCAAACATCCTCACTTGGCTGGTGTGTGATTTGAGGTTTCTATAAATTGACCTCTAAAGTCTTTAAATTGCTGTCATGTTTTAGTAATAATGATTACAGATTTGTTTGTTCCTTTCTAGTTTTGTATCCAGAGATTTATCAACTTTGTGGTCAAGCTAGGTAAGTTTCCTCCTTTGTCTGCTACTGGATGATGTAAAGGATATAGAATTTCATCAGTTGCTCTGATACATTAACAATAAAGTCTTTTAATGTCCTGTTACAAGCAGAATTTTATTTCCATTACTGACTTAAAGGGCCAACCCTTTAAAATGGTGATGTAAACCTACTTGGAAGGTCTTTGACCCCCTTCTACACATCTCTCTCCTCTGAACTAGCTCTCAAGTCCCCACTCTACACATGTGCCATTTTTCTTCCCTTTTCTTCTACATCTCCAGCACCGCCTTCCCTTCACTTGTCTGTGCTCATTAAAATTCTACTGCTGCATTGTGGCTGATATCAGCTTAAGTGCTCAAAGGAAGGCAGCCTGAATCTAGATCTTACTGAATTGTGAATGACTAACTCCTAAGAGTATTTGCCACTTAAAAAGAGTTTATAAACACAAGGAATCTTAAATGGATAAATACCTGGTAATAGGACAAAGTAAAATTTGAGTGAATTTTGGTACAGAATCTTCTCCAGAATCTCCTAAATCTTACCCTGTGGCAAACGCCAAATGCCGCCATTCAGCAAGACTGGCTCTTCCTGAGAACCTGGATCAAGTCCAGGAATGGTTTAGGTTTATCTTGGCTGAGCTCCCACCTCCCTTTCAGAGTCTTTTTGCCTCACCCAGGCAACCCTTCTCAAGCCCCAAGCACCTATTAGTGTTGGGCCCTCATTCCCGCAGTGTTCTCAGCCAGCTCTCTTAATCTTTCAGAGATGATGCTTCCCATTTGTTTCTCTACTCTCATAACTTTTGTCTTATTTATGTGTCACCACAAATATTATTCCCTGTCCTAAACAATACTTTCCACAAAACTATGGGTTGGGTGACAGTTATAATTCCAAAGTGTATTGAAAGTAAATACTGAGGGGCCTCCCTGGTGGCACAAGGTGTTAAGATGCAACCTATGAAGCTATCCGCAGCCACTGAAGCATGAATTCTATCCCCAGCCAGGGAGCTACCCACATGGCGCAGCAGACCTCTCCTGACTCACCCACTGCTCCCCTCAGCAGTTTATTTCAGTCAACCTGCCTGTTCTGTTCCCCTGTCTGTCTCTGGTGTATCCTCTCACCCCTCACACCTCTGGCCTGTGCCCCAGTTCTTGTATGCATAAATAAATAAATCTTTTTTTAAAAAGTAAATATTGAGCTATTAACATGTTTACAGAATTAAATTTAAAAGTAAAAGTTTATATACACACACATATCAGTAGCGATATTACACAATAGAGCTCTAAATAACTAAATGGATAACTCTTTTGCTAGAATATTGGCATTTTAAAGGGGGACTTTAATCAAATTCTATTGATTTACTCTTCCTTTACAAAACTACATAATTTGGGGAGTACAAATACATACCTCAACATGTGCACATGCTTCACTCAATCTGCACCAAAGCTCCAACCAGTATCAGTGCCCTGTCACATTATCCACCCCTCCATCATCACCTCTCCCCCACCTCTTCTCTGGTAACCACCAGAGGTTCTGATAATCACAGAATTGAGGAGTTGTTATTATTGTGTTTGTTTTCTGTAGATATAACCAAGTGAATCCATGAGTAAACTGTCTTTTGCATTCTGACTTATTTTACATAGTATAATCACCTCAAAATCCATCCATTTTGTCCTAAAATTTTATTTAAAGGGAGCACTCTTGGAAATAGATTTTATGGTCAAAATAACATATTATTTTAGACTTCGCTGGGGTTCAGGATTTTCATAGTTTAGTCAAAAAAAGACTTATCTTGGGCCTCCCCGGTGGCGCAGAGGTTGAGCGCTGGGTTGCGAAGCTGCCCGCGGCCTCTGCAGCGTCGGTTCAATCCCCGGCTGCTCCCTGGCCACCGGAGGAGGGTCCCACATGGCGCAGACCTCTCCTGCTGCCCGCTGCTCCCCTCAGCAGTGTACTTCGATCCTTCTGCCTGCTCTGCTCCCCACTCTGGCTCTGGTGAATTCTCTCACCCTCCTGCGCTTCTGACTGTACCCAGTGCTTATGTAAAATAAATAAATAAATAAATAATAAAAAATAAACACAGAACTTAAAAAAAAAACTTACTTTTTTTTTTAAAAAAAGATTTATTTATTTGGCCTCCCCTGAGCGCTCCCCAGTTGAGCGCTGGGCTGCGAGGCTGCCCACAGCCTCTGCAGCGCCGGTTCGTTCCCCGGCCACCGGCGAGTGTCCCACAAAAAAAAAAAAAAAAAAAAAAAAAAAAATAGATTTATTTATTTATGCAAGAACCAGGGTACAGGCCAGCTGCACGGGAGGATGACAGGATTCACTAGAGACAGAGCAGGGAACAGAACAGGCAGACTGATGAAATACACTGCTGAGGGGAACAGAGGGCGGGACAGGAGAGGTCTGCTGTTCAATGTGGGATTCTTGCCGGCAGGCATCTAACAGCACTGCAGTAGCTGTGGACAGCTTCACAGCGCAGTGCTTAACCACCTGCGCCACCAGGGGAGGCCCAAAAAAAAAGACTTATCTTAATAAACTGTAGTATTATTATAAAAGTAGCATTCTAGTCCACCACTGATAATTCTGGGATTGCCATTTGCATTCATCAAACTATTCAATATAATTAGTCATGCTAGTGTTTTCCTCCCCAGTGCTCAATTGTTACCGTAATTATGTTAATGTACCAAAAGGCACTACACATGGGTTGGATCTAAAAGTCTAAGCCAATTGAAAAACCCACATCTTTCTCTCTGTGCTGTAGTCTGGATTATTTCATTAGATTTACCTTCAAAATCAGTAATTCTATCTTAAGTTATATTTTATACTATTTAATTTCATTTTCAATAGTTCATTTTATTTTTTTCTAAATTTACCTGTTCTTTATTTATTTGTCCTTCTCTTAATCTATGATTTCTTTTTTTTTTCCTCTATAAAATCTCTTTCAGAATTTTGTATTATCTGTTCTGGAGATGTAGGTGTTGTCAGTTGTGAGTTTTGCTGGTTCTCATGAGTTTTTTTTCTTACATACTGTGTCATTTATAGCTCTGACTGTATCTTCAAAGACTGTTATTTTCTGGGGAATCCATTGAGCCATAGTCATGAGGTGTTCAACCAAGTGGTTTTACATTTGTCTGTTAGACCACTATAATTAGCCAGTTCTACCCAATCTTTAGGTTAATTTTGTGTGATTCTTTTTTTAAATATTTATCTATTTATGCATACAAGAACTGGGGTACAGGCCAGAGGTGTGGGAGGTGAGAAGATTCACCAGAGACAGACTGGGGAAAAGAACAGGCAGACTGACTGAAATACACTGCTGAAGGGAGCAGCGGGCAAGCCAGGAGAGGTCTGCTGCGCCATGTAGGTAGCTCCCTGGCCGGGGATCAAACTTGTGCTGCAGTGGGTGCGGATAGCTACATAGGTTACGTCTTAACCCCTTGTGCCACCACGGAGGCCCAATTTTGTGTGATTCTTAATTCCACAAGCATAATACAAACATGGATGCGGCATTCATATTGCACAGACTTGAGATTTTCTTCCTATGATCTTTTTCCTTTGCCTCTCTACCTCCAGGACAGCGGGCCTGTTTTTTTTGTTTTATTTTGCTTTGTTTTCCTATGGTGTTTCACAGAAGGTTGATTACCAGTTTTACACAAGGAGTTCATTTCCAACTCCTCACCATGCACAGATCCTTGGGCTTCAGCTTGCATTCCCACCCAACTTTGTAATACCAGCTCTACAACAGCCTTGGAGTCATAAGCTACCTTAAATAGTACATTTCTCAGGGAATTCTCAGATGAACTTGAACTACATTCAATCCTACCAATGAAATTTTACAGCAGTCAATCAACAATAGTGTATCTTTGCTTCAGATTTTTCTTGTGGGTCCTTTGACTCATTTCCTCCTCATCGTGCTGACCCCTTTCTTTATCCCTCCTACCTTTGGTCCCTCCTTCTCTTGGAATTTACTTTGCATCTTTCTTTTTATTTTACAGTTTGTCCATTTGTTAAAATTTTTCAACATTTCTGGGTTCAAAGCAGAAAGATTACCTATGTCCACACAGTCTGTCCTTTGACTAGAAATATTCCCATCTTTTCACCTTATCCCACCTTATCTTATTATACTAGTCACTGTATGAATATGACCTTTTCACTATGGGACGCTGTGTGGAGGATCCTTAAAATACTAGAAATGTAGCAACCATATGATCCAGCAATTCCACTCCTAGGAATCTACCCAAAGACACAAAAACACTAATTCAAAGGGAAAACTGCACTCTCATGTTCATTGTAGCACTATTTACAATAGCTAAGATATGGAAACAACTGAAATGCCCCAAAACAGATAAATGAATCGAGAAGATGTGGTATATATACATAAGGGAATACTACTCTGTGATCAAAAAAAAAAAAACTCATGCCATGTGCAGCAACATGATGGAGTTGGAAGGAATTTGCTCAATGAAATAAGTCAAAAGGAAAAAGAAAAATATTGGATGGTTTCACTTATAGGTGGAATATAGGGGAATCGAACAAAGGATCAGGAAAAAGACAAAACTTGCAGGCAGACCATAAATTTGAGGCATTCAGCAGGGAGGTGGAGGGGGTCAAAACAAGGAGGGAAGAGCACAAAGGACTTCGGTGATAATTTATGGGTGCTGTGGTGGTGAGAAAATTATGGGGACCACACTGAGAGGAGAAATCAAATATTGTACAAAAGTGAACAATAGTATAAAAAAATAAAATATATATATATAACCTTTTCTTTGGGATGTTTGTGGCAATATGGATGGTCCCAGTCATGTTTCTTCATTTATTTTTCATTTCTAGGTTTTGGAGTATCAGAGACAAAAGCCATCATGACTCTTGTGTCTGGGATTCCCATGGGTCCGCCCCGGCTTCCACTGCAGAAAGCCTCCAGGGAGTTCACTGATAGTGCAAAAGCCAGACTCAAGAGCCTGGATTTCCTTTCTCTGGCTGGTTCAAATGATGGAAATTTGGAAACCTGTAGCTAGTGCCTCTTTATCAATTCAGGGTGTGTATATCACACACATAATCCAACTTATACGGGGCATTCATTTCTCAAGATGAGCTTGAACTAAACTGTTTCCAAGCAACTGAAGTCTCATATCAATCAATAAGTAGTAAAGTACCTATAATGATCTTGTGAACAAGCTGAAGCTCTCAAAGAGAGTCATGAGCCCTAAACCATGCAATATTTCAAAAAATTTTGAGAAATTTTTTTTTGTATGGATGAAATGAAATCAAAAGGAAATTGTAATCTATTCATTTCATTTGCCTTTGGAAGCTCCTATTGTCTTGATTTCTAGTTCTTAATCCTATTTTTAAGTTTTCTAATTTTAAATCACTATATAATATACTTTTCATTTTAATAAATACTCATTTGGAATCTAGGAAAACTCTCTTAGCTACTGCATTTGGGCAGACACACTCACTTCAATGCAAATTATAATGTGGCTCAACTCCACACAACTGTTACCATTTGAGTGCTCAGTCTAATTCTAGAACATCTGTTTTCAGATTGTGACATTAACAGTTTTTTTCCCATAATGTTGGGTTAAATGAAGACTCACTATAATTAAAGGTCCTATGGGAGTAGTTTGATATATTTTATCCCTAAAGGGTAATTTTGGGGTGTTCCTGAGATTAAGTTCTGTGTGTGTGTGTGTGTGTGTGTGTGTGTGTGTGCTTCCCCACACAAAAAAGCATCTCAGAAGCACCAACAGGGCATTCAAGGATTCAACTCAGTTCTAACTGTCTACCCTGAGATAGCATTACAATCCACAGATTAAAGGCTTAGCCTCTCAGCCTCTCCACTTCAATGTGAGTTCCAAGTCTGAGCTGTTGTTTGTGTTTCTGAGCAACTGACTATGAGTAAAGGTTCCTATGAACCCCCTCATCAGACTTCAGGTGGCAATCACAAAAGTACAGGTTATTACCTGTGTTTAAGATACAAGGTAAGAAACCTCTAGCCATTTCTCATATGAAATAAGTATATATCAAAGTATATATCTTCATCAAGGCCACTCATGGCTGATGGCAGAGCCAAATATAAATTTTAGCCAGGTTATACACCAGTTTATATTCCCCATCAAGACTCTTAATAACCTTATAACCACTTTTAGTGATAACTAAAAAGCCAGTTTTATTTCTAAGTCTCAAGTCCAAGAAACTACTCATGGGAGTTAGGTTCATATAATATGAAATGACAAACAGCACAATATGGTTATGGGAGGCAGGATAACCGCAAGTCCCAGCTCCACCACTTATTAGCTATTTGACTTATGTTATTTCTCTTTTCAGTCATTCAGTTAGGTCATCTATAACATAAGAATTTCAATACCTATTTCCTTGGCATTGTTGTGAAAATTATGTGAAATAATACATGCAAATGTCTTAGGGTAGCTCCTGGCACATCATAAATGCAGTGAGGTATTTTTGTAGTTGTCCCAGGCATTCAATATATGCTCTTTCTACAGTAGAGAAACATGACATTAATACTAAACCTTTTAACTGGCAGAAGTGGCAAAATAAATTTGAAAATGATTCTAAACCCAAGGCAAGAACTGAAATGGAAACTTGCATTTATTGATTGTAGTGCCTCTCTCAGATTTTTTACCTAGTTTGGGAGTTTTTGACTATATTTCCATATAACAGGAGAGAGTAGGGAAGAAAAACATTTGTGGTTTGATGGACCCAGATGTGATTATTTGGAATAGTGACTAACACAATGGGAGAATGCAATGCTAAGAGGTGTTTGAAAGGAGCAGCTGGTCAAAGAGGCATAGATGAGAAAAGAGGAAACAGTGAGTCACCACATGAAGATTTGAAGTATTTATGTGCCTACAGGGTAAGAAGGTAGGTAACATGACTTTTTATATCAGAAATGTCACTCAAAGCATTGTGGTGAGTTGTTCTGAACAAATCAACCATTTGGTGACCTATTGTAATAAGGGGAAACTCTAAACTGAGCAAGTAGCAGCAGAGATGGAGAGGAGGGAACAGAATAAAAGACATTTAGAACAATCAACAGAAGTGGAAAATACCTGTATTTGTTACTTTTTCTGTGACAAATCTCCCAAAAAGTGAGCTGCTTAAAACTGCAACCATTTAGTAGCTTACACAGTTACTAAGGGTCAAGAATCAAGGAGAAGCTTAACTAGATGGTTCTGGCTCAAGAATTTTCTTAAGGTTGTGCTAGGAGAAAAGAATGTCCTGAGCTAATTCCATACAGGCTTTGTGGACTCTACCCCGACTCCAGGCCAAAGCCATCAAGACACTGGGAACTACAAATCCCATCATTGCCAAAGGGAGGGTTGCTGGGACCTGGGGGTGGAGTTAAGCAGCCAGGTTTAATATAAAACCAGACACGTGGATCCCTGGGGGTCTCTCTCTTGGCTCTGCAACAGGGTGGTCCCCAGGAAAGGGGGAGGTTCCCTGCCCCACCCAAGGGAGGGTGGAGCTGAGCAGGAAGAGGAGAAGCTGCAGAAGAGACTGAGGAAGGAGCAGGATGGAGCCAGAAGGAGACCTGGAGGAGGCGCATGGAGCCTAGAGACACGTGAAGAAACTGCGCTTGTCTTTTGGTCGTGGACTGGGTGACACAGATGTGGGTGAGACCCGTGGGAAGGTGACAATGGCAGCTTTTATCTTGATGTTGATTTTGCTCTTTTCCTTCCGGGCTTGTCCGGTTGTTTGTGACCCTTTTCTGTGGGTCCCCACTGGAAGATGCTTTAGACTTGTGGTAGACTTTGGGGCCTTGTTCTGGGCCGATCCCATATGGATGCACTTTTACCCACGAGGGGACGGGTAACTTTGGGTGCTTTATTTAGAAACTAGACTCTTTGCCTCACCTGTATTGTTTCCTAGTTTTTATTAAAGATCCTTCCCATTAAAGTGTCATATGTTTTGTGTTGATGCGGCGGATGGCAGAACCCATTTAGTATAGGCAGGTTTGTGGGGCTTGGGCTGCCCCTCTCCCTGTCCTATAACAGCTCCACGGCTCTTGGCTCACCGCCAGCTCTCAGAGTGCCATTTGGAATTCCCTATCGGCGGAACTGGTAGGACACATTTAAGACTTTATCTCCCTCTTTTCTCCCTCTTTTCCTGAGTTGTACATTTCCTCATTTCCCCTTCCCTTGTAAAAAAAACCTTTTATTAACCTTTTGCGTGTGCCTGCAGTTGAGTATTAATAAGTCCCTTTTAAGCACGCGGGTGAGGACCCACAGCCAGGCAACATGTTTTATATCGGGGTTGCCCTGTAACAGTTGCAGTCAAGCTATTGACCCAAGATTCATTTCCACCTTCACTCACATAGTTGTGAGCAGGCCTCTGTTCCTTGCTAGCTGTTCGGCTGTTTGTCAGGGACTTCAGATTCTTACCATATCATGACAGCTTGCTTGAGAGAGAGAGAGAGAGAAGCGGGGGAGGGAGGGGAGTTTAAGGGGGCATATCAGAGCTTAGAACAAAACAGTGGATCAAAGGCACAGGTCTTTTAAAGCAGCCTCCAAATTGACCTACCATCCCCTTATATATGCTAATAGTCAAAAAGATCAACCCTAGTACAATGTAGGGTGGGACTACACAGTGACACAGTGAGGTGAAGATCACCGTTGGCCATCTTAGAAGTTGTCTACCAGAAAAATGAAGGAATTAGGATTGACACCCAAGAACCAAAGCCTGTAGGATATGATATAGATGTCCACCAAGTATTTACATATGTTGATCTAAAGCTCAAAAAAAGATTTGGACAGAGATATAGGCTTAGGAGCTATTAACATATGAACAGCACTTGAATTCACTGGCAGAGGATTGTCCAGGCAGAGTGTAGAGAGTGAGGTAAGAACAGAATCTAGGCATGACCAGCATTTGGAGTTTATGTGGAGGTGTTATCGGGCAGGGAGAGGGGCAGCCCAAACCCTGCAAACCTGCCTGTTCTAAATGGGTTCTGCCATCCGCCGCATCAACACAAAACATATGAGACTTTAATGGGAAGGAACTTTAATACAATTAGGAAACAATACAGGAAAGGCAAAGAATCTAGTTTCTAAATCAAGTACCCAAAGTTACCTGTCCCCTCGTGGGTGAAACTCCATCCAAATAGGATTGGCCAAGAGCAAGGCCCCAAAGCCTGCCACAAATCTAAAGCATCTTCCAGTGGGGACCCACAGAAAAGGGTCAGAAACAACCAGACAAGCCCAGAAGGAAAAGAGCAAAATCAACATCAAGATAAAAGCTGCCATTGTCACCTCCCCACGGGTCTCACCCACATCTGTGTCACCCAGTCCACGACCAAAAGACAAGCACAGTTTCTCCATGTGTCTCTAGGTTCCATGTGCCTCCTCCAGGTCTCCTGGCTTCATCCTGCTTCCTTCCTTCCTCAAGTCTCCTCTGCAGCTTCTTCTCTCCCTGCTCAGCTCCACCCTCCTTTTTGGGTGGGGCAGGAAACCTGGACCCTCACCCTTTCCTGGGGACCACCCTGTTACAGAGGAAGTAACATATATGGAAGTAGTTATACAGGAGTCTGAAATGGGGTTGATGAGAGAAATGGGAGCAGAGCTGTGCTCACCGGGCTCAAATGTGACAGTGCTCAGAGTATTTGCTTCTGGAGTCTCATTCTTGGAGAACAGTAAGCTCTGAGGTAAACAGTTGGCAAATGTCTCCTAACCACTACCTGAGCCTCTTCGAAGTGTGGCAAGCAATGGGCGCTTAGCAGTTGGGTACCACAAGAGGCAAGAAAAAAAAATGAAAAATGGTAACAACACCTGAAAGCAAGGATCCTATACCATTGTAACAGGGTGGTCCCCAGGAAAAGGAGAAGTTACAGGTTCCCTGCCTCACCCAAGGGAGGGTGAAGCTGAGCAGGGAGGAGAGGAAGCAGGTGAGGAGATTGAGGAAGGAAGGAAGTAGGGTGGAGAGCCAGGAGACTTGGAGGAGGCACATGGAGCAGAGAGACATGTGAAGAAACTGCGCTTGCCTTTTGGTCGTGGACTGGCTGACACAGATGTGGGTGAGACCTGTGGGGAGGTGACAATGGCAGCTTTTATCTTGATTTTGTTCTTTTCCTCCCAGACTGGTCTGCCTGTTTCTGATCCTTTTCTGTAAGTCCCCGTTGGAAGGTGCTTTAGACTTGTGGCAGCTTTCGGGCCTTGCTCTGGGCCAATCACTTTTGGGTGGACTTTTACCCACAGGGTGGGTGGGTAACTTTGGGTACTTGATTTAGAAACTACATTCTTTGTCTTTTCTGTATTGTTTACTAATTGTATTAAAGTTCCTTTCCTTTAAAGTCTTTATATGTTTTGTCTTGATGCAGTGGATGGCAGAACCTATTTAGAGAAGGCAGGTTTGGGGGTTCTGGGGTGTCCCTCTCTCTGCCCTGTAACACCTCCAAATCATTTTTATTTTAGAAGAACTGGGGTGTAGGCCAGAGGTGCGGGGGTGGTGGTGAGAGGATTCAGCAGAGCTATAGTAGGGAGGAGAACAGGCAGATTTACTAAATTACACTAAGGGGGGCAGCAGGCTACCTGGCCGGGGATCAAACTCAGGCCATAGTGGTGATAGTGCTGAGACTTAACCCCTAGGCCACCAGGGAGGCCCCAAATCATATACAGTGCTGTAAAACAATGTTACCTCAATTTAAAAAAATGAAAGAGATGAAAAAAAAGATGAAAATATCATGGGGTTGATAGTTGATTAGCCTGGATTCTCTGGAACAACCCCAACTTGAAATAGTTTCTAGAGTTTAAAAAAAAAGCGTAATTTACTACTATGATTCCTAAGGATACAAATTATTCTAAGGACTCTGAGTGTAACAGGGTGGTCCCCAGGAAAGGGGGAGGTTCCCTGCCCCACCCAAGGGAGGGTGGAGCTGAGCAGGAAGAGGAGAAGCTGCAGAAGAGACTGAGGAAGGAAGCAGGATGGAGCCAGGAGACCTGGAGGAGGCGCAGGGAGCCTAGAGACATGTAAAGAAACTGCGCTTGTCTTTTGGTCGTGGACTGGGTGACACAGATGTGGGTGAGACCTGTGGGGAGGTGACAATGGCAGCTTTTATCTTGATGTTGATTTTGCTCTTTTCCTTCCGGGCTTGTCCAGTTGTTTGTGACCCTTTTCTGTGGGTCCCCACTGGAAGATGCTTTAGACTTGTAGCAGGCTTTGGGGCCTTGTTCTGGGCCAATCCCATTTGGATGGACTTTTACCCACGAGGGGACGGGTAACTTTGGGTGCTTCATTTAGAAACTAGATTCTTTGCCTTACCTGTATTGTTTCCTAGTTTTATTAAAGTTCCTTTTCATTAAAGTCTCCTATGTTTTGTGTTGATGCGGCGGATGGCAGAACCCATTTAGAATAGGCAGGTTTGAGGGGTTTGGGCTGACCCTCTCCCTGTCCTATAACATGAGGATAAAAGGATATGCAATTACCAGAGTGGGAAGGGGGTATAATTTAAGCAAAAACAAACAAAAACAAAAACCTTGCAAGCTGTATTCATTATTAAACCGTGTTTTACTGGCATTTACCTTGTGCCAAGTACGGCAATCTATGATCTAGCCAGCAGGGTTCCTGCCTTCATTTAACTTATTTCTCCTGTGGGAGATGTTCGAGTTAGATAACGGAATCACTGCAGTAACAAATATTGAATACCTATTACGTGCCAGGAACTGCGCTAAGAACTGCCATTTCATATAATCATCTCAAAGACATTATGAAGTTAGCACCACAATTTCCGGTTCTGCTGAGGGCACCTCATCTCCCAGAGGTTCCTATGCAGAAGCTGAGAAACATTTGGGTGCATCCAAATACTTCGGGTCCTCCCAAAACTGTTGGAAAGTTAAGCAGTGCACTTGGAGAAGCCGTTACACAGGGAGCGGATAGGCCGGCGCCTCAGGTCTCCCAGGCGACGGGACGCCGAGAGCAGGGAGACGCGACTTCCGGCCCCGCCCGGAAGTGCGCCCCGTCCCGAACTCGCCTTGTGCGCAGGCGTAAGCGCGCTAGCCCCGCCCCCTGGCGCCGCCGGAGGAGCCATTTCGCCGCGTTGAGGCGTTTGTGGTGCGCTCGCCGGTTGTTGGCGTGGAAGGCCGGAGCGACGCGCGGTCGTACGAGGGCTGTGCTCTCTGGTGCCGGGAGGCCGAGGCCGGTAGGGAAAGGCGTTCTCGCGGCCCGTTGAGGCGGCCTGGGGCTCCGCGGCCGGGCTTTGTTGCGGAGCGCGGGCGGCGGCGGGTGGGGGAAGGGGCGCGTCGACCGCGGGGCCGGGGATTCGGGCTGTGAGCGCTGCTGGCGGCGCTGGCGCTGCCCCGGGCCTCATTGTGCCCCCAGTACTTCGTCTAGCAGCGTCCTTCTTGTTTCCGAGCTCCACTTCCCCCCTCACAGCTGAGTGAAAGGGGGTGAAGGTGGGGACCCCCCCCCCATGACGCCACACGGGCCTGGGGTCCTTGATTTTTTCGTTCATGCGCGTAACAGACGCTGCATCCCGCCCTGCAGGCACTGGGCAGAGCAGTGAGGGAGGTAGGCAGGTGCAGTCCCCGCCTTTCCTTCGTTGCAGTGGCTTGGAGCGACTGTATGAACACGGCTGCAGGTTTTGATGAAAAGATAAGAGGGATCAAAGCGTTCAGGGAGAGCTACTTTCGATAGGGTGGCAGGGAAGGGCATCCCGCTTGGGAGACCTTTGAGCTGATCCCTTCGTGTTCGTTGGCTCTAAGGGCAGCGATTGGAGAGAAACTGGAAGGCCATGTGCCTGGAGTGTGGCGCGAAGGGGCTAAAAGAAGAATGAATTGTAGGGTGGCCTGCATGGAAGCAGGGAAATCAGTTAGGAAGCTCCTGTAGTACCCAGGTGGGCAGTGTGGGGGCAGGGGAGATGCATTGCAGCGAATGGACCCAAGGCATGTTTTGGAGGCAGACTTGCCTGGTATCGGGAGTCAGACGCCTTGGCTTGGAATTCTGGATGCCCCCGTTAGGAGCTCTGCCTTCTGGGGCAAGTTGTTCTGGGTCTCAGTTTCCTCATCTGTAAAAAGGGGATGCTAATGCTTTTCTGTACAGCCAGCTGTGGCTTATATATACAGCTGTTGCAAGAATTAAGTAAAATAGTTTTAATAAACGATCCTCTAAGTCTGGCACATAGTAAAGCCTCTCCACAGCATAGCCTGGAGGATCTTGAGGGAGTGGCTGAGTAACTTGTCTCTAGTAGGGGCATTTAGGGAGATGGGAACACTGGGATTGTGTGGGGAGCAAATTTAAAATTGCTTTAATAATTCAAGATAGCATTCAAATGGATACGTGTTAGTGCTGCAGTTGGATGAACTTGACTTTGAAACTAAGAGAAAGGACTAAATTTTCCATATGTAATTTAGGTGTCCCTAACATATAGTTAATAATGAATATTCTAGAGTTAAGTGAGACTACCAAGGAAGGAAGGTATTTCATAGCATAGTCCTATTTCATAGTGTAGTCCTATTTCATATTACTCATTACCCTAAGGGCTTGTGTTTTGAATTATTCAGGGGTGGAATTGATAGATAGACATCTTCAGTTTTCCACAGCTTTCAGTTAATAGGATGTCTGCAGGGTTAGCCTGTGACTATAGAATAAACCTTAACAAATTTATGTTAGGGTCAATTTTGATACATTAAACTTAGGTGCTAACAAAATGCCCTAAACATGAAACAGAAAACAGGTTTAATGCCAGTAATGGAGTGTCTTTTCCCAGCAAACTAACTTTATATTTATAGCAAATTTTAGGTATTGAACATTAAAATAAATTACCATTTTCATTTCAAGTATTGAATAATGTGTTTGGGTTTATTAATATGTAAATAACCTACATATTTGCATATAGCTACTAGGAGACATTATCAGGATGTCCAGTAGAATAAACTATTGGATTTATGCATAAAAATGACTGACCATTTCTTAATATAGTAGTTTAGGTTTGAATTTAGATCTCCTCAGTGGGTGACTTGCAAAAATTACTTAAATTTTCTGTGTCTTATGTTTCTTCCTCTGTAAAAAGATCATAATAGTACTGTCACAAAATCTCTACCATAGTTGTAAGGATTAAATGAATTAAAACACATAAGATGCCTATTGTAGGGCCTCCCTGGTGGTGCAAGGGGTTAGTACGCAGCCTATGAAGCTATACGCAGGCTCTGCAGCACGAGTTCAATCCCCGGCCAGGAAGCTACCCACATGGAACAACAGACCTTGCCTGCCTCGCCCTCTGCTCCCCTCAGCAGTGTATTTCAGTCAGTCTGCCTATTCTGTTCCCCACTCTGTCTCTGGTGAATCCTCTGGCCTGTACCCCAGTTCTTGTATGCATAAATAAATAAATATAAAAAAAAAGATGCCTTATTGTAAGAAGTAGGACATTACTTATACTATTTTTTAAGAAAAGATAAAAGTAACATGCACTGTCCCAGAATATCCACTGGCTATTTCTTTCCAGTCTTGAGTTATGCATATGTGTGTGTGTATGTATATGTGTGTATATATATGTGTATGTATATGTAACTTTTTATGTAGTCAAATTGTTCACTTTTATATCCTGCTTTTTCTTGTAACAAATCATAGACTTTCCAATTATGTCACTAAAATATCTTCATTTCAGTAAATTCTAGTTACTGGTTATTTCCAGTGATTATTGTAAGTAATGCTGTCTATAAATTTTGTTTTCTCAGGTCTGAAGAAAATACTTGAATCATGGGTGACGTTAAAAATTTTCTGTATGCCTGGTGTGGCAAAAGGAAGATGACCCCAACCTATGAAATTAGGGCAGTGGGGAACAAAAACAGGCAGAAATTCATCTGTGAGGTACTAAAGAATACAGTTTACATATCTGTGTTTATAAGGCTTGTTTTGATGTTAAAAGAAATAATGTCTTCTGTTTGGAAATGTTAGTATGTTGCAGGTTGGTGAATTTTTATGGTTAACCTGCCTGCTATTCTACTATAAATCATTTTCAAATGAGCATTACCTGAAATTACATAAAACAATTTGTGGGGTATATATGCGTGTTGATTCTCAGCAATCAGCATCTGAAATTTCTATGTATAACTGCATCATTTTTCTATGATGTATTGTTACTTTAATAAAATAAATACTAAAGCAGACTAATAGGTATTATTTTAATTAGAACATGTATTTTCCTCAGCTTCCATAGTACCCTAAGTACAGATTAGGTATAGTTGGTTCTACAGTTTTCTAACTCCTGTTGAATGTAGAACAATTCTTAATTGCTTCAATCAAAGTGCTTACTAAAAATGGAGAGTGTGTTCTTGGATATTAAAATTGGATTTTAATGTAGAACATTTTGTTGTAACAGAAGAGAGTATTTCAGCCACAATATTTTTGGATTAGCTTATCACACTGTAGAACACAATTCAAACTGTAGACAGCCCATGAATTCTTTTACATGTTATTTTCGTTGTGTTTAAAGAGTATATCTCTAATAGCTAATTGTTATCCCTTAATGGAGTATTGATTTATGAATTTTTTTAAATCCCAGAATCACCCAGGTTAATCTTGTAATTTTTTTCCCCCTGACTCTTAAAGGTTCGAGTAGAAGGATATAATTACACTGGTATGGGCAATTCCACTAATAAAAAAGATGCACAGAGCAATGCTGCCAGAGATTTTGTTAACTATTTGGTTCGAATAAATGAAGTAAAGAGTGAAGAAGTCCCGGCTGTTGGGGTAAGTACTTAAAATCAAGCACTTGCCATGTATAAGGTTATGCTAATGGGCCTCCCTAGTGGTGCAGTGCCGCGGACCAACGCAGCGGTAGACTTGCAGGACTGTCTCAGGATTGAGAAACTGTGAGGATGCTCAAGGAATCGGCGCATAAATGACAGACAGACACACAAATGACAAACAGACACACTTCAAGAGTGAAGATCTGAATGTAATTTGCTCAAAATCATCATACACTTTTATACCATTTCCAACAATAGATGATTTCATACAATTTAATTCTTTCTCAGCATAAAATACTTTGTAAGGCATAAGACATCTACTTTGTTATTCATGTTCATGTGATCGCCGTTCCATGACATGGCACAGTAAACAATCTCCAGGTACTGAATCTACACAATCATTTTAGCTTACACCGAACAGCATTCTTTAAGCTAGCTTTTCTTGATTCGTATCCCAAAACCACAATGATCAAAAACATTGATATTTACCTACTGGCACCTTCTACTTTTAGTGATCACGAGCAATATATTTTCTACGTAAGCATTTTGATTTTTATGGTGTTGTCTCATGTGAGAAGTATTATGATTATTATAAAACTACTATTGCCACACACTATTTTCTTTATCATGCATTTCCTGAAACTGATTGTACACATATAAAGAAAAAGCAAAGTAAGTGAAAAAGTAGTATGATTATAGACAGGTTGCTAGGTTGCTACTTATTCTGAAACAATGGCTATCTGATTAATGGTTATAATTCCATCAGGCTTGTTTGCAGGTGACGCTCTTAGCAGCCTTGTTTTCATCAAAGGAGGGGTTAATTACTGCGGGCTTGTTGCCTAAATTAGGTTTATAGGCATGTGTGCCTTGTTTGATCTGAACGCCAAAGTTTATCATGATGAAGCCCCTCGGGGACTGCGCCTGTCTTAGGTCATCAGGAGTCACAGACATGAGGCTGGCCAGTGCCTTCTTTAGTCTGCCCCCGATCTTACCCGTCATTGACTGTCCAGTCCAGCGCGCAGGGGAAGGGGTTCTTACTCACTCTGATGTGTCTGAGTGAAAGCCTCCCTCTTTCCAGTAAGTTCACTGGCGTTCAGCGGCAGAGGCTGCCGCAGTGCAGGGGCTAAAGACACAGCTGTCAAGCTATTACCAACCACTGCAGCACAAGTTAGATCCTCGGCCTGCCAGGGAGCAACCCTCATGGTGCTGCAGACCTCTCCTTTCTTGCCTGCTGCTCCCCTCAACAGTGTATTTCAGTAGATCTGTCTGTTCTGCTCCCCACTCTTGGGTGAATCCTTTTGGGGATTCCTCTGTAAAAAGATCATAATAGTACTCACCTCTACTCTACACCCCAGTTCTTGTATGCATAAATAAATAAATCTGTAAAGAAAAAAAAGCAAGGTTATGCTAAGTTAATGTGGAGATCCAAGGTGAACATTTTTCAATTTGATTTTAAAATTTATTAATGTGTTCCTTAATGAATCTTGGCATCTGATTTTCTCAGAGCACTGGAGTAAGTTCCTGAGGAGCTGGATTTCATTCTAATCATGTAACTGACTTTTATGAGACCATTAATCTGTATGCTTTAAGGTTTTCTATATTTCATTTGTTTGTGAACTGATTTTTCAGAATCTAATGTGTACTCTCTAATTCCAAGAATAACATTCAAAAGGAATATAAAAATCAGTAATATTTAAAGAAACAAGATTTGCATCTATTGATTCTTCCTTCTATATAGTAGAGAGAAAATAGGTTTTTGTACAGTGGAATCATTGTTTTTGATAGCCTTATTTTTATTACACAAGAATGCCACCAAGACTTCTTTCTACTACTGCTTTTAGGAAACTTTCTTATTTCATTAAAAACATGAAAATTTCATAAAACTCAAAAAAGGATTGCTAGTATTGTAAAAGATTCATGTTATTGCTTAAATAAATTCCTTGGGTACATTTAAAGATTTAATAAAACCTTTAGGAATTGTATCCATACCAATTATAACAATTCATTAACACAAAATTTTTTGTATTGTGACTTTTATAAGTGTAAAAATACATGTTTTATATTCATAAACTGCTCTGACCCAGAAGCCAGGGAACTTACTTTCTAGTATATTATACCATTAGGTAATTATTTGATTTTTGATTACATTGGTTTGCCCACCTGTACAGTGAAGGAATTGGACATGATCTTAACAATTCTTTCTGGGTATAAAAAGAATCTTACAAATAAAGTTTCAATTTTTTTAAAACATTGATACTTAATGCACATTTTAAGACCTTTTCTGTCTTTTATTCACTTCCACAATTGCTTTGTAGTGTGTCCACTGACAGCAAATTCAGTAACTGTCTTTCGAAAGTGAAAGTGAAAATATTTTTATTTTACCTTCATTCTTGAAAAATATATTCACTGAATAAAGAATTCTGGGGTGCCAGTTTTCTACCATCAGTTTAAATGTTTCATTGTCATCTTACATTGTTAACTAATGAGAAGTCAACTGTAAATTTACCTTATGCACACACTCACTGTGTCGTTTTCTTCAGTTACTTTTTTTCTTTATCTCTGGTTATCAGCAGTTTGACTTTGGTGTAACTAAATAACAGCTTTTTGTACTTATCCTGGTTAGAGTTTGCTGATATTTCATTTCTGAATTCATAAATTTATGTCTTTCACCAAATTTGGGAGATTTGGCTATTCTCATTTTTCTTCTCCTTTAGAATTCATAGGTTAACATGCATGCTAAACCTTACATATTATCACAAAAATCCCTCAGACTCTTTTTTTGCCTCTTTTCCAACTTACTGTTCTTTAGATTGTACTTTTTGCAATTCATACTTCTAATCATTTTCTTTCTTATAAGCATGTGTTCATAATTTGAATGTGAATTTCTTTTATGTCATTGAAATTAATTATAATAGCCGCTTTAAAAACTAATTGTAACACCTGTGTCATCTGGGGTTGGGTTCTGTTTTTATTTTCTCTTGAGATTGGATCACCATCTCCTCTTTGTCAGTAGCATTATATCTTAGACATTATGTATGTTGCAGAGCTTTTATAATAATGTCATTCCTCCAGAAAGTATTGTTGTTATTTGGTTTTCAAGCAGTTAAACTGAGAGGTACTCTAAGACCCTCCCGCCAAACTTGCATGCTCTGAGTTCTAGCTGCCACATAAAGACAAAACATACTTAATATGTAAGATCATCCATAGAATTTTAAAAGAACTAGTGTGCATAGCATAGAGAGAGAAGAGAAAGGGTAATAGTTTCTCAGTGAAACACCCAAAGTTACACATCCCCTTATGGGCAAATGCCCAGCCAAACAGGGTTGGCCCAAAGCAGGGCCCGAAACCTCACCACAAGTCTTTAAGTCACTTCTGACAGAGAACCATAGGAAAGAGGCAAAAGGTGCCAGGCAAGTCTGTGAGGAGAAGAGCAAAACCAAAGTGCAAATGAAGATAAAGGCTGCCATTTTCGCTCTCCCCACAGATCTCTCACCTACGTCTCTTCCAAGTGTCCACTTCCATGTTCCCCAAGTCCTTGGTGTAAGCCCAAGGCTGAGAAGCAAATGTTCCACATTTCTCTTCCACACCTTTTCTCTTACCAGTCCTCCCCATTCCTTTCTCCCTTCCCCTCTCAGCTCAGCTCAACCCTCCTTGGGTGGGGCAGGGAACCAGGAACCTCCCTTTGTATGGAGATTACACTAATTTACCATTTGACTCAAATTATAAACCTTATCTTTTAAGTAACTGCTCAGATCTCACTTCAGTTTTCTGGTCCTGAGAGTCCATCTTGTCTACATATAATTCAAGAATTTTGACTTGAGTTCATACACAGTATTTGTGGTTGCTCCTTTCCTTTCGAGGATCTCTCTTCACTTACATTGATTCTTCAGACCAGAAGGCCCAGGCTTTCTACTGCAGTTTTAACTGCCTCAGGTGATTTTCCTTCAGTCTAAAAGTCTTAATTAACCCTCCTTATTCCTTGCTTCCTCATTTCAGGTTCCTTCTTGAATTTTTCAACTTGGTTTACTTTTTAGTACCTGTATGTAGTTGTGGAAATTTTGTACTTTTTCCCCTTAGACCTTTTATTGTTAATCTGTAGGAGTTTCCTCTAGTAGCAGCTTACTGGACTACACCAGAAGGGATACACTTTTGTCTTTTCTTATTAGATACCCATTTGTCTATTATTAGCATTTTAACCTACTCAGATCTTTCCCATTGAATGCTGTATGCATTTTCTACTTTCTCCCTCACTTCCTCTTCCAGCTGCTCTGACCTTGCAGGTCTCCAAGTATGCCAGCAGATATCTGACTCAAGACTTTTGAACTTAATTTTTTCACTTCCAAAGTGTTGTTGATGAGGCTCTATTAATTGACTTTTGTTTCTTTAATTTTTTCTCTTTTTTTTTTTTTTTTTACAATTACAGATGGAAGTGACTAGCCTACCTTTAAGTAGGTACTTTTGTTATAATAGTCTGTAGTAGAGATCTTGAAAATAAGATTCTGCCTCAAAGGATATATGCTTAATGTGAGTTTGCAGGTTATTACCATTTTCTCTCTCCAAAGGAATTGTATTGTGCGTTTCCACTAGTAGTGCTTCTCAGTGAATTAATTTTAGAGATGCTGGGTTCAGAGTGAGGTCCTTGGATTACCTCTGGGAAAAGTTTCACCAGAGCTCCCCTTTTAGCGGCACCAGTGAGTTTCCCAGGCGAGTTTCTCCATGTGACAGAGGCATTAGTTGTATCCAAGAGGGCAGGTTTATTACAAAAGTGAGAGAAGAATAAAGGATACTTGCATAGACACAAAGGGCAGAAAGAGCTGCCCCTGAAAGAGACAGGGTTGTTAAAAGAGACACCAGCATAGTCACAGGTGGGCAGCCTGGGGAGGAGAGCAGCCTCTTCTGCTTTGCATGGCCACAGGTCACAGGCGGGCAGAAGGACTGCTGCCCTGTGCCAGTGCAGAGATTGCACTGATAGAATCGTCTCTTTGGGAGTGATACCGGAATTGTCAGGCCTAGTCTCCCAGCCAGGAATGGAGCCCAGGCTGCTGGGGCAATGTTGAGCCCCAGCCACTAGACCCCCACGGGCTGGTGTCTCACGAAGCCGCAGCAGGAACTTCGCAGACTCTCAGGCAAGCAAGCGAGAAGAGGCAGGTTTGTTTATAGAAAGAAAAAGTTTATTGAGGAGAAAAAAGAGCAGAAATAAAGTGGGACTCCCAGGCCAGGAAGCCAAAGTGGAGTTGTGTCTCAGGGAATATATACCTTCTTTCCCTCATTATTCTAAAGCTCCACCAGTCTCTTTGTGATTGGTTAGTTCTCGGCTGTCTCACTTAATTTGCTACTGAGTAGGGTATCTTCACATTCCTTATCTAACAGCTTTCTCTTTCCCATTTGTTACATCTTTATCTTTATGGCCCAGTCCTCTGGATGAGCATCCCTGCATTGAAGTTAAACAGCTGCCCTTTTAAGTTGTCCATAAATTAAACCACTCTCCATTTCTCCAGTCTCTGCCTCCCTTTACCACCTGAAGGAAACCAGGACCAGCGTTAACAATGTTGTCCTTGGTCCTGGGATGTTTGTTTTTCCTAGTGGAATTGGTTACATTCCCTTGGTTGTCCTAATCTCTGAAGCCTCCCTAAATTCTTCAGCGGTCCCCTCCTGGACTGTCCTTAAAACTGCCTAATTCCTAGCTTGCCCTGTGTCTCAGGAGGGGCTCACTCCTTTGTGGAGTAGTTTGTTTGCTGTTGATTTTGAATAACTGTAGAATTTGAAAGGGACTAGAGATTCTACAGTGGCTCTCAATCTCCATATCCTCTCCTCAGGTCTGTGCTGTGACACTAACTGCAAGTGGACACTGTCATTGGGTCTGCACCTTGGTGCCTAATGATTTTTAGTACGTATAGCTGGTTTAATGACTATGTTGATCACTTCTACCCTCACCTCCAGCTCCCAGCATTGTGTGATCTAGGTGTCTGGTCTGGTCTTGTGGAACCTTTCCAACTTTTCTGCTCTTGTCCTCCATAAATACCACTTACGGAAAGGTAATCCCATGGCATGCACTGCTAGCCAATTGTTGTTTTACTGTCTCTGAGACTGTTCCTTAATTTTGTTTTTCATCTTCCCCTGGATGGAGGGTGGAGGGTAAGAGTAGAAAATTTGGAAAGGAGGCATCACAAAACAGAAACTGGCACCGTGAGAACAGAACCAGGAGGTAGGGGTAGAAATGATTAACATAGTCATTAAACAAACTGTAGAAAAGTAAGGTATCCTGAGGGGCAAACCAAGGTGCAGACCAGGTAGGGATATGGAGATTGAGGGCCATTGTAAGAAAAAAATCACAGGTCCTTTTAAAAATTGACCTAATCAAACCAAATATAGAAAAAATCCTTAGGCACCAACCCTAGAAATAATTTAACAGCAGTTAACAATCCCACAAAGGGATGAGCTCGCCCCAAAGAGAAGACTCTTATCAATGCACTTTATATACTGGCAAGAGGCAGCAGCCCTCCTGCCTGCCTGTGACTATGTAGGTGCTCCTTGTGGCCAACCTCCCTTTGCAAAGCATCAGAGGCCCCTATCTTCCCAAGACTGGCTGCCTGTGACTGTGCAGGCGTCTCTTTTAGAAAACCCGTCCCTTTCAAGGGCAGCGCTTTCTGTCCACTGTGTCTGTGCAAGCGTCCTTTTACATCCCTTCCCTGTTTATAATAAGCCTGTCCTTTTGAGTATAACAAAACGTCTCTGCCTCGTGGGAAAACTTTCCTGGGGAAACACAGTGTGCCGCTGAAAGGGGAACTTTGATGAAACTTTTCTTGTGTCGTTTGTACTTGTATATATATTTTTTTTGTAATGAATGCATCAGTTCTTCATTTTCGCTTAGACTAAATCATGATCTTTTGCTATTACTTGAGGACCCACTAGCTTTGTATCACAGCTGAGGCACTTTGAGCTTAGAAAACGCTCAGTCTTGAAAAGGGGCTACTGTTAAATCTGTCCCTCTCTTTATTTTCCTCATTCGGAAACAAATCTGCCCCCTACCCTGTAGGAAGCTATCTGTATCTTCTCAGGTTAGTTGCTCTTCAGACGTCTTTACAAAGATATTTAGACAGGACTTGGAAAATGCAATATCCATAGAGAATTGTCTCAGTAGGTACAAGACTTAATGAAATGTGGTGTCTTACCATGTTTCTGGATGAGAGGTTGCAATATTAGAAGCTGTCAGTCGATTTTTTGTAAGTCAGTTTGTTACAAGACAAGGAGGGTCCACCCCAGGACCCCCAGACCCTCCTGTTCTAAATAGATTGTCATCAACTGCATCAAAAAAAATCATACTCTTGTGCATAAGACCTTCAATGGAATGGAACTTTAATACAATTAGTGTGCAGTACAGAAAGGGGAAGAATATAGTTTCCAAATCAAGCACCCAGAGTTATCCATCCTTTCCTGGATAAATGTCCAGCCAAAGAGGGTTGACCCAAAGCAGGACCACTGAGGCCTGAAAGCCTGCCACAAGTCTAAGGCACATTCCGGTGGGACCCATAAAAATGATCAGAAACAGCCAGACAAGTCTAAGAGGAAAAGAGCAAAATTAAAATCAAGATCAGGGAGGCCCCAGAAACTAGTTTTGACTACAGAAACAAATTATTTGCAACTTGTATGACAAAGTGTGACTAGCACTAAAGTATTAAATATCAATTAGAACAATGACTGTCCACATAGACTAATGGACAAAGGAAGTATAAATTAAAATTATGTTATAAAATGCATAGTAGTATAACTGTTGCTGTAATTCCCAGAATTGGAAAAGATGTGGGGAAATAGATTCTTGTTTAGTGTTGGCATGAGTACAGATGTCAGCAACTTTGTGTAGCGGAATATGGTACTTTCTGAAATGTCGGTGCCTTTTAACCCAGGAATTTCACATTCATGAATTTTTCCTGAAAGTCATAAACCAAAGTAGAAAGGGATTATAGAAAAGTTATATAATTTAAGAATAGCTTTAATATAAATGTCCATCAATATAGTATTGCCTTAAAATGTGCTTATCATGTAGATTAGTATTTAAAGAAATAGATATACATAAAATATTTTGTATTTGTCTTAAAACTTGACATTCCTTCTCTCTACAAATTTCTTATGTCAGATACTCTCTTGACTCCTTACTTATTATAAATGTCACCCTATGAGTAAGTGGAGTTTTCCCTGTTTGCTTTATTTTAGTGATGATCTCTCATAGTGCCTGCCTTTCTTCTCTGCTTAATTGTTCTCTGGCATTATTATTGTCTAATTGCATAAGAATACAGAATTAGAATCTAGCTTTCAGGTTATAGCATGGTAAGTATAGAACAGACATGATTTCTTCATTGTTTTATCCTGAGTATCCAGAATAATGTCTGTAATGTAGAACGTTCCTGATACTTCTTGAATGTTGAATATGTTTATAAAGATTGTAAATGGAGAAAATAAAAAAAAATACAGCATAAATTAATTCCTTATTGTAGGAAAATTAAGTTTCTGTACATATTATATATATATATATATATAAAATCTCCAGATGGAAAATTTTTACTGCTCTTATTTTCTGACTGAAATGAGAACTTAATAGTTGTATAATTACTGAAAACAAAGATGTCAATATTATGGTGAGGAAGTATGACACATGGTCTTCTTTTAAGTGCAAAAGAATTTACCAGTCCCTGTGAAAGCATAATTTACTGACACTGCCTTGACTTTTTCTCTGGTAGGTAGCGCCCCCTCCACCCACACTTACTGATTCATCTGAGAGCACAGCAAATACTGCTGGTAGTGGTTTACCAACAACCATGGGCGGACCTCTTCCTCCGCATCTGGCTCTTCAAGCAGGTAAGGGAGTTGAATGTGTACATGTGACTAAGAATAATGTATATTCAGTCTTTCATGATCATCATCTCTCACCTGCATAGAAAGAAATAATCGCAGTAAACACTTACTTTGGGAAACAATCTCAGGCCTTCATAAATTGACAAATAGCATTAATCATTTAATTTCTCTTGTAAGCAGTGATAGAGTTTAACTCCTCACTGTCATTAACTTTTGCTAATTTTGGTATCTAGAAGATTTTGCACAGGCTAAAATATTTCATTAAAGGGCCTTATTAATTGTCACTTAAATATATTATAAAATTGTTGGTTTACATTATGGATCCAAGCCACTGCTGAATTCTATATATTACCAAAACTTTCATTGATCTGTTCACTGAGTTAAGAGTAGATAACTCGGATATTGGTCACATTACTTAAGTCTTAGATTCAGTGTCTATGAAATGAAAATAATAGTAGTTTCCACTTTATTAGAGTGTTGTGAGTAGGTTTTTAAAAAGCATGTAATAAACTTAGAGTTAATAATTAGTCAGTATTATTTTTAGTTACAAGATTCGTCACTTTCTTAAATCTTTTCAACTTATTTCCATCATCAACACTAGCAGTTAGCTTTTTTTCCCAGTGTCAGTCATATTTAGCAAAGAAACTGTTTTATTCATTTAGTCAGTTCTTGCACATATAACAACTTAAAAAATAAAACTGCATTGGTAATGTGTACTAGATTGTTAACCATTTATCGTTAAGAGTGAAGTAGCTTCTGCCTTCACACCAACCTTGGAATTTGCAATTTAAACCTATACTGCAACTATATAAACTCTTTTCAACTAAATAACGGCAATTTCAACTCCTTTCCAAATCACTTCAACCTTGGATTTCTAATTATGGAGTTCCAAAATCTAAATTAGTAGTTATCTTTCAAATATTTAGGATTTTCTGACATTTTGATTCATCAAGAGAACAATCATTTTCTTTCTTTAATAGAAAATAATTCTGGAATTGGAGCTTCTGGCTATGGTGTTTCTGGGCCCGTCTGGGATCGAGGAGCCAACTTGAAGGATTATTACTCAAGAAAGGAAGAACAGGAAGTACAAGCGGTAAGGCTATCCTGTGTTATATCTCTGGCAGTGTGATTTAGGACTTAGTTCAAATGAAGGTTTAAGATGAAGGTTTTAGTAATTTGGTGAGTCTTTTTAGTGACTGAGAGTACTTATTCACATGACACTCTACCTACTAAATCTAGTCACCAGAATCGCCTATGAAATAAAGCAGTATTTTTCCTGGTGGTAATAATAAAAGGTCTCATCTGCTTTATAGGAAATACAGTTACTTCAGGAGAACTAACTGCATAAGTAGTTACAGTAAAAATGTTTTGATGTGAGACAGCATTTTTTCTATTTGATATATTTAAACACTAAAACTGGCACAAAAATTTCTTAAAGCTTTCTTAGGAAAGCTTAAATAAATTTGCTAATAGGTTGTTTATCCATTAGGATCATCAAATGCAGAAAAACATTCTGACTTAATTTCAATGAGGACTAGATATTATTAAAAATAGCTTTTGCATTATAAAGAATGGTACAAAGTAGGTACTGGTATAAATTTTTATATCTTAAATACACACAGTTTAACTAAAATTAGTGTAGCTAATTTTAATATCATTGATTCAACAGACTCTAGAATCAGAAGAAGTGGATTTAAATGCTGGACTTCATGGAAATTGGACTTTGGAAAATGCTAAGGCTCGTCTGAATCAGTTTTTCCAAAAAGAAAAGATTCAGGGAGAATATAAATACACCCAAGTGGGTCCTGATCACAACAGGTTTGCTTGTTTCACTCTTTGACTTCTCTAGTAAGTTGGGGTGGTTTTGTATATTCATTGTTCTGTTTTTGTCTTACTCCATTTGTGGGCTAGCAGAAAATTGTGAAATGAAGGTAAAATGATCTTTCACAATGAAAGTTGTCATTGATTTATAATGTGCAGCTTACTATAGTTTCACTTACTGGCAGTGATGTTAACTGTATAGGAAGTTCTCCCAAAATTTATTTGGGAAGTTCTCCCAAGGTCTTGTTTGAATGTGAGAGACAGGAGTCAAAGCTACAGAATGGTGGTTTGTCCATACTAGATTTAAAGCCCAAGCAGAGGTGGTGAGTGTATTCACTGTGCTTTTGTGAGAGGCATTCATAATTATTTCTGTAGTAGGTCAAGTTAGACAGTTTGCTTCAGAGTATCAGAGGTAGATGGCATGGTAGCTAGATACAAGTTTACCTTCAGCTTTGAAACTGCCAGCTCTCAGGAGACCTGGAGTTTCAAGAGTTTCTTAAAAAGCTGAAGGACAGCCTTAGTCTTTGTATGTGAGTTAAATTAGCCTACTTTTTTTCTGTTAAATTTATGAAACTGATTGTAAAGTGAGATGGTTGTAATGGTGACAGTATGTTTCTCAGCCTGCTTGCTATTCTTCCCGAGAGCGTTCCGGGGTGTAGTAATTATTACTCCCAGGAAGGCTCATATGGATTAGACCCTTCTGGGGGCACTATATTTTTGTTGAAAGGGAGGGGAGGTTATAGTGGAAGCTTTCTGGATGATTTGATTTGCTGTCCTTCCATAAAATAAATTACTCAAAATACAGTAAAATATTTTCCTTAAAAATCAAAATGTTCTCCTTGGATGCATCTAGCAATCCTAACATAATTATTATTAAAATCAAATTTTCGCAAAGTAGTGTTCAGAGCATGGTCCCCCTCTTCCCAATATTTTGTTCAATCCTGAATTCTTAAATGCTGAATCCTGATGTTAGATATATTTAAACCCTCAGGTTGTAAAGATAATTTATCAGTGATTTTTTTTTCTTGAATATTTTGTTTTTCTGAACCAAGAATGTTAGACAACATTAAGCGTGCCTGACTCTTGTTATCGTAAACATTTCTTGATATCAGTATTGATATACAAAAAATTGAAGAATTCAGGATGTTGTGATGAGTTGGGGGAGCTCGGACAGCATGTCCTTTATTAAAGACATAACAGACAGCAACACCAGAGGTCTGTGTTCATACACACATGTGCTGCTGCTTAGGCTGAACTAAGCAATCACATGGGAAATGATTGTAAACTGATTTCTGGTGTTGCTGTTCCCCCTAGGTGGAGGAGAATAAGATTGAGTGCTGACTTTAAGCCTGGCTGAGAAACATACTGGCATCGGTGTCATTAATGAAAGGGTGGATGTTGTTCCCCTGAAAGCCAGTGGCCTTTGACCCCTGAAGCCTCTGTGCCTGAAGGTCAGTTCGCAAGAGTTATAGGAAGGAGTCTAGTATTTATTTTCTCCTTAAGACTCATCTAACCTTTATTCAAAGCACAAAGTAAAGATTAGAATGTACCTGAGCAGTGGAAGGATCAGAAAGTAGTTTACAAAGGGCAGTTTTCCCCTTGTTACACACTAAGTTCATTCGGTGGAATCTGCTAGTAATTTTAGCTATAATGTTCAAAATATTTGTATCCCAGGACCTGATTATAAATAAGCTAAATTTTTTATTATCAAGGATTGCTTCCAAACACAGGCAGATACCAGGAGCTTAGATGCATAGTGTTTGTATGTCCATGTGTATGTGTGCATGCTAGCATATATTTAGCTTAGCTGAGTTTATCCACGTGAAATCATTTGTGGGTGACCAATGCAAAGGAATCTTAAGATAATCACAACTATAACTTAAAGAGTTTGGTCCTATTTTATATCTTTGCCCCAACTTAAGTGGAAAATTCTTTCATTGAATGTAATTTAGTGATTCATACTTCAACTTTTAAAACAGAAGTAAATATAGAATGTAAAACCCTAACAATTTCTTCTCATGAACAGTTGGCTTATCAACTTTGAATATAGCTGTGTTGTGCCATGTTGTGTATTTGAGGTTTATGTAATTTATTTCTTCTGGAATTAACAGAGATAAATGTTTGTAATGATCTTTTGCTGTGATATGCCTAAGCAGTTGGAAAGTCTACCTGATTTGGGATTTCTAGATTTAGTCATTCCTAATAGTGAAATTTTTAACCTCATTTGCATATGTTGTTACAGGAGCTTTATTGCAGAAATGACCATTTATATCAAGCAGCTTGGCCGAAGTAAGTGTTACTGCTTCCCTGGTAACTGAGTATTATATAGTGGAGTAATATTCACACTGAGTATTGAACCACAAATATGTAGCCTTTATTAATTGAAAGAGTATGTGATAATAGTCTCTAAAGTATTTTAGAGTATTAGTAATTATGTAAATTGAAGGTCCACTTTGCTTGTGGGGAAAAAAAGATCATTGTAGTGCAATATATCGAAGAGTAAGCTATAATAGGCTACTGAGGAGTCTACCAGTGTCAAAGAACTTAAAAATACTTTTTATCTTTCTACATAAAAATGATTGGTGATATTTAGATATTTAGAAAGGAGTAAATCAGGTGATAGGATTAGATGCATAAAGGTGGATGGGTAGCATTTGGGAGTCATGGAATGAAGAAGAAATAGTGAACTGGTTACCCTGAGGAAACATTTAGGGAATAGATTAGGATTGTTATTCTTAAAGGAAATAACACAGGTATAACGCCTATGTTCCTTTTTTTTTTTTTTTTTTACATAATTTAAGCAGGTGGTATATTATGCTTGAAAGATAAGGAGAAAGTCTCTTAATAGAATCTAATGAATGGCTTTTGAATGAGTCTTTAGGAGATGATGTTGAATTTTTATCCTAGACATTTAAAAATAAGGATTTTTAGTGGATTGACTGTTAAGGGGAAAGGATTAAAGCTGTAGAACTTCTGTGAGATCATTGATCTGAGCATCAGAATTAAGTCGGCTATTTTAAACTGTGCCCCTTCCTTTCTTTTTGTCATCTCTCCTAAAACTGAGTAATATTGGAAGAAAGGAGGCTTTCCGTAGCATTTTCTTAAGGACATGAGTGACTGCTAGCTTCAATTTAATGCCAGGATTCCCGAACTGTGGCCCTCTAGCCAAATACAGCCTGCTTCTGGTTTTATAAAAAAAAAATTCGGTATTTTTTCTGTAACCACTCATTTACCATAGGAAATAGCAAACTTCTGTAAAGGACCAGATATATCTATCACACATTATTTTGGTCTTATTTTTATGTCCTTTACAAACATAAAAACTGTGCTCTTTGATCCTTTTGCTTTTCAGAGGTTAAACTACGTTTTCTTCCCCTATTTTAAATGCCAAATGATATTAATTGTAAATTTGCTGAAATAGGATATTACCTTTAAAATGATTTGTATATGTCTTAGTATCAGTGTAAAGTTAAGATGGTTGGCATTTAGTTGATAAGTTGTTGTGGAATTGCTTTTGGTTAGCAATTAAGAGCGAGAAAGTATGTAGAGCCCATGGCAGTCAGTATTTTAGGGTGACTTTTGTCCCAAAGTCCCTAGTTGTTTGTTTCTTTATTCAGATGATTTATTCTTTTTGGTAATCCAAACATTGAATTGTAGGAATTTTTGCACGTGAACATGGATCCAATAAAAAATTGGCAGCACAGTCCTGTGCCCTGTCACTTGTCAGACAGCTCTACCATCTTGGAGTGATTGAACCTTACTCTGGACTTACAAAGAAGAAAGAAGGAGAGACAGTGAGTCTTCAGACTTCATAATCCAGAGGGATATTGTAGGATTCAGTTTAGTTTTGATTTAGTTTTAACTTAAATTTATACTTCTAGGAATCTTATCTGTGTCTGGTGTGATGGCTGTGTTCATGGTGGGCACTGAATAAGTCATCGTTAAAGTAATTCTTTCACGAGAGAGAACTGACTTGTTACTGGCTTTATGAATATCGTAGACTTGGTGTTGCCTCCATATTCTTAGCCCTGATACAGTAGATTTGAATAGGGCTCTCAATGTTACTGTTTTTCATGGTCATACTTTTTCTCTAGGTGGAGCCTTACAAAGTTAACCTCGCTCAAGATTTAGAGCATCAGCTGCAAAACATCGTTCAGGAGCTAAATCTTGAGATTGTGGCCCCAGTAAGCATACAGCTATTTAATTTACCTTTCTATCAAAACTTTCTATTCAGACAAGCAAATGGTATTGGTTTTGTTGTTGTTTTGTTTGTTTGTTTGTTTTTTAATAATAGCCTGATGACCCTTCCATGCCCGTTACACTCAACCTTGGCAAATTAGCTCACTTTGAACCATCTCAGCGACAAAACCAAATGGGTGTGGTTCCTTGGTCACCTCCACAATCCAATTGGAATCCTTGGACTAGTAGCAACATTGATGAGGGGCCCCTGGCTTATGTGAGTACACCATTGTTTTTAGATCAAAATCTTGTTTTACTTTTAAATACATTGGATTAGGAATTCCATAAAAAGTGGCATCTCTTTGAAGCTGAGTTTTATGTGCTTCTATTTGACTAGTTCTCATTTTACAGGCTACTCCAGAACAAATAAGCATGGACCTCAAGAATGAATTAATATACCAGCTGGAGCAGGATCACGATTTGCAAGCAGTAAGTCTGAAATATTTAGACATAGGTGCACAGGGCTTCAGAATTTCCTAGGTATGGGCAGAACAGTGAATAAAGTTTGCTTTTTCTAGGAAGGTAGATCAAAGATACATCCATCCCAAACTGCTAATCCTAGTTACCTTTGAGGGTAGTTTAGAGTAAAGGGCCTGGAATTCTTAATGTAAGTAAGTAGAGTAATAACTCGTCTTTATAGTGTTTTTAAAAGAGTGTTAAAATATTAGAAGACATGAATATATGTGAGATATATTTAGGGAGAAACAGGAAACTAGAGATATGGAGAAAACCACTAAGTTTTTCAGAAATTTAGTGAAAAGAGCCAGTCCTATTGAGATATGTATGCTTTATGAAAAAGTAAATTTTGAGTACTAAGTTTCTAAGGAAAGGAATTAAGTTTTTATAGAAATGACACATTTCTCCATATATTTCATATTCATGGCACATTTTATAATGGTAGATTATGGCAATTACTCCTAATGTATATATTGGTAGACATTGTACTAAGTTATAACTTTTCTAATACAGATCTTACAGGAGAGAGAGTTACTACCTGTGAAGAATTTTGAAAGTGAAATCCTGGAAGCAATTAGTCAAAACTCAGTTGTCATTATCCGAGGTGCAACTGGATGTGGTAAAACCACACAGGTTCCTCAGTTTATTCTAGATGAGTTTATCCAGAATGACCGAGCAGCAAATTGTAATATTGTAGTAACTCAGGTAAGTGCAAGCGAACTTAATAAGGTGTCTGGGTTGGACAGAATTTGAGAGGTGAAATACCCAGAGGCCAGACTATGTCTAAATCTCTGACCAACTCCTCTTTGTAGCCACACAAGGATCTGAAAGAGGCAGAATCCTTAAACATGAAAACTGAAAAACATTAATAGAACTGGCGTTTCCTCCACTGAAGCTAAACCATGGAGGGAATTCTTTTTGTCTTGGCTACAGGAGGTCTTTGGACCTAGAATCAGACAAAGCAGAGTCCTTTCTCTTTGAATCTACATTGAATCTTGATAATCTCTAATCACCTTACTATTCAGTAAAAATACAGTCTGAACTAGGGTAGTCAAGCTAGCAAAACACATAATGGCTGATTTTTATTGAATAGTTCTTTCTTAATACCCATATATCTCAGTTAAGTGATCTTCTAAACATGTGCCTTGACTGTGGCAGGCAGTTATGAAAACAAGCTCCTTACCTATATTTTGCTCACTACCCTACTGAAAAATCATTCTGAATATCATTAAAAGTTTGGACCATTGGTGAAGAAATTTATTTTCAGTGTCTCCCATATACATTCAAGTAGTAATTCCAAAAGATATCTTTGTTGTTTGTTTAATCACTGGACTGGCAGTGGAACAGATTTGCTAAAATAATTTAATAAATCTAATAAGTGAGTATAATGGTAATTCTGTAGCTTTTACATCAACATTTCTTTTATCTTGTCTCAGCCCAGGAGAATCAGTGCTGTTTCTGTGGCAGAGCGGGTTGCTTATGAGCGAGGAGAGGAACCTGGGAAAAGCTGTGGCTATAGTGTTCGATTTGAGTCTATACTTCCCCGCCCTCATGCCAGTATAATGTTTTGTACTGTAGGTCAGTATTGGTTTTTATTTGGTTTTTATTTGGGGTTTATATTGTGTTGCTTAAGAAGAACTTGGTCATAGCACAGAATAGCTAGAAATAATCAAGGAGCCAGTCTCAGAATTGTTTTAATAGAACTTTAGGCGATTGGAATGTAAAATGCCTGCTAGTTGTAGCTTAGAGATAATGAAATAAGCTTAAGTTACTAGAGGTACCTCTTTTAATACTCTTTTCATTGAACCAATTGCATTGTCACCTTTTTAATAATTAAATATACAAGTATTTCCAAAACAGATGCAGAAGCATAGTTGTCTAGATATTTGTTTCTTTGCACTTTATTATACCTCCCATTTTAATCAACTTAGAAACACATATCTAGTTGTTCTGATTTTCTTTTCAAGGTGTGCTCCTAAGAAAATTAGAAGCAGGCATTCGAGGAATCAGTCATGTAATTGTAGACGAAATACACGAAAGAGACATTAATGTAAGTAACTTGAGGGTGACAGTAAGGTACTAATGCTAATATTCTTAATAAACAAGAATAACTTTTTCCACAGCTTATACCTTCTATCAAAAACCATGAACCATCTTTTTTTAGCAAAACCATTCAACTTTTTTCCCCTTTTGTTAAACTCACAGAATACTAAAAGACCTTGTAAAGCAGGTATAATTGCATTGATCAATAAAGAACTAGCACAGTTCAGCCGTGGAAGTAATGATTTATGATAATGAACAGCTTGATAGAATTTTAATACTTTTAATTTTTTTGAATTGGAAGTTTGATAAATTTTATTTTTAATATAATTGAATACAGTTTCAGTTTGGATGTTTGCGGCTTTATCTTTTCAAATGTAAATGATAATTACTATCATGCCCAAATTAGGAAACTAGAATTTATTTCACACCCTTCCCTCTTTTGATCTTGGTTAAACTTGCATAGAATTATTATTTAATTGTAAAATTTGAAGACTGATACCTAAAAGTAATGATTTGTTTTCATGCTACTATCTTACATACCCAAGTAAAAGTGTTACTATATAGACAGTATGTCATTTGACTGTTACCAAGCTGCTGTTACTCAAAACTGAAGACCCTCTTCTTTTGAAAATAATTTTATGGTGGTTATTACTCATCTTTACTTTTAGCAAACTTTGACCTCTGTGATAGAGCTGAAGAAAAAAAGTTTGAGTGTTTTATCAGATGATTTTTAAATCAGGATAAAATTTTGTTATTTTTGTCTTTCGCAGTCTCTTAAAGACTCTTTGATGTTCTCCTCCTAGTTAACTTTATCAACATTAAAGTGTTTCAGTCTTGTCTTTACTTGCATGATACTGTACAATGTTCTGAGTATAAATTATTCCAAGTTTTACTTATACCATGAATCATCATTATTTTTCTTTTAAAATCTTCCTTGAAAGATTGTCAAGTCTTTAGACTAACCATCTGGAATGGTAGACAAAATGGAAAAATGCCTTTCCAGAAACTTTTTATGTTCTTTTTCTGATGAAGCATATCTAAATGTCATTTTATGTGGGAAACAGAGAAACTCTTTACAGACCAATTACTGTAGAGATGGGAGAGTAGGAAAATTTAACTGTAACTGAATAAAAGGTTAATGTGCAAAAGTCATGTATAAGAAAACAACTGGAGGACAACTGAAAAAAATATAACCATTACAGTGGCTAGACTGTCAAGAACTTAAGAGTTAAGTCCAAGAAAAAGACACACAGAACCTCTATAGAAAAAAGTAGCACTTTATCACAAAATATTTTTTTAAAAAGAGCAGTTCATGTTCGTGGCTAGGAGGGCTTATTATGTAGATCACAATTTTCCCCAAGTTGATCCATAGTTTGAATTCAATTCTAATCAAGGTTTTTCACAGAATTTAATAGATTGCTCATACTTATAGGGAAGATTTGTGGCAAAAAAAAATAATTAGGATTTCTGAAGAAGAGCAGAATGGAGGGTTTTGTTTTATAGATATCAAGACTTAAAAGCTGTAATAATTGAGGCAGTCATGGGTTGACAGCTTGACCAATGGAATGGTGCTAAGTGCAGGAGCAGATTCCGTGTTACGCAGCTTAATGGCATTACACAAGAGTGATGGCATGCCAAATCAATAGTAATGGAGTTGAAAACAAATGGTCATCTATAAGGAAATAGTTGAATTTGGAATCTTCGTAACCAAATGTAAAAATAAACTCCAGGAAAATTAAGGACTTAAATGCCTGAGCATTTTCAAAATGCTACATTTTTTACAATGTATATGTAAATACCTAAATAGTACTGCCCATATAATAGAAATATAATATGAGCCACATATGTAATTTTTAATTTTCTAGTAACACATTTTAAAAGGTGAAATGAAAAGGTAAAGATTTCGATATATTTTGTTTATATCTAAAATATTTTGAGCATGCAGTCAGTTTAAAACTATACTAATAATTTGGATTCTTTTTTACATATAATCTCTTCAAAATCTAGTGTGTATTTTACACACACAGCACATCTTAATATGGATTGCATGCATTTCCTTTGCTCAGTAGTTACATGTAACCCCATGGCTACTGTATCAAGACATGTTCTAGACATTATAGAAGGGGGTTCTTAAAACACAAAATGTGCTAGCCCCGAAATAAAAGATAGGTATATTTGTCTTTTTTTTAATTAAGATTATTTGTTCACTCAAAACATGCTTTAAGGAAAACCATAAGTTAAGATTCTAATATTGCCAAGAGAATTAGTACAGAAATTGTAAATACCTCCTAAAGATGCATATTTGACCAGTAAATGTGAGGAAGTGTGAATCAGGAAGTACAGATCAAGACCCTAAAAATGTACTGCTTATGTCACTTTAATAAAACTTAAGTAAGGATACCAAGTATTGGAGAATGCGGAGTAGCAGAATCACTTATTCATTATTTATGGGGGTATATGAGTTGAGCAAACCACTTACAAAAATAGCTTAGCATTATCTCCTGAAGCTTAATATTGACATATTGATAGGTTCATACCCACACTTAGCCATGGAAACTTGTTTTATGTACAGCATTAGTCATGGAGAAAAAATGAGCGTTCATGGTAGCGGGAAGTGTTGTCCATATTAGTGAAAACTCTGGGAACAACCTAGATACTTACAGAGTCTACCTGCAGTTTGCACTGCCAGATACCTACAGGCAAATTAATTGATACAATCACACTCTGGGATATTAAACTGTCATCAGGATAATTGTAGTGATATACATGGATGGATCTTAGCAGTTCTATAGTATGTGAAAAGGGAAACCCTGAAAGAGTACTTAAAACATTCCCATAAAGTAAATTTTACACACATGTCTGCACATTTTAGGTAACTAAAGAAGAAATGAAATCTGTGTGACAAGGAATGATAGATTCAGAATAATAGTTTTCTTTAGGGAGATGAAGAGTGAAAAGGGGGTGGACCTTACATCTAGAGAAGTCTTGTCAAAGTTCTACGCTTTGTATTTGGTGGTTTGATGGATTTTTTTTTTTTTTTTTTTAAGATTGATTTATTTATTTATACAAGCACTGGGTACAAGCAGAAGCATGGGAGGGTGAGAGGATTCACCAGAGCAGGGAACAGAACAGGTAGACTGACGAAATACACTGCTGAGGGGAACAGTGGGCACACAGGAGAGGTCTGTCACGCCATGTGGGACCCTCACCGGTGGCCAGGGATCGAACCGGGCATTGCAGAGGCTGCAGGCAGCTTCGCAGCCCAGTGCTCAACCACTGCACCACCAGGGGAGGCCCGATTCTTCATATTATTAAATAGTAAATGTCTTGGCCATTATTTTGTTTGTTTGAACAAATCTGACCTTTTCAATATTCTTAAGATTAGCTTTGAAGGTGATTAGAACTTTTGGTTCATGGCTTTTTTTTTTTTTTTTTTTTTTTTTTTTTAGAAATTTCAGCGAAAAGCTTGAGATGAATTCTCTGCTCTCATTAATGTTTTTTTTTTTTTCTTCCTCTACCCAGGTAGCATTCATTTTTAATCCCCACAGCTCCAACTATTCTTAAAAATACTGTTACTACGTCCAACTGTAACCCCTTATCTTAAACTTCCATAAGTCACCTAAGAAACTGAATTTCACTGATGTCACTAAATCTTTTCGGTATATCTCATTAGTAAACTTTTATGTACCTTTTTTTCTTTTGTAGACTGACTTCCTTTTGGTAGTGCTGCGTGATGTAGTTCAGGCTTACCCTGAAGTTCGCATTGTTCTCATGTCTGCTACCATTGATACCAGCATGTTCTGTGAATATTTCTTCAATTGCCCCATCATTGAAGTTTATGGGAGAACATATCCAGTTCAAGGTGAACGTTGTGGGAGGTGGTGTGGGAGGGTGAACATCTTCTATGCAGTAGTGTTGGATTTTCTTAATCCTGGAGATTAGAGTAACAGTTTAAAGAATATTTAAAATACAGGCAAGATTCAGAATGTCAGACATCATAGCATTTTGGAGTTTTAGTCATGAAGTGTGGTGACTGCAGTTTGAGGAGCGAGATCAGGTAGTATTTTGTGCTGGCTTTTACTTATAGCCACACTTAACTTACAAGATTATATAGTCAAATATAAATAAATTTGGCCTGCAGGTGTTCATGAGAAATACTGTTAAAAGTTTAAGCAGTTAATTTCAAATTAACAAGAAAATCCTTGGAGCCTGAGGTGGCAGGCTTTGAAATGAGATTGAGACAAGTACTTCAAAATCAAGTATTTCTGATAGTCAGGAGCCTTTTTATTTTCTCTGGGAGGTTTTGTCATCACCTTTTTCTAGGATAGTCATCTGATGGTTTGGTTAAAAGAATGAATTAGTCTAATTGAGGGCATAAAAACAAGATGAAATTGCAGTGTGGGTGTAAAATGATGAATGACTGTATTAGGGTGCTAATTTTTGATATTCAAAAGTAACGGTAGCTCTGAAATAAAAGTCACTACAGTTGTATCTCAAAGTATACAGGTTAACAGTTTTAAAGTTGCTTTACATGTATATTTGGATTGAAAATAGAAGTAAATGGATGGCAGATGGTGGGAGTCAAGTTGGTTGTTAGAATGAAAGGTTATAGATAAAATTAAGACTTGACTGAGACTTCATCAGCAAGATCTAATGCTTAGATACGAACAGATTGATTCATTTGTTTAGATCAAATGGCGAGATACAGAAATAATTACAGATATTGTATGGAAGCATGAGTTAGTATACTTAGATTTCCTAGCTCTGTCTGCTAAGCACATCCAGAGCACTGATACTTCAGTGAGAAGGAGCATGCACAGCACCAAATCTTATTTTTAATACCATTCTCCAGTTAAAGGTATCAGATATCCTTGGAGAAAAGGCTGCTTCTAAGGCTGAGGCTGGAAATATATAAGAAAAGCCTGGAACAACTTGTAGTGCTAGAAAGTAAGGATGTACTTAAAAACACACACACATAGACTGTTGGGGACAAAGAGCCACTGGGAGCCAACTTGAAAGAGCTCTCAATGGAAAAAGCTAGAATAGTTTGAGCAAAACCAAAAATACAGTATTGGATTATAACCCTAATATAATAAAATACCCATGAATCTCTATAGTGATTGAATAAATATGTGGGTAATAAAGGTAAATCTCTCATATGAAAGAATTTCAAAAAGTTTTAGAAGATTCTCCTGCCTCAAAATACAGAGGCTTAGCTCCCTGCCCCTTGAGTGGACTATGCTTATTGATTTGCTTCCAAAGAATAGAACGAAAGGAATGGGGGCAGAGTTTGCAATGGAAAAACTTGACAAATACAGTCTAAGTTAGGACTTCAAGTTTAATATTACCTGTGATAAGTCATGTTGATAGCATGTACTCTTGCTACATTGTGATGGAATGGCTCTGTGGCTGTTCTTAGGGCAGAGAGGGGGAAGTGTTTAGAAATTATGAGACACTTTTGTGCCTGTCAGAGAACGGGCCTAATTGATCAGTGGATGTTCTGATCCTTACATTGAAGTCCTTTTCAGAATAACTTGAAAGGAGCCTATCTTACATGTTTGTTCTGATAGAAGAAGGATGACAATATGTTACTGTTGACTTAATTTCTGTTCCTGTATCACCCACTCGTTGGGACTGTTCAATATTTTGCATGTGTACAGTAGGCATTCCATAAATTTTTGGATATTGCATGTAGAAGATTATAATAGATTTGGGGGAACAAATTAAGAGAGACCTCATCCTCCTTCAGGATCCAAAGGATGGGAGCACTTAATTTGATTGGAAAACACATTATTGACAATGCGGTTTCTAAGCACTTGTGAAGAATCAGATTAATATTAAGTACTTTTGAACTGTGAATTTTAAAGACCCTTTCTTTCTGAATGTATTGTCTGGATTATTTTGGCAGAATATTTTTTGGAAGACTGTATTCAGATGACCCAATTTATTCCTCCACCAAAAGACAAGAAGAAGAAGGATAAGGAGGATGATGGTGGTGAGGATGATGATGTAAGTGAATCCTATGAAAAATTTTCATTATAGGAAAATTGTTATTGCTGAAAAGAGTAATTTGAGTAAAAGCATGCAGTGAATTAGCATTATAGCAAATATCTTTGAAAATTGACTAAAAAAACAGTTGATGTATTTCACTCCCAAGAATTCACTCTTCTTCATACCATGAGTTAAAGCATTTCTGGCATAAAGTTAAACAAAAAAGAAGAGGAAAGTAAGATGTTTAAAGACCACATGTGGTTAAAGATAATTCCATTTAAAACATGAAAGATTTATGCAACCTGACAAGATGCCCCAGAGTATGATAGATAAATCCATTTTATAAGACTTTGTTGCTCAAAGTGTTTTTCATAAACCACTATACCTGAGAATGGTAGAATCTTGGTTCCCACCTCAGATCTATTAAATCAGAATCTACACTTAACAAGATCTCCAGGTGATCCATGTGTACAGTGCAGCTTGAGGAGCAGCAGTTTGATTCTAGATTAAAGAGATTATTTGGTGATTACTTTGTCAGGTGGAGAGTGTACAAAACTAGGGAATAATAAAAGATTTCAGAATAAATAGGAGGGGAAAGTGACATTTTGTAGTACTTGAGTCTTGATCCAATGGTAATGTAAAATGCATCTTGCATTTGGACATTTAAACATCTGAGTACTGTAAAATAGTGAGCAGTGCAGAATTTGAGAGAAGATAACCTGAGATTGGATGTTTTTAATCAGAATACTTGAGGATGTAAATGAATAGTAAATTAGAAAGTTTATTAGAGTTAGTATTTGATTTTTAGACATGTCCTGTGGAAACTACTGGTCTGTTGAGAAATTCAGTGTGTTACTTTACAATAGGTCCAAAATTTTTAGAAATTAAATGTCTCCTGTATGCCAGTATATGACTGATGAATCAGTGAGATCAATAAGGACATTAGGTGTTATTTTAAAAACAAATCTGTAATACTTATCTCATAAGGTGTTGTAATTGAGACAACCCAAAATTTGTCTCCCTATTTTTGGCAGGCAAATTGCAACCTGATTTGTGGTGATGAATATGGTCCAGAAACAAGGATGAGCATGGCTCAGCTGAATGAAAAGGAAACTCCCTTTGAACTTATTGAGGCACTACTTAAGTACATCGAGACCCTTAATGTTCCTGGAGCTGTGTTGGTTTTTCTGCCTGGCTGGAATTTGATATATACTATGCAGAAGCATTTAGAAATGAATCCACATTTTGGTATGAGTCTTTGAATTCTCACATATTTGAGGGTGAAAGTAAATATTTTTGTTTATTCCCTAGCCGTACATGAAAACAAAATTTAGTGCTGTGTTAATTTTGCAATTAGAATACATATTACAGTTTTAAAGTAAGCTTCTATTTTTAGATCTTAACTTCTCCTTATTGTTATAGGAAGCCACAGGTATCAGATTCTACCTCTGCATTCTCAGATTCCTCGGGAGGAACAGCGCAAAGTGTTTGATCCAGTGCCAGTTGGAGTAACCAAGGTAAATACCATTACAAAGTTGGAAGTGACATAGATATTAAGTAAATGTTACAGATCTTCAAAGAGCTATCAAAAAAATGTGTAATCCATCTAAATTAAGAAGGAAAAAGGGGGTCTTCTTCCTGAATGTAGGTTTTTTCATTAGTCAATGATGTTTTTAAAGATGTCGTTAATTCCCTTACGAGTACAGAAACAAATCTTTCCTTTTGAATACTTAGCAGGAGAATGTTTCCTGAAGTTAATTTTTCTTACTTCATTTCTCCACAGGTTATTTTGTCCACAAATATTGCTGAGACAAGCATTACCATAAATGATGTTGTTTATGTCATTGACTCTTGCAAGTAAGTTCCCAAGGAACCTATTTGCCTAGAATAAATCTTTACACTGCCCTATTGCTTATCAGTTAATGGAATAATAGAAAGCACTTATTTTTAAACTTATGTGTTCTACCATCAAAATTACTGTGCATGTACACACACACACACACGACTAATGTTTATTAGTAATCCTCTGTATTGATCATCACAAATCAGTGAATCATCATAGAAAGTGACTGTTTCCCACTGTAGTCACTGCTGGTGCTTTGCTCATTTCCAGTGGGTGTTTCCACTGACCACTGCCATACCATAGCATGCTGTTTGGTGTAGAAAGATGACCAATATATGTCACATAATAAACATCCTACCTGATGAACACTCATTAAAAGCCTTCCTATTTGGTGTGGAATGAGCCTGGGAAATAAACAAGGAAGAGCTTAATATGTAGATAAGTAACCTTATGGTAATTGATACACAAGACAAAAAAAGTCAAAACTTGGTATATCGCTGTTTGTGCCCCATAACTGACCTCTCTTTATATAGTCTCTCAAGTCGCTCCTGGCAATTCCTACTTTAGGGAATGGTGCAAAGCACGCAGCTCTGTTGTGCAATCCAAATCATCTCAGACTTCTGCCTGTACGTGACATTGAAGGATTCTGAAGCTGCTTAGGGTTTCAAAAGATTTATACAGGCACTGTTTCTTGAGGTTATCCACATTTTCTGGTCACTACATAACTTTTAGCCTAAAAATTAAGCTTTGGGATACAGTTGGCTTGAATAATTATTACCTACTTATATGTGTGTGTCTCATGGTCTTTAAATGCTTCACATTCATTCAGTCAGTCAGTGTTTATAAATAGGATCCCTGTGAGTTAGGTAATAATATACTCTTTTTTTTTTTTTTAATTTTATTTTTATTTATTTATACAAGCACTGGGTACAGTCAGAAGCGTGGGAGGGTGAGAGAATTCACCAGAGTCAGAGGGGAGAGCAGAGCAGGCAGAATGACCGAAGTACACTGCTGAGGGGAGCAGCGGGTGGCAGGAGAGGTCTGCGCGCCATGTGGGACCCTCCTCCTGTGGCCGGGGAGCAGCCGGGGATTGAGCCAGCGCTGCAGAGGCTGCGGGCAGCTTCGCAGCCCAATGCTCAACCACTGCGCCACAGGGGAGGCCCCTTATGTATATTAATATACTCATTTTATATTAATGAGTATATTAATATACTTATTTTAGATGAAGAAAATGAATGTATTCTGCTGCCTTTCAGTAGATTGACAGCTGAAGAGTGGGAATCAAGTTACTGGGTTTTATTGGTATTGGTTACAAATAGACATCACAGTAGGCATGGTTATCTGGAAAGCAGCCACCACTTAGTGAGTGTAAGAGTTATGTGCTGGCGGTCTTACAACTTACTACCTGTGAGTTTTAGAACTTACCTCTCTTTTTCTATTTAGGCAGAAAGTGAAGTTGTTCACTGCTCACAACAACATGACCAACTACGCTACGGTGTGGGCATCCAAAACAAACCTCGAGCAGCGGAAAGGACGAGCGGGCCGTGTGCGGCCTGGATTCTGCTTTCACCTCTGCAGCCGAGCTCGTTTTGAGAGGTGTGACTCACTCTTGAGTAAAGACTGACAACTTTTTTAACCCTTTACACATCCTCTCTCTGTCCTCCAGTGAATTTAATACATAAATGTCACCATTTAAGTGTACTAGAGGAAATCTGGCTTCCAATATTGAGATTGTGGAAAGAATGAAATCAGAAATTGTTGATGTTGGCATGTTTGCTACCAGTTACCGTCTACAAAGTACCTTTTATTTTTTTTACTTTTTTTTAAAGTTTTGTTTGTTTATGCATATAAGAACTGGGGCACAGGCCAGAGACGTGGGGGGTGAGAGGATTCACCAGAGACAGAGTAGGGAACAGAACAGGCAGATTGATTGAAACACACCGCTGAGGGGAACAGTGAGTGAGTCAGGAGAGGTCTGCAATGCCATGTGGGTAGCTCCCTGGCCGGGGATCAAACTTGTGCCGCAGTGGCTGTGGATAGTTTCATAGGTTGCACAGCGTCTTAACCCCTTGCGCCACCAGGGAAGCCCCTAAGTACCTTTTAAAATGAGGTTATGTGGATGCTATTTTGGCTTCACGTGGCATCATCACTTGAGAATTACTGATTGTTACAAACTGGTTAACTCTGCAGAGTGTTAAATAACAATACTTTTGTATTATAGAATATTCCTATTTTCTACTGTTAGCACATCTCATGTTCATGTGATCCTGCTCCTGAGAAATGGGGGGCATTATTTGAATAAGGAAACTAAAGCTTAAGAAACTTGGTTAACTTAATAAAAACTGTATCAGAGACAGGACCGAAATCCAAGTTTCCTACTGCTTTGCTAATTTCCATTTATACTACAGGCCTTTTGGGGAATGTTTGTGGGTGGGACCTGTTGGTTTTAAAGATTGTGTTTATGCATTATAGCTTTAAAATATTTATCAATAGTTGTATATTTCTGGAGATCTATGTGGTGGTTATATGTTTGTTTAAACCAGCTGATAATAAAGGTAGGGTTAGGGAGATAGACTGCTAGGTGACATGTCTGTCATGCACTGAAGAAAAATTAAAGAAAACTTTGAGTTGATTTTATCCTGGTAACATGACTCCCTAATAATTGCATGTGCAGGCTTAGTTGAGCACCAAGCAGTTAACTCAGGGCAACATTTGATAGGTACCTAGTTCTTTTTAAAGGCTAGATTGTCCCTTGAACTGATGAAACAAGTACTGTGTCTAGCAACTTAGGGTAAAACCACCTACTAAATAGTAGCGGCGTGAATAGACCTTTAATAAGGAATTTTTGTTCTTTGTAGGATGAGGAATAGGTTACTATTTGCTTTTATGTAAACCTGATTAAAGTTGATCTAAATCTTGCCAGCAGTGTTAGAACCACTTGTAAATGATTCCCAGGAATCTTCATCATGAACACTTTATAGGGAAAAAGCCCCAGTTAGAAGTGTAGAGACTGGTGTTTTAATACTATTTGTGCCTAGTACATTGCATAAACTAATATTTGCATTCCTTAGACCTCTGTTTCTCCAGTCTATGAGTGATAATATATATAATATCCAACATAATGGATTTGTTTGAGAAATGAATTAATAATGTAAAATACTGAGTATAGTGCTTGGTACATAATAAGCTCTTTAAATGTTAGCTGTTATTACAAATCAATATTATTAAAATTTCAAAAGGACTGAGTGATCTCTAAGATCCTTTCCAGTGGAATTATGTGGGTCAGGAAGGGGAGCAGTTTGTAGGAAAATGTTGGCGTTCTTACATTGCCCCCAAAAGCCTGGTCACCCCTTTTAACATGTTTGTCAGCAGAAAAGACCTAAAAAAAAGCAGTGGGAGTAATAGTATCACGGAATTTTGATATTTTTTTTAATCCTCCACTCCTCAGCTGAAAATGCCATCAAGCTGTAATTGTAAAGTCATAAACAACTCATAGGGTCTTTTTCAGTGAGAGTGTAGTAAATATAAAACATTTTTTGATAACGGTTAAAGCATGATGGAAGGGTAGCTCTGTCTACCTGATTATTTCTCTGCAAGGATTTTATTAAACGAGTGTGTGTGTGAGAGAGAGTGTGTGTGTACACACACCAGGGAAGGTGGTTATTTTATGTTTATGGTCTCTTAGACTCGAAACCCACATGACACCAGAGATGTTCCGAACACCATTGCATGAAATTGCTTTGAGCATAAAACTTCTTCGTCTGGGAGGAATTGGCCAATTCCTGGCCAAAGCCATTGAACCTCCACCTTTGGATGCTGTGATTGAAGCAGAGCACACTCTTAGAGGTACTGACAAATGCAGACCTACCTAACACAAGTGTTTATTTTATACCATCTGTCTTGTCCTGGCAAATAGCAACAAATAAAAGAAGACACTGTCAAGCGGAGCTGTGATAATAAACAGGGCTGGGGTGCTAAAGTACCCAGTGTTGCTTCAGACCTCACCATGGCCGCTTGTATAGTGAGCAGCATGAGGAAAAAGATGACGTACTCTTCCTGAAAAAAATGGTGAAAAGTCAGGGTGTTATCGCTAAATATTTAATTGTTAAAACACAGATTTCTTGTGATACCTGTGTATTATCTTTTAGAATATGTTTGTTTTCCAGTTGACTTATAGAAGCAGTTTAGTACAGTGATAAAAGTAATGGCATTGGAACCAGAGGATCTGAATTGAATTTAGTTCTCACCTGCTCGTGAACTTCAGTTCTTGATTCTCCAGATTTCTTTTCCCTCTCTCTAATCTTCCACGTTTTCAAACCTGTCACGGCATACAGGTGCTTGTGGTGACTGTATTTATAGATACCTCGTGGACTGTTTAATTTATAACCTACTGGGCCTAATTCTAGTAACTTCTTCAAAACCCATAGAAATTGATTTTGTTCTTGCGTGAAGAGAATTATTGGGCATGGGTACTGATAATTGTCTTGACAGATGAGAACTGAAGTGTGTTATTTTAACCATAATCTATATAGAAATACATAATGTTTGCCTAGGTTAAAGGACTATTCATTAGTATCTGCTCACAAAGAAATGTCTCCCTACAGAACTTGATGCATTAGATGCCAATGATGAGTTGACTCCTCTGGGACGAATCCTGGCTAAACTCCCCATCGAACCTCGTTTTGGCAAAATGATGATAATGGGGTGTATTTTCTAGTAAGTGTTTTATTGCTGATATTTATTTGGTAGAACAATTTTAGACTCTTATTCCCCTCCCCATTAAAAAGATGGACTCAGAAGGAATAAACTATTCTCAAGTGGAGAAGTAGCACACATTAGATACTTACAGAGAAGAATAAAGTGAAAAGATGAGTAATTCCAGTAGGTGGACACCTAGGAACAACCTGGGGAAAGAGCAGAGATTTCTCAAAAGAAAATTGCTGTTCCTCCCAGAAGATTTAAGTAGTTGTCCTTGAAAGAGAAGTAGCATTAGGAAAACAGGTATATTTTATCAGAAAGTTTTGAAGGTTAAAAATTTGGTAAGTTGGGAAAATAAGATTATAATTTGTGGTAAATGTGCATGTTTTAATATCAGAGCTCATTTTTTTTTTCCTTTCTGCTTCTGGAGAGAACAGCTGTAACGTTCTTTGTTAAACCAGTTTCAGTGCTAATAGAGTAGTATATTAGCTGATAAAGACTGACCCATAGTTGACAATACAGTCCAAGCTGCTGGAACAAGATTGTGGTCTAGATGGCTTTTCCCTGTTCTTTTTCAGTGTGGGAGATGCTGTCTGCACCATCTCTGCCGCCACCTGCTTTCCAGAGCCTTTCATCAGTGAAGGAAAGAGACTGGGTTATATCCATCGGAATTTTGCTGGAAACAGATTTTCTGATCATGTGGCCCTTTTATCAGTATTTCAAGCTTGGGATGATGCTAGGTATGGACTCGAGAGGGGAGAATTGTAAGATTTGGGTGAACTGTGTCTCTTTCTCTTAATCTTTATCTAGTTCTGTGGGCTTTCAGAATAATTTTTCATTCCTATTTATTTTAGGATGGGTGGAGAAGAAGCAGAGATACGCTTTTGTGAGCACAAAAGGCTCAATATGGCTACACTAAGAATGACCTGGGAAGCCAAAGTTCAACTTAAAGAGATTTTGATAAATTCAGGATTTCCAGAAGGTACTACTTTCAAATTCTTAAGACATATCTGAATTGACATTTATGTAGTGATGTAAATTGACGGTGCAGTATATTTTAGTTTCATGCTTTAGACTGTGCTTTATTTTTTTTTAAACTTGCTAGTATTCCTTAGTTCTTTGAACTATGATGGTAGTTTTTCCACATCAGTTTAGTCTTTCTAAAAAGGAAACAAAAGATGAGGATGCTCAAAGGTAAAGAAAGTAATTGTAATATAGCACACGGATGATAACGGATATTTAAAAATTGTACTACTTGGGGAGTTTTTTAAAATCTCTTGTAAAGAGCACTGGTCTTGCTCTCAGGACTTTGGAGTGAGCGCTTTGTTTCAGTAACCTCAAAAGAGTGGTTGTGAAGTGATGTATCTGTTTGCCCATGTGTTCATTTTTGATGTAAATTCTATCGCATTATGTCTTAAGTGACTTTAAAGTTTCAGTGTGTGGATATAGAAAACTGATGTAGAAACAGCAATCCAACTCTTATCTTGAGAAGAGGTTGAGCTGTTGTATCTGCAACTAGATTGAGATAGAACTATTTCCTAAAATATTTCCTAAAATATTGAGCACTGGTATATATAACCTGAAGGACATGTTTCATTGAGAGATAGAAGGAAGTGGGACAAGACACTAAATTTTGAAAGGATATGATCTGAATTACTAAGCAAAGTAGTTCTCGTCTATTATAAGCTGACTACATTTGTAATTTTTCTTTTACAAAATCAAAGGAAAAGGGAAGAACATTTTTTATATGCTAAAATCCACAGTAATTCTGAGATGCAGATATTATTATCCCATTTTGTAGAAGAGAAAGCTCACACAGGTTTAAGTTACTTGTCCAAACTCATTCAGTTAGGAGGCTGTAAGACTGGAACTCAGATTTGTCTAGAGTAAAATATTTCCATGCTTTTGGTCATTCACCATTATAGCTTCCTAAACAATAATAAAATACTCAAACCAGAGTCGTGATGAAAATATCAGCCTTAATTCCAGTGCACTCCCCTTGGATTATCACTCCATCTTCGGAAGTAACAGCAATTAGGAACAGCAGATGGGGTACTTAGTGGTTCTATCAGTCCAGGTCTTATTGTGAGAGTAGGTGATTGTGGGGATTCTTTTTTTTTTTTTTTTTTTTTTTTTTGAGTAAGCACTTCAAGCTTATATTATTGCTGAGTTCTGTAAGAGAACATTTTAATTTTCTTACTGTAGAAACAAAATTTTTCCTTGACTTAGTCTTTAGTAGGAGTTCTAAGAGAGGAAGTTACTCAATTTATTTGTACAAAGGATGAAAGGAGAGCCAGTTCTTTTTTTTTTTTTTTTTTTTTTTTTTATTCGTTTATTTATACAAGCACTGGGTACAGTCAGAAGCGCGGGAGGGTGAGAGAATTCACCAGAGCCAGAGTGGGGAGCAGAGCAGGCAGAAGGCCCGAAGCACACTGCTGAGGGGAGCCGCGGGCGGCAGGAGAGGTCTGCGTGCCATGTGGGACCCTCCTCCGGTGGCCTGGGAGCAGCCGGGGATCGAACCGGCACTGCAGAGGCTGCGGGCAGCTTCGCAACCCAGCGCTCAACCACTGTGCCACCGGGGAGGCCCGAGAGCCAGTTCTTTTAAATAGTGTATGTGCAATATGAGTATGAGTCAGTTGATTTTTGTTTTTTTAACCTGATTCCTCATAACAGATTGTTTGTTGACACAAGTGTTTACAAACACCGGACCAGATAATAATTTGGATGTTGTCATTTCACTTCTGGCCTTTGGTGTCTACCCCAATGTGTGCTATCATAAAGAAAAGAGGAAGATTCTCACCACTGAAGGGCGTAATGCACTTATCCACAAGTCCTCTGTTAATTGTCCTTTTAGCAGCCAAGACATGAAGTACCCATCTCCCTTCTTTGTGTTTGGTGAAAAGGTAAGAAAGAATTTGTTCAGAAAAATTTTCATTGAAAATGCAAATTTTCTTAGTAATGTGCAGTGGGAACACAAATTTTAATTTTCGAAGCATCACTTGATGGTTGGAATGTCAACTGTGCCCTCTTCCCTTTTTCTCCACTTGCAGATTCGAACCCGGGCCATCTCTGCCAAAGGCATGACCTTAGTCACTCCCCTGCAGTTGCTTCTCTTTGCCTCCAAGAAAGTCCAATCTGATGGAGAGATTGTGTTTGTAGATGACTGGTATGAATTTTCAGATGCGATCCCCAAACTGAATTCTTACAATTGAGAGGGAATGTAAATCAACTGCTTATCTAATTTAATTTGTGAAACAAACATCATATAATTTGGTGTTACATCAGGTGCTTTATGATGCCTTCTGTGAGTAATAGGATGCCTTGCTTGCTAGTGTGGTTCACAATTGGTAGAAAGTCTTCAACTGACTATATAAGTTGAAGCAAAAACTTAGGAATTGGAGATATATATGCCAACATGAATAGTACACTGGGGAATTAGATTCTGATGGGGCCTGGATGCCTATACATGTGTTAGAGACTAGCGGTAAGTAGCTAGTAATAACTTGACGAAATGGATTAGAAATTAATGGACGGTCAGCAGGCTTGGCCATATTTCTGAAAACAGAAAACCCAGACAATCTGAGTCTCTTACTCCCATCTTACTAGAGACTTAGTGGTCTGTATTGCTAGCAGTATTTTGCTTGATAGTCTTTATAGTTCAAAACTCCTGCCAGTAGCTGGTGGTGAATTTTAAGAACTTAGCCTAGAGTATTATTGTTAGTCACATCTGTTTCCATAAGATGAACCATTACAGTCGTCGTAAGTATTGGCACATAGTACCAAACAGTTGCCATGCAGTAACTTGAGAGATAATTTTTTTTTTTCCCTGTATGCACATTTGTAAAATTTTTTCTATTTTAGGATCAGACTGCAAATTTCTCATGAGGCTGCTGCCTGTATCACAGCTCTCCGGGCAGCCATGGAGGCTCTGGTTGTTGAAGTAACCAAACAACCTAATATCATTAGTCAGTTGGACCCTGTTAACGAGCGTATGCTGAACACAATCCGCCAGATATCTAGGCCCTCTGCTGCCGGTATCAACCTAATGATCGTCAGTACACGGTGAGGAGCATAGTAAAATTTCTCTTTGAACCAAGCAGAGGACAGTAATCTTTCCATAGGCCTAAAATTTCCACAGTGAGTTGCTAGAGGCTTTAAGATATAATTCTGGACAAACACTGAATATGGAGTTTAGTTCTGGTTAACAGACTAAAAGGGTGTTCACTCTTGTCTTGTTACTCTATTACACATGTGTATAGTAGAGATAGAAAGGGGCCTTAAAAATACATGCAGAATCTAGGTTGGTCACACAACCAGAACTCAACCGATCCTTTTTCCTCAGTACTATGTTGAAACTGCTAAAGAAAAAATGTTGGCGAGGAGTTAAATTGATCCTCAAATGAAAAGCAGCAGGGTTTATCATCTTAGGGAAATACAGGAACATGCTTATCTTTAAAAAATGTGAACTATGTCTTAATTCTTAAAATGTTCTGCTTTTTTTCCTTTGGCTGCAACTTCTTATTTGTAAATATTTGATACCTACAGAAAGGGGAGAATGACAGTATAGTGAACACCCACAGTCTCTAATTGTTGGCATTTTGTGACACTTTCATGGATCTATTACACGTCCATCTAATTTTGCTTAATCATTTGTGATTAAGTTGCAGATATTATGGCATTTTACATCAGTATCCTTTATCTTTTAAGAACATGGCCACAGAACACTGATTACATCTCTAAAATTGTGTTGTAATCCTATTATACAAGTGTGTAAAATGTTTATAGTTATCCAGAAGTATTCTTTAATCTCTCCATCAAGCTAACCTTACTGCATGTGATTGAAACAATTACAATTGTAATTTTAAGGTGCAAAATCATATCTGTGAATTAGGGTTTCCCAATTTGACTGTGAGTACTAAATTTTGAACATTATTAAGCATAGTGGTTATGTGCCAGGCACTGTGCTAAGTGCTTTTCTAGTATTAACTCATCTTAATATTTAATCTACCTATGATGTAGACAAATTATTATCTCCTTCAATGTGAATAAGGAAGCTAGGAACAAGGAAGACTCAGGGCCACAAGCTAGTGAATGGTAGAGCTGGATTTGAGCTCAAGCACTGTGACTCCTGACATGGTGCTGCCCTTTATTACACCATCCAGGTGTCATGGGCATCCTTAACAAGTGTCTGAAAGAGGGAAATTACTTTTGTCAGGAGCAGTGGTGATCAAGAGGGCTTCACACATAATCTGCTCTGTGAAGGACCAGAAACTAGGAAGGATGGGATAAATGGAGAAAGAACTTAAAATATACCAACATAATGGTGGCCTGAATTATGGTAGGGGGAAGAGAAATGGGAAGAACTGAGTAGATTAGAGAGGTTTGTAGTAAAATCAGTAGCAGTTGATGTTAGAACACAGTAGTGAATGAATGAAAAGAGATTCCAGCCCTATTTCTAACTTGGGCAACTGTTAAATTGCTACTGCTAGTGTCTGACAAAAGCTACACAGGAATAATAGTTTGGGCTATATTGAATTGGATTTGTTAATGAAAAATCTGACTTTTGCAATTTTTCATTGCCCCTTTTTTTTTCTTTCTTTGCTACACAAAGCAGATTTAGCTGTAAACAAAGACGTGTCAAGAACATATTTCAGAGTTAATGCAGAAAAATACTTGTTAAAGATGAAATAATATATTACCAGCTCCAAGAGCCTCTTTACTAACATATTGCTGCTTTCTTCAAGTGCTATATATTTGAACTGAGTGAAAGAGCACTATATTAAAGTGGTAAGGACTTCCTGCCAAAATTTAAGATCTTGAGACTGAACCAGAAAGAACTTTAGAAAAACACATGGTTACAGTTGGCACGTCCTCCTGCATCTATTTTGGAATAGCAGGTTTTTTCACTTCCATTTGCATTTTGCCCTTGGCTTTGTTCCTTCAATGCATTCAATTTTCAAATGTGACTGAATGTATTTTGTGAAAGTTGGAAAGTATTAAGGGTCCTTTGCTAACGTGGTGCTTTTGTGCTCTTCCCAGGTATGGAGATGGTCCGCGTCCTCCCAAGATGGCCCGATATGACAATGGAGGTGGATACAGAAGGGGTGGTTCTAGTTATGGCACCGGAGGCTATGGCACTGGAGGCTATGGAGGTGGTGGGGGCTATGGCGGGGGCTCTAATTCCTATCGGGGAGGCTATGGTGGGAACAGTGGTGGTGGCTACAGAGGAGGTTACCGAGGTGGCTACCGAGGTGGCTCAGGGGGGGACTACAGAGGGTCAAGTGGAAGAGGCTACAGGGGATCCGGGGGTTTCCAGGCAGGAGGTGGCAGAGGAGGGTATGGGGGTGGCTACTATGGACAAGGAAGAGGAGGGGGCTATTAATCTTGGTTATGTCAGTACCTGTGCATAGATAGTTAAAAGTGCATGCTACCTATTTTCCCAGGTTGTTTATTTGCTGCCGATAAGTAAACACATTTTCCACCCATTTTGTGGTTCATTATAGTTTAAGGAAACTCAAGTATATAGACTAGTGATTTTGTTTATATTATGTAAAATATGACCTATTATAAAAGTACCAGTTTGTATTTTTTCTTTAAGGAGTAAAGATTTGCCTTTAAAATTAACTTGGTATTTTCTTGGCTTTAGTTTAATAAAATAGAAAATAAAGTACTACACTGAATACTGGCTATGTAGTTGTTGCATTTCCTTTCTTAAGCATCCCCCTATAGTCTACCAAGAACGACAATATATTCAGTTTACAAGAAGTTACAGCAAGTACTAGTTGAATTGACTGTATCTTTCCCATTCAGTAGGGAAGTGAATAGTGCTAGACACACTAGGGGAAAGAATCTGGAAAGGAAGAATATGTAGAAAGGTGTGAAATTACTGCTCATCATCCCTCTTCTCACCACACATACATTGGGAATATAATTAGAGCTGGCACTGACAAAATTGGGTCTGCCCTTCTAAAAAGTCAGGGAGGGGTGAGGTGATTTGTACCTGTTCTGTCTGCGGCATCTTCACTGTGCACTTTCAAGTTTGGTGGTTTTAGCAGTAACAACTCAACAGCTTGCTTTGGGGCTGAGGGTGATGTGGAAGGGAATGGAAAGATGCTCAAAGTTAACTGGAGGAGTTAGGTGATGTGGCAGTTCCTGAGAGACACTGCAGCACTGTTGTCAAGAGAATATGCAGCAGTATTGCTAAGAAGGAGCTACAACTTAGCGGGTTTTCCAGTGCAGGGAAGCTGGACATAAAATCTTGCAGGCATCATCCGAGCCAGGGAAACAGACCAGAAGAAAATGGATGTGTCAACACAATTAGAGGACAGGTATCAACTGTGGCAAAATGCATATTTGAATGCCAGTTTCCCTCCCTCTGAATCTAGAAACAGAAATGGGATGGGGGATAGTGGAGAAGACCAGACCAATTTTGAATTGATCTGGAACTGACCTGAAAGTTCTGGCTTTGACTGATAAAGAGCTGCAATTTCCACTCATTACCTAAAAGCTTTAGATTTGGTCACAACACAATCAGAAAAGTTATTAAAGTTGTAGTTGTGTACTTTAGTATTTGTGCAATGCCCCATTGTGTGTACAACAGTAAAAGGTTTGTGAATTACCCTAAATATAAATGAATTACCAGCTAAAAAGTATAGTAGCTGAGTATATTTCAAAACAAGTCCAATCTGCTGCTGTTTACGGGAAACTTATTTTACCAGCAAGGACAAGCACTGACTTAAAGACTATAAGCAAATTGCAAAACTGATTCAGAAACAGCTATACATATGTCAGATAAAAAAGGCTTCCAATTAAAAAAAAGAGGGATGGACATAATTAAGAACCTAATTAATACAAGAAGAAATACTCTTACTAGATATACACCAAATGATGGCTTTAAGTACACACACATAGTGCTCCTGCTTGAACATAATAATTTACAATTTCTGTAGTTGGGCTTAAAGTGGAGGAAAGATACATACAACCCAAATGCAATTGGCCATCAGAAGCTGGTAAAAGCCCTCATCTGGCAACCATCCAAATGAACAAAAAAAAAAAATTTCCCCTAAAACATCCAGGAATAAAGCCCTGTCAGTACCTTGGTTTTTGCCCATTGAGACCCATGTCAGACTTCAACTGACTGTTCAGAGGACACTTGGCAATTAATTTAAGGATTATATTTCCCGGCTCCATTTGGCAGGTAGGTGCAGCCATGTGACTAGATTCTTGCTGAAAGGATACATGAAAGTTGAAAGAAACTTTGTAGAAATGTCCTAATTCTATTTGACAATATAATGAAGTATTGTCATCTTGGACCATGTGATTTTGAGTGGAACCCCTAAGTGGTTAGAACATAGAGCAAGGGCCTCCCCGGTGGCGCAGCGGTTGAGCGCTGGTTGCGATGCTGCCCGCGGCCTCTGCGGCGCCGGTTCGATCCCCGGCTGCTCCCCGGCCACCGGAGGAGGGTCCCACATGGCGCGCAGACCTCTCCTGCCGCCCGCTGCTCCCCTCAGCAGTGTACTTCGGTCCTTCTGCCTGCTCTGCTCCCCGCTCTGGCTCTGGTGAATTCTCTCACCCTCCCGCGCTTCTGACTGTACCCAGTGCATGTATAAACAAAAACAAAGCAAACAAACAAATAAATAAATAAAACATGCCTCTATAAAAAAAAAGAACATAGAGCAAGCCTGAATTTCTAGTATGAAGCACTCACCTACCAGCTCTACACTGAGGAACATCTCCACAAGTCCTGTTCTGGACTTAAACATGAAGGGAAAATGCATTTCAATGTTTTCTCTCATCTTGGATTTCCTTTTTAGCAGTTGAACCTTAGTCTGGTTACTAGCAGAGGTAAATGGGACTAAGGAGTTGGCTATAAACAATTTCTGTTCTCTACACAGAACACCTAATGCTTCTTACTGGGTGAATTATGCAAAAAACAATGTTTAAAACTATTTCTGGAATTAGTGATGATGTTACTATATACTAGAAACATACTAAAACCATTGATTTATGTACTTTAAAAGGGTGATTTTTAAAAACCTATAGTTTTATTAAGAGAAAAAGTGACTGGTATAAAGTTTAAACACTTTCCACAGAAACCTAACATACCTGAAAAGATTTTACAGTGGAGTTCTAGATACAGGTCTAGACGATGGCAAACTGAACTGATGGCTCTCAAGATTTATGTCAGCATTTTGGGTATTAGTTAAAGCGCAGGATTAATTTTTTTTTTCCTGTATTTTAAAGTGAACCACTGCCTTAGTATGAAAGTTTATTTTTTTTTAAAGATTCATTTTATTTATACAAGAGCCAGGGTACAGGCCAGATGCGCGGGAGGGTGAGAGGATTCACCAGAGACAGAGTGGGGAACAGAACAGGTGGATCTACTGAAGTACACTGCTGAGGGGAGCAGCGGGTGAGACAGGAGAGGTCTGCTCGCCATGTGGCTTGCTCCAAAGCCTGTGGCGGGGATTGAACCGGCACTGCAGAGGCTGTGGACAGCTTTACAGCGCTGCGCTCAACTGCCTGCACCACCAGGGAGGCCCTGAAAGTTTAATCTGAAGTCAGGGCTTAAATGATCCAACTCTTTAAGTGGTTCAGTGGAACTTGTGCTGTCAGTAGCTGCTGAATCCTGCCTGCCACTAGTGGCTTGAGTTCAAAGTCAAACAGGGCTCCAGGAGCCATTCACTCTTCAGTGCATGGCCCCCATCTTTTCCCTGCTCTCCCCTGACCTTTAACTCTCCAAATACCTCAGTCAGTAGCTTGAATGGACAAACTGGTATAATTTATACCTTCAAAATAGATAAAAGGTCTTCATGTCCATTTCAAAAATTAGCACCTTTGTGACAGAACAATCTGCCTGCTTGTACACATCAGTAAAGTTTGGTCCTCGATCAGTTTTCAGTCCCAAATGCAGTTTGGGGCAATTATTGACTGGCTCAGTGCTTTGTTGAGAAGATCACTAAGCTCAGGCAGGGAATACCTTGGCTGCTAAGTTTCAGGAATTCACAGCTTTTAAAGTCTCATGTTCCTCATTCATGTTGCCGATAACTTTTTGGGGGAAATGGTAATATATTCTGGACATAGAACCAAATTGCCATTAGTTGTCTGTTCTTTCCCTTGTTTCACCACTTCCCCAATCAGGCCTCAGATTTTAACAAAAATCACCCCACCTATATCCTTCCCTCTCCACCCCAACCCTTCCACCCACCACCAAGACACCAGTAATAGCCAGAAACTGCACATGCAACACAGTGGACTTCCAAGTCAACACTATTGAGAAGAAGGCTGTGGGTTGTGGAGATGTTCTATGAAGCTCTGCAGTTTTTTTTTTGCTCCCCCCACCCCCAACTCCACACCCAATCTACAAATTTTGTCCTTCATAGGTCCTTCGCTTTTCTCAGCCACTTAACCTCCTAGCCCTCCACTGGGTGTGCAAACGATATAGCATGAAACAGCTCTATAGCACTTGGCTTGCTGCTGGACACAGAACTACTATGGCTCTTCAAAGGACATTGACTCAAGCCACTTCCATGGCTTCAAGAAAAGTTGAGTTCCTCCCCTTCCCACTTGAAACCCACAGTCAGATATGACAGGAGTTTGGTACTTAAGAGTTAAATCTTACCAATTTTTTGGTCATTTTCCTTGGGTAGAAATACAATGTCAAGTCTAGAAGGATATGACAACTTGACATTGGCTTCCTAGAAGGATATGACAACTTGACATTGGCTTCCCCGGCAGGGGCCAGACTAGCCTGATCAGTTTTCCCATTTCATCAGGAACATGAGTTCTCCACTGGAAACAGTGGGCTCTCGCTCCAATTCTCTTCTTCCCCACCCCAAGCCTCTCTCCTGGCATCTCCTTTTTCTTTTTTCCACCCCCCCCCACCCTTGGTTTGCTCTCTCCCTTATCTTCAGAACCACAGTCAGCTTTGCACTTGCCTCCCTCTGATCTGTCCCCTGCTGTTTTCTGAGACTAGAACCCTGGCCACGAGATCCAGCCTTCCAGGTTCTCTTCTGGTGCCGCCCTGTTGTCCTAATCTGAGAACACTTTGTAGTTCAGAAAGTAACTCCACGGTACCTTTTACTACTTGAAGGTCAAGAACTTTCCCCATCACATACTCTTCTTTCTCCCCTCCTATTATGCAATAGTACCTCCTCCACTTTCTTTTCTCTTTTCCCCCATAGTGCCCCCCAGCTTTCTGGTACAGAGGGTAACACTGCTCAGAGCAGTGCTGGCATCACATCAGGGCAGCTGGTGGGGGAAGTGGTGCCCAGGAAAGCAACAAGACAGGTGGTGGGGGTGGAGGCCCCACTGAAGCGCAGCACCCTGACCTCCCCTCGGCCCCCAAAATATCGATGCATTCTGCACTGCCCTCCGCCAGCACTGCCCAAAAAGGGCGAATTTTATGGTGTCTGGAGTATTTTCAACTGTTACTAAAAAAAAAAAGAAGTGAATCAGCCAATGAAAGAGCATTTTAAATGTTTATGTGTCTTTAAATAAGCTTTGAATTAAAATTACCGTATCTGTGGGATATGAGAAATATCTGAAATATAAAATTTTAACATAAATCCAGATGCTTTAATTTGTCACTATTCTGATATCCCCCTTTAAGTTCGCTTCTATTTTATTATTATTCATTTCCAAATTCAGATTTTGCATTACTTTGGAAAGCATATTGTCATCTTTTTTATCTCCTGAAGCAGCCCCTTTGTTGAGGGCTTCCTCTGATACAATAAAAAATTGTTCAGTTGGTTGAAGAATGCTTACTCCATAACCATTGTTGTTGTAAATATGATTATTAGCCATCTTCAATCGGGGTGCTGGAAGAACCTGTTAAATTATTCAAAAAAATTAATTTTTAAATGATTTTTTAAAAACTAGGAACTAATGAACATATCAAACTCTGGAGCTTATTCTTGGGTTTACAAATATTTTTAAAACAACTGAATCTCACTTTGGAACAAGTGTTATTTTCCTGATTAATTGGAATATTACCAAATGTTTAATGAGAAAATATTAAATGATATTTTCAATTTATTTTCATCAGTGATAAAAACAATTGATTGTACATGGGGACACAATTATATACCAGGAAGCTGACTTTTAATATAACATGATAAATTGATAGTATTTCAAGTAATGATAAGCAGAGTTCCAGGGGAGAGAACTTTATTAACTCTACAAGTCTAGAGAAGGACCTAGAAAGACAGAAATTATAGAAGTACAGAGGAATGTAAATGCACTTCACTTAGAACGTGTTGCTATTGATGTTTTAATTGGTTAGCTTGAATTATTTTACAGTTTGGAAGACAAAATACTTCACATTTTCCCTTTATTTTCTTTCAAAATGTATTCTAAAACTGCCCAATGAAAAATCTAAAGCATTTCTGTAAGTGCAAAAGTTAATGTACTTACTCATATTCATTTACTAAGAATTTAAATTGTTTAAATCATAATTACTTACATTACTGTCCTTTCCCAAATCAGTAACATGTAGACTAAATCTTAAGGCTAAAGCAAATATTTTAGTTCTCTAATAACTATAATTATTATAACAATCCTATATTAAGAAACATGAAAATACCTTCATATTAACTCCACCTAAGGTGCTTTTTGAACTATCACTTGTTCTGAGGTTATTACAGTGATGAATTTCATTTCTCTCCAAGATGGCTATGCTCCCAGGATATAGCTCAACACCAGCACCCTGCCAATTAAAAGCAAATCAATTTACAACACGCACGTACATTTCCAAATTTTCTTTATATTTGAAAACTGTATTAGCAATCGAAGCACAGTGTTATATATGAAAACCCATGATAGTGCATGAACCAATTTATTATAGAGCTGATGTTCTAATTTGTGTTAAGAAAATCATTAGGTCTACAACAAAGGTCACTACATTGTTCTCCCACCCAAATGAAGTCACTGGAAGGAGTAAAAAATCTAAGCAATTCTTTCCAATAATTATAAAAACTTACTTATAGCAGTTTGCCTTCCCCTTACCCCTTTCATCCCACTATCCATGGTTTTTCACCTTCTGAGGTTTCAATTACCTAAGTCAACCATGATTCCAAAATGTTATGAAAATAAGCTATTTTGAGAGAGATAGACTACATTCATATAGTCTTTTCTTTTTTTTAAACATACTTTTTTTTTAAAGATTTATTTATTTATTTATACAAGCACTGGGTACAGTCAGAAGCGCAGGAGGGTGAGAGAATTCACCAGAGCCAGAGCGGGGAGCAGAGCAGGCAGACTGACGAAGTACACTACTGAGGAGAGCAGCAGGCGGCAGGAGAGTTCTGCGTGCCATGTGGGACCCTCCTCCGGTGGCCAGGGAGCAGCCGGGGATCGAACTGGCGCTGCAGAGGCTGCTGGCAGCTCCACAACCCAGCGCTCAACCGCTGCACCACCGGGGAGGTCCCATATAGTCTTTTATTACAACTTACTGTTACAATTATTTATTAGTTATTGTTTACTGTGCTTAATTCATAAACTCATTTAAAAACTTACACTTAAACAAAAGCTGCTTAATTTATAAATTAAATTTTGCCATAGGTCTGTATGTGTAGGAAACAATTACAGGATTTGGTACTACTTATAATATTAGGCATCCACTGGGTCTTGGAACTTATCCCATATGAATAAGGAAGGACTAATGTATAAATATTCCAAATCCCTCATAATGCTTTTAAAGTCTAATTTCCTTAGCTAGTGGAAATTAAGAAAAAATCATTGTTTAAAAACGTTTCTCTCATTTTTCTGCTTTAATTTTTTTCTTATTCAATTTTCCAGTCCTTCAAGCTACATGATTGCTATCTAAAGAAACTATCAGAACTAATCTTAATACTTTAGTCATGTCTGATACATAAGGACTTATTTTTTTAAAGTAAGTCATCAAGTAACTGACTCATGATCTGTTTTATAGCCACTGATTCTTATACTATTAAAAACTCACACTTAAACCAAAGCTGCCAATTTCTTACTGTGGATTTAAACAGTTTATATTTCCTAAGTACACTATGATACTCTTGCACCTGTCCTCATTTTGCTTATTTCTATCATTTTCTAGGCTTAATTATAATTCAAAGATGAAATAACTGTTACCCTTTTATGTTAAGAGCATTCAAAATTACCTATAGGCATATAGAGCTATAGTTTTTATAAAATGAAATACCTGGGCCCCAGTTATCTCACTGTCTGTAATTGTCAAAGCAGCCCCTGTAAGAACACACACTCCTGTTCCTTCACATTTTAACACACAGTTTTCTAGAGTCATGTGACCAGACTCTACCACCACAATACCATCAACTGTCCCTTGTTGTATCAAAGATAGATGCATTAATTTCACATTATCAGCTTTGGACACCACAAAACTGTCATGAGATGGTTCAGAAGTAATCAAAATTTCCTCTCTCTTTCCAATTCCTGAATGATAGGAAGAAAAAATCACCTAATTAAATCAGCAATCCCTAAATACAAAGACCTTTAGCCAGTCAATAATTACTAAGTTCTTTTTTTACATGTTTTAAATAATATTGTAATATATATAATTATTCAGTTATAATTATATACTTAATTTTAATGTAATCTTTTGACCTTATTTTGATGCCATGATGGAAAAATCTAGGCTTATAACAAATGTAAATGGACATATGGTTATTTATTTAATATACTCAGTTCACTACATATTTCCATATTATATTACCTGCAGTCATGTGCACAATGTCTAAGCTACAAAAGTATCTTACCATAACCTGCTTTAAAAACAAAATAAATTACAATAACTAAAAAAGACTGTCAGACTTGAATTAGATTAAAAGATTACTTGAATAACATCCATAATTTTGCCTTGCAGTAGTCAAAACATCTAAACTAAACATCAATCTAAAAATAAGGAAGGGGTTGGGTTTTCAAGGGGGCTACAATTTTTTTAGAGTTACAATATGGTTCTTAGTACCTATGCAATTAGGCAAAACACTATTTCTAGCATAAAAATCTATTGAAAAATTTATTCAATTTTTGGATAGGCAAAATTTAAGTCACTCATTCTTTTCTTTTGGCCAAACAGTGGGAATACCCTTATTCCAATGAAAAAGGACAGAAACAAAGTTCCTAAATATGTTCAAAAACTAAAAGTAATGTAGCAAACTCTTTTTATACTTCTATTTAGTTTAGTTTGCATTTGAATTAATCTTTTTGAGAAAATGCTGAATAAATTTTAATAGATCCTTACATGTGAGCTTTCCTCCTAAAGTGGAGATAGGTGAGAAAAAAAGTGGCTTTTGAGAAAATATACAACCAATTGAAAATAATATGAACATATTTTTTTTCTAGTTTTGCTCATTTATGTAGAATCTCTGTGAATAGTGCTGTATTATCATGGTGAAGAAGCAGTCTCACTGATTGATTTGCTCTGTACAGTATGTCCAAAGAAGGTCATCTAAAGCAATGAGAAGGTTTCATATAAGCTATGAGAAAAATAAGTAAGAGGCTCATAAGGATTTTTGTGTAACATAAAATATGCTATAATTTTTAATAGTTTCATTAACCATATTTTATAATATACAGTTTTTCCACTGCACATTACTATTAAAAGATTGCAAAGGATGCCCTGCTAACCCTTTATAATGATGTCATCAGTCAACAAAGCAAGATTGATAGCTTGATATTCTCCTGGAAAAATAACTACTGTATCTCCACTATAACAACTATCCAAAGCCAAATCCAAATCATCATGCTGTTGGAGAAGTGTGTCTGAAGATAGGTCCTTTACCTGAAAAGAAGAAATAAAGTAATATACCTTGAACAAAAAGGTTATGCTGAAATAAGTAATTGTATACAATTAACATAATAGGTAACATCTGCTTTCCCCCAAACTTATCTTGTATAAGTATTAGTACATTGTAATTTATGTATTTGTTTATCAAATGTTCAAATATCAATCCACAGATTAAGAAGAAATATTGGGAAAACTTCTAAATTTATTGAAGAACATGAATCTACATATTCAAGAAGCTTGATGGATTCCAAGCTGGATAAACACAAAGCTAAACACATCACTACAAATTATAGTCAAACTTTAGAAAATCAAACAGAAAAGAATCTTGAAAGCAGCAAGAAAGAAGCAATTTTATATGTACAAGTAATCAGCAATAATATTAACAGCTGATTTCTCATCAGAAGCTATGGAAATCAGAAAGCAGTGAGATGAGATATTTAAAGTGCTGAAAGTGACAAAAACTGTCAATCAAAGATTCTATATCCAGCAAAATTGTCCTTCAAATTTTTAAGAAGAAATTAAGACATTCCCACATAGACAAAGGCTGGATGAGTCCTACAAGCAAACAAACAAAAAATGGTAAAGGGAGTCCCTCAAACAGAGAGGAAAGGATTTTGCATAGTAAATCAAAGCACTAAGAAGAAATAAAGAACTCAGGTAAAGATGAATACATGAGTAAATTAGACTGATATTATTGTAATCTTGGTTTAACACTCCTCTTTTTGTTTCCTATTGAGTTTTAAAAAAGTACTGCATAAAATAATTATAAATCCAAGGTTATGAGCAGGCAATCTATAAAATGTAATTTGTGACAACAGCAACTTAAAGAAGGAATGGAGCTATATATGGACATTTATATGGTATTGAAGCTAAGTTGTTGTCAATTCAAACCAAATTCCTTTTTTCTTGCTTTAAAAGCATTTTAATTTTATTTTTTCAAGCTAAAGTATTATAAATTTACAATGTTAATTATAACCCCCCATGATAATCCTCATGTTTAGAATATAACAAAAACATACAGAGAAGACATAAGGAGTGAACCAAACATGCACTAAGAAAAATTAAACACAAAGGAATATAACATACAGAAAACAAATAGCAAAAGACAGAAGTAAATTCTTATCAGTAACCAATTCAAATGTTAATAAATGAAGATCACCAGTTAAAGGACAGAGACTAGTACAACGGATGAAGAAACATGAACTGATGGTTATATTATACCTACAAGGGACTCAGTTTAGATTCAAAGACACAAACATATTACTAGTAAAAACATATAAAAAAGTTATTTGATACAAATAGTAATCAAATGAGAACTGCAGTGATTATAGTAACATTAGACAAAATACTGATAAGTCAAAAACTTATTAGAAACATTTTATATTGACAAAGTTAATGCATCAAGAAGATATAATTATGATAATCATATGCATTAAACAATGAGACCCAAAAATATATGAAGAAACATTGACAAAATTGAAGGGAGAACAGACAGTTCTACAATAACAGTTGGAGAATTTTAAAATCCACTTTTAACAATGACTAGAACATCTATACAGAAGATCAATAAGGAAACAGAGGACTTGAACAACACTATATGCCAGGTCGACCTAATACACATATACAGAAGCCAACATAGAAATCTTATTCTTCTGGAGTGCACATGGAACATTCTCTAGGCTACACCATATGTCAGAAATGGAAAACCTCATCCTCAAATTCATGTGGAATTGCAAAATACTCTGAGTATCAAAAAAAAAAAAAAAAAGGAAAAGTTGAAAGAGTCACACTTATGACTTCAAAGCTTACTACAAAACTACAGCAATTGAACTGCGTGGTGCTATAACAAGACTAGACATAAAAGACAATAGAATCCAAAGTCCAGGAAAAAAAAACATACAAATATGGCCAGTGGCTTTCAACAATGGTGTCACGATCATTCAATAGAGGAAAGAGCAGTCTCTTCCACAATGGTATTGGGAAAACTGGATATCTGTGGGAAAGAATGAAATTGCCCACCAAGAATTAAGATCTTCCTGTACCACCCGCGCAAGTGAGTGTATTTTAGGAAAAGAGAGATCCTTAGCTGCTGGGGATCCATTACCCACTTATCCAACATACTGAGAATCTCCTGACCTCAATGCCTTTTCCATCATGGACGTCCTGAAGAATGGGAAGAGCTTATAGCCCTACTTTTTCATGTACTATCATAAAGTAATTATACTTATCCAGAAAAAAATTAAAACTCAACCTCTACCTCATACTGTATAGAAAAACTAAAATGGATCAATAACTCAAATATAAGGGCTAAAATCTTAAAATTCTTAGAAGAAAATATAAGGGCCAATCTTCATGACCATGGGTTTGGTAATGGTTTCTTAGGTATGAGACCAAAACATGACTAATTAAAAAAAAATAAACTGGACTTCATCAAACTTTAAAATTTTTGTGCATCATAGAACATCTAGAAAGTGAAAAAACAAATATGGAACAGAAGAATGTATCTGCAAAGTAAACATCTGACTCTAGTATCCAGAATATATAAAGAACACACAATCATCAGCAAAAAGACAATCCTATTTAAAAATGGGCATAGAATTTGAATAGATATTTCTTCAAAGAAGATACACAAATGACCAACAAGCACATGAAGAGATGTTCAACATCATGAATCATTACGTGAGTAAATGCTATTGCCATTTGTTGGAATGGCACTCTAGAAAATAAGCAGGTCAATGGAGAAGATTTTAACTGTGGACATTTGAGAGTTTAAGTATTTGTGAGACAATCATCTGGAGATAGGCCATTGGGTATATAGGTTTGGGGCTCAGAACAAAAACCTAAGCTGTGCACACCATTTTAGATTATCAGTAAATATAATGGCAGTAATGGCAAGAAATCAGATAATTACTTAGGGATAACATAGTACAGAGAAAAGTGCCAAACAATTACAGGACAGAAGGGAAGGGAAGTATGCAACTCGGGAGAATGAAAACCAATAAAGTACAGGAACAGAAGGAAAAAGAATACTTCAAGGAGAGAGCTGTGAAATGCTACTGAAAGGTCAAATGAGATGGAAATATTTACTCTTTCACTTACATTTTCCCCCTTAGAATGATTAAATTTATATTCACCTTTCAGATTTCAGCTGTTATTTATACCAACCAGTGAGCTATAATGTCTGGTTTATGTATCCATCTTAGGTACATCTTGTACATACTCTTATTATATATAGCATTTATCATTCTGTGTTATAAGTGTAATTGCCTATTTGCCACCATAGCTGCATCATAGTTCAAAGTTAGCAAATGTATGAAGAAGAAAGACATTGCTGGGTCTGAACCAATACTGGATCTCCCTCAAATGCAATCTTCTCATAATAGTCTCTCTTATCCTTTCCCTGATTAGTGCTCAGTGAATAGTCACTAACATTTATTTACTTAGTACTTATTCTATGCCCTTTTTTTTGAGGAAACAAGGCAATAATGAGACAGACAATAACCCTACCCTCTAAGAGTTTCTTTTCTTACTATATGGAGTGAAATCTTAAGAATAATATGTATTTCTTACCATGTCAGTAGTCATCACTTTTGCTACAATATGTGTTATAGTCTTTCCAAAGTCCCTCTTTCCTTTCCTACGCCTCAGAATTCTTGGAAAGAAGGGCCCATGAACTCTAGAATTGAAACATTTATCATTAAGTTAGCATGAATTATATCTGAAATTAACATTAAAAAGACTCACCTATACACACTTAGAAAATAAAAACTTGGTAATCTACATCGAGGATAGGTTTCATTAGTTTTAAGTTCCTTGAGAGTAATGAGCATCTTTGAGAGCAATAGAATTATTCAAATATTTTAGTTAACTTAGTGTTTAAGCACCTGAACCCTATATATCTGTTCATTTAAATGTGTTGTATCTGAAAAATCTGCATGCAACCCACTGCAATCAATACCTCAAACACCTCAACTTTTCGATACAGTAGAAAATTTTCCTGATTGTACTTTCATGATCCAATGAATTGTAGACTCACACAAAACAGGTGAGTTGTGTCTGTGATAAAAAGGCTTAAGAATCTTTTTGAACATGTCAAGTTTTAGATATTTTGTTCAATTAACAGATTGTTTTCCTTCCAGCAGAACAATTCTAGATTTTTAGTTGTTTATACTTTGCTATTCAGCACTTGTAGCTCTATTTAGTTCTTTTAGTTCACTTTTAATTCTATTCTTTCTTCCGTTTTCTTTTACTATTCCTTTTTCCCATCTCTTAATCATTTAAGTATTCCATTAGAAAAAAAATTGACTATGGACCACTTTGAATTAATTTTTTGTGAAATGTATAGTCTGCGTTTAGACTTATGTTTTTGCATTTGGACAATTATTCTAGTACCATTTGTGGAAAAATTCTCCACTGAATTTTTTTTTTTAAAGATTTATTTATTTATATAAGCACTGGGTACAGGCAGAAGTGCGGGAGGGTGAGAGAATTCACCAGAGCCAGAGCGGGGAACAGAACAGGCAGACTGACGAAATACACTGCTGAGGGGAGCAGCGGGCGCGGCAGGAGAGGTCTACGCGCCACGTGGGACCCTCGACAGTGGACGGGGATCTAACCAGCGCTGCTGAGGCTGCGGGCAGCTTTTCAGCCCAACGCTCAACCGCTGCGCCACCAGGGGAGGCCCTCCACTGAATTTCCTTTTTTTTTTTTTTTTTTTTTTAAGGAGGCATGTATTTTTATTTGTTTGTTTGTTTGTTTGTTTGTTTATACATGCACTGGGTACAGTCAGAAGCGCAGGAGGGTGAGAGAGTTCACCAGAGCCAGAGTGGGGAGCAGAGCAGGCAGAAGGACCAAAGCACACTGCTGAAGGGAGCAGCGGGCGGCAGGAGAGGTCTGCGCGCCATGTGGGACCCTCCTCTTGTGGCAGGGGAGCAGCCGGGAATCGAATGGCGCTGCAGAGGCCACGGGCAGCTTCGCAACCCAGCGCTCAACCGCTGCGCCACCGGGGAGGCCCCTCCACTGAATTTCTTTTACCGCTTTGCCAAAGATGAGACAACTCTATGTGGGTTTTTTAATGAAATCTATATTCTGTTCCATTGATCTATGTGACTATTATCTCACCATGCTTTCTTGATTACTGTAGCTTAATAAAAAAGTCTTAAAACTGTGGAGTTTGAAATAATCCCACTGAATTCTTTTTCAGTACTATGTTAGCTAAAAAATAAGTTTGCTGGTATTTTTTGTTAGGATTGTATTGAATCTATAGACCAAATTGGGAAGAAGTGACATATTAACAACGTTGAGTCTTCCAATGGATAAATGGCACATCTCTGCATTATTTTTTCTGTGATCATAGTTTTACAGTTTTTCACATATAGCTTCTATACATATTTTGTTAGATTTATACCTAAGTATTTCATTATTGGGCTTTCCTATAAATGATATTTTAAAAAATTCAAATTATTTGTTGATATGTAAGGATGCAATTAAATTTAGGACATTAACTTTGTATTTTGTGGACTTGGTATACTTGTTTATTAGTTCCAGGAGATTTTTATTGTTGATGCTGCTTTTTGGGATTTGCTATGTAGACAATCATATCATCTGCAAAGTTTTCTTCCTTCCTTCCCAATCTGTATTTTTCAATTTCTGTTTCTTGTTCTATTGCACTATCTAGGATTTCTAGTTGGATATTGAATAAGAATGAGAGAAAAAAATTCTTGTCTTATTCCTGATCTTAGAGGGAAAACATCAACTTCTCACCATTAAGTAGAATTTAGTTGTAGTTTTTTTTTCTTAATGTGCTTTATCAACTTGAGGAAGTTCTCCCACTCCTATTATGCTGAGAATGATTTTGTCCATTTTTCAGCAAAAAAATAGCATGATTTTTTCTATTAATCTTTTGGTGTAGTGGATTACATTGAATGAAACTCAAATGTTGATCTGACCTAACATATCTTACATTAATCCTAACTAGTCATGACATACTATTATTTTAATAATTGTTGGCTTTTATTTGCTAATATTTCAATACAGGTTTTTACATTCATGTTCATGAGACATATGATCTGTAATTTTTCTGTATTGTAATGCTTTAATCAGGTTTGTGCTTGGATTAATGCTGGTCTTACAGAATGAGTTAGGGCATGCTTCCTCTGCTTCAATTTTATAGATTATAGAAAATTGGTATCACTTCCCTCTTAAGTGTTTGGTAGAATTCATCTGTGAGAGTATCTGGGCCTGATGCTTCTTTTTTTGAAGATTATTATAGACACAGTAATATAAACATATCTATTCAAAGAAGCTATTTCCCTTTTGTGGATTTTGGCAATTTGTCATTAAAGAAATTACTCCAATTTATCTAAGTTATCAAATTTAATAAAAGTTGTTCACAATATTCTCATTTTTTTCATTTCCATTGAATCAGTAGTGACGCCCCTCTTTTATTTCTAATATTGTCAACTCATGTCTTCTCTTTTTCTTGGCTGTCTAAGAAAAAGAGAACCAGCTTTGGTGTGCTGATTTTCTCCATTGTTAACATGTTTTCTATTTCATTGATTTTTGGCTCTCAATTTTATTATTTGTTTTCTTCTGTTTGTTTTAGGGTTAATTGTTCTTCTATTTTTGTTCTTCTATAATTGTTCTTCTATATTGTTTTTCTATAATTGTTCCTCTATTTTTAATTGTTCTTCTATTATTTGTTTTCTTCTGTTTGTTTTAGGGTTAATTGTTCTTCTATTTTTTTAAAAGGAAAGCTTACCTTATTTCATCTTTCTTTTCTAATACACACATTTAATACTAAAACATCTAAAGACTGGTTTTGCTGTATGCCATAATTTTTGTTATTTTCATTAAGTTAAAATCATTTTTGTTTGTTTTTTATGAGACTTCTTTTGGACCCATGAGTTATTTAGAAGTGATATTTAATATAAAAATATGGGAATTTTACAGCTATTTTTCTACTGTTAATTTCTAGTTTAATTCCATTGTCATCTGAGAACATATATTTTACTCTTCTAAATTTATCAAAATGTTTATTAATTTTCAGAATATGGTCTCTGGGTAAATGCTGTATGTGACATTGAGAATATTGTGTATCCAGCTGTTGTCTGATGAAGTAGTCTATAAATGTCTATTAGATCAAGTTGATTGATAGTGCTATTCAGATAAACTACATACTGATTTTATGATTGCTTGATATATCAGTTATTGAAAAAATAATGCTGAAATCTCCAACTAGAATAACTGATTTGTCTGCTTTTGCATTTCTGTTCATTTTGCCTCCCATATTTTCATGCTCTATTTTGATGTACACTCATTAAAAAATGTTTGCCTTTTTGAAAAATTGAACCTTTATCATTATGTACTGCTTGTACTTGTCCCTGATAATTTAACTGGTTTTCAAAGTTTGATTTTGTCTGAAATATAGCTACTTCAACTTCTTAATGGCTATGTTAGCATGAAGTATCTTTCTCTAATCTCTGACTTTTTAACATTTCTAAGCCTATATATTTAAAATGGGTTTGTTATATATAATTAAAACATATATTTTTATCAAATTTGACAATTTCTCTTTTGTGTATTTAGACAATTCATAGTTAAAGTGATTACCGATATAGTGGAATTAATATCTGCTATACCAATAACTGCTATTTGTTGTACTTGCCTTTGTTTTCTCCCTCATTTCTGACTCTTTTAGTTTTAGTTGAGTAATTTGTGATTCCTTTTTATTTACTCTCTTAACATATCAATTACTAAAAATATTTTGTTTTTTTAGCCAGAGCTATGGGAATTGGGGATCATCCTAAGACCAAAAAACTACAAATTTACATTTCTTACACATTTCAAGGATAAATCCATTTCAAGGATGAACTTTTCTAGTTGTTGCCTGCTTTTGGTCACTTCATAGTACCTTCAAATAGTTGGGTTTGACTGATCAAATCACTCCACCACTCCTAAAAATACTTTCTGCAATCATAACTTTTAAAATGAGCCAACTCTGTGTTGCCCTATACCATTGAATCAAAAATTTAGTTATAACCTGTAATCAAATTCAACATGAGTTGAATCTCTATCTAGAAATAAGTGAATTTCAAAAATCTTATCGATTCTTTAGAGTAATGCCAAGATTTTGATACACAGGGATCACAATAACATGACATCAAAAATAGGCACTAGATTAAGAAATAGGTCAAATTTGAAAGAAATACAAAAAGAAAAATTTGAGTTAACTGAATTGTTGGACAATTAAAATTTGACTTAGTATTCATTTTGTTGTTGTTTGATTCAGAATTCCTGTGGCAAAGAATGAGTAATGGTGGTGGACTATACAAGAAGGGGTTTAATAATTTACTGAGAAATAGTAGGAAACCTCTGGCTCCATTCAAGATTTTCCAATAATTTTGAGGTCAGGAGCAATAATTTCTGTTTTCCCTCTTAAGCAAAAACAGAAATATGTACTTTACTACACAGCAATGTAAAACTATTTTAATGTTTCACAGCTTTCTGGAAATTATCATGGTTAAATCTACAATGCTTTATCATCAAAAGCAACTTGACATCTTATGTTGGTTAGAAATGCAGAAATTATAAAGCAGTCAAATTAGACAAACTGTCTCTTTACTTTGCACACTATACAAAACAGGTGGCCTAACTCCTCATTTCTGATGCTTTGGCTAAAATCAAGGCTGTAAAAATGAAATAGAAGGAAAGGAGAAGATTTATGACATTTTTTGCCTCAAAATAATGATTTCAGTGAATTCAGCTAATATAAATTTTTTTTTCAATATTGGTAGTTGTACATTGTGCTTACCTCATAAACTAGACATCTAATGTGTGATCTATTTCAATCAGGGTAACATATATGACAAGGCAATTGATACAGTAAAGAAATGACCATGTAATCTTTTTGATTCCATTTAAAATAGAGCAAATTACAGCGAAATAAGCCAAAAAGAAAAAGAAAAATACCGGATGGTCTCACTCATAGCAGGAATCTAGAAAACTTAAATAAGGGACCAGGAAAATGAATAACTATAAGAAAGTGAAAATCAAAATCAACAAAAAACTATGAAACAGAGACACTTTTGGGGGGGGGGGTGGCGGGAGGGGAGGGATTGGGATCAGAAAGGGGGGGTTGCAATTGTATGGGGAATATAAAAATAAAATTTAAAAAAAAATAAAATCAAATAAAATATGAAAAAAAAATAAAATAAAATAGAGCAAATTATTACCGGAGGCGCAAATCTTCCCACATTTTCAATAATCCACAGAGCATTACTATCTCATAGTATTTTTTCCAGCATTCAACAGCTTCTGCTGCAGATGGATCTTCTTTGATATTACTCTGATACTCAATGAGCTCAACACGCTTGTTTTTATATTTCTCCAAAGTCTTTTTAAAACGCTGTGCAATAGGACCAGGTATTGTTCCATCTTGTATAGCACACCACCTGAAAAGTAGCAATGTAGTTATAATGTTTATCTTAATAATCTGCTGGGTAAGCTTTCAACTATACTTACAAATTAATTCTTTCTTCAATCAAAGCAGTATAATTCTCACAACTTTCTTCATCATCCCAGTCTCTCCAAAGAAAGTCATAAAAAAACCTATAATAAATCAGATAAAGATAATAGTGATCAAAGCAGTTATTGGGATGTTTAAAATAGAATTCTGCAGATAAATTTTAATTTTTAAGAAAAATATCTCTAAATGACCTTTCAGTGAAATATTAAAGACTAAAAATTGAGATGATCTTGTATTCTATTTTAGGTTACTACAGAGATAGTGTTTTCTTGAAGTGGTATCATAAACTTTAGTTTCAAAATTTCATAAATTTTGTCACTAAAGACATTATACTTAAGATATAATTGAATTTGTAATACCAAGGGAGAAGTATAAAACTAAACACATGCCCCCACAGTCTGCATTTTGTTTATGGATAGTATCAATCTGTAAGAAGCAATTATAATGTGAGTGATGAGATCTAGTATTTATGTCCTTAAATATAAAAAAAAGAAATCTATTTGAGAAATGCAATACATTTAAGATGCTTAAATATGAACAGAAATTAATATTATTTATCTATAGAACTTTTTAAATTCAATTTTTATAAAATCCAAGATCAAAAACTGGAAAACTTTTCATTGCCTGTATGTAATACTCTGGCAAGAAAATGTTTTAACTAAGAGTTAAATATGTTCATTTTAGAAGGACTAACTGAATTCAGCAGTGAGTGAAAATTAAATCAATATTTGTGAAGTGCTTAAATAAACAAATAAAATATTAACTTTTAAAATATAATTTTAACTTCAAGAGAAAATCCTATTACCTTACAACTTCCAAGGCCAAAGCAATATCATGTATATCATTATCTTGTCCTTCAACAGGGTACACTTCCAAGAGAGGCACACTGTGCTCTAGTTCTTCCAGAATCTCATTCACCAAATCCCTTGGAATATTTGCAATGTTAGAAGAAAAGGGCTCAGCAACAGAAACAGTAACTTTGAAACAAGATGATGAACTTTGGCGAGGTTTACAAGTTACCTAAGATAAATGTCATAAAATTGTAATTACGAATGAAAGTAAACTATAAGGATTTTTTTTGTTAATGTGAGTTACTTTAAAACGTTCTTCTTTTAAATGTTATCACTCCTTCAGTAGCTAATATAGAGAATGTAGATCAATATTAAATATCACAATTTTCGAATCCTATACACATTAGTTTTAAGATGCATGACAGCAATTTTTTTAAACTTGAATTGTCAGACTTTGATTTTCTAGAATAGTGATAATTAAAAAAAAATTTCTAGCATTCATTTTGCCATCAAAGTGTCTTCAAAAAAATCTTATCTATAATATATCATTTGTAAAGAAAAGACTATTCAAATAACAAAAGTAGAAAGGACATAATCAAAAAAGTCCTTAAGTTGAATAAACTTAGCTTTAATAAAAAAAATACTACATTTAATTATTTCATTTCAAATAAGTGATAATCTCCAGCATGTGTCTGAAAATCAGTCTTGAGAACCACTGGGTTCACTGAGTTTACTATACTGTTTTACAAATTACTAAATGAACAAAAAATTAAAAATTTATAAAAGTTTGGAAAAGGGTACAAACTATCAGTATATGATGAAGAAGGTCTGTGGTTTTAATGTATAACATTAGTGGGGGCCTCCCTGTTGGAACAGGGCTTAAGGTTTCAGCTCTATCAAGCTATCACCAGCCACTGCAGCATGAGTCCTATCCCCAGCCAGGGAGCTAACCCACATGGTGCAGCAGACCTCTCCTGTCTCGCCTGGGCTCCCCTGAGCAGTGTATTTCAGTAGATCCACCTGTTCTGCTCCCCACTTTGTCTCTAGTGAATTCTCTCACCCCCCACAGCTCTGGCCAGTTCTTATATGCATAAATAAAAGTAAATCTTTTTTAAAAAGTATGACATTAGTGCCTAGAAGGATAACATTGTTTTGCTTAACTGAAATCTGTTGAAGGAATATGAATTTTCTCACAAAAGGTAAACATATGAGGTTGTGTTAATTAACTCAGTAAATGGAGTCCTTTCATAATATGTAAAATGTTGATATATAAGTACATCAAATCATCCCATTGTACACTTTAAGTAACTTATCATTTTGTCAATTATACCTTAATTAATACTTCTAATAATCAGTTGTGAAAATTTTCAGTACACATTCAATAAAATACTTTATTTTTCAGTAGTTTTTCTTTTACTTAAAGCTACTTATATAGCAGTTTTATTCATAATTGCCAAAACTTCCACTGGAAAAATATCAAGATGTCCTTTGTAGGTAATAAACTGATTCATCCAGACAATGGAATTTTTTTAATTGAATTTTATTTTTTTATTTTTATTTTTTATATAAATTTTTTTATTTTTATATTCCCCATACAATTGTGACCCCCTTGTTTTGACCCCAATCCCTCCCCTCCCTGACCCCCACCCCCCATAGTGTCTCTCTGGTTCATAGTTGTTTATTGATTATTTTATTTCTTATAGTTATTCTTTTTCCTGGTCCCTTATTTAAGTTTTCTAGATTCCTGCTATGAGTGAGACCATCTGGTATTTTTCTTTTTCTTTCTGGCTTATTTCGCTGAGCATGATCCCTTCCAGCACCATCCATGTTGCTGCAAATTGCATGTGTTTATCTTTTTTGAATGCTGAGTAATATTCCATGGTGTATATGTACCATTCTGATCCAGTCATCTATTTTGGGGCATTTGGGTTGTTTCCAAAGCTTAGCTATTGTAAACAGTGCTGCTATAAACATAGGGGTGCAGGTGTTCTTTGGAATTGATGTTTCTGTGTCCTTTGGGTAAATACCTAGGAGTGGAATTGCTGGATCATATGGAAGCTCTATGTTTAGTAGGTCCAGAAATCTCCACACAGCTTTCCACAGTGGTTGGACCAGTTTGCACTCCCACCAACAGTGCAGAAGAGTTCCTTTTTCTCCACATCCTCGCCAACATTTGTTGTTGCTAGTTTTTTTAATATGTGCCATTCTCACTGGTGTAAGATGGTATCTCATGGTAGTTTTGATTGGCATTTCCCTGATGACAAGTGATGTTGAACATTTTTTCATATGCCTGTTGGCCATTTGCATTTCGTCTTCAGAGAAGTTTCTTTTTAGCTCTTCTGTCCATTTTTTGACTGGATTATTTTCTTTGTTTTTGTTGAGTCTCATCAGCTCTTTGTAGATTTTTGCTATCAGTCCTTTATCATTAGTGTTGTGTGCAAAAATGTTCTCCCAGTCGGTGGGGTTTCTCTTTGTTTTTGTTATTGTCTCTTTTGCTGTGCAGAAGCTCTTTAATTTGATGTAGTCCCAGCTATTTATCTTTGCCTTCACTATCACTGCTTTGGGTGATGTGTCTGTAAAGATGTCTTTGATGTGCGCATCATGTAGTGTTTTGCCTATATTTCCTTCTATGTATTTTATAGTTTCAGGTCTTATGTCTAGTTCTTTAATCTATTTGGAGTTGGTTTTTGTGTATGGTGTGAGGTAGTAGTCAAGCTTCATTCTTTTGCATGTAGTGACCCAGTTTTCCCAGCACCATTTATTGAACAAACTTTCTTTGCTCCAATGCATATTCTTTGCTCCTTTGTCAAAGATTAGTTGACCATAAATGTGTGGGTTTATTTCTGGATTTTCTATTCGATTCCATTGGTCTGTGTGTCTGTTCTTGTTCCAATACCATGTAGTTTTGATGATTATGGCTTTGTAGTAGAGTTTGAAGTCTGGGAGTGTGATGCCTCCATTCTCTTCTTTTTTTTTTCAGGAGAGCTTTGGCTATTCGGGGTTTTTGGTGATTCCACATGAATTTCATCAATAATTGTTCTATTTCTCTGAAGAATGACATTGAAATTTTTATTGGAATAGCATTGAATCTGTATATTGCTTTTGGTAGAATGGCCATTTTAATAATGTTTATCCTTCCAATCCATGAGCAGGGGATGTCTTTCCATTTCTTTGTGTCTTCTTCTATTTCTTTTAACAGTGTTTTATAGTTTTCTTTGTATAGATCCTTTCCTTTACCTCTTTTGTTAGATTTATTCCCAAGTATTTGATTTTTTTTTGTTTCGATAATAAAAGGGATGTTTTCTTTCATTTCTTCTTCTTCAGATTTATTGTTTGTGTACAGGAAGGCTACTGACTTTTGCGTGTTGATTTTGTATCCTGCCACTTTACTGAACTGATTGATGAGTTGAATTAGTTTTTCTATGGAGTTTTTGGGGTTCTCTATGTATATTATCATATCATCTGCAAATAGTGATAGTTTGACTTCTTCTTTTCCTATTTGGATTCCTTATATATCTTTATCTTGTCTTATTGCTCTGGCTAGGACTTCCAGTATTATATTGAAAAGCAGTGGTGAGAGTGGACATCCTTGTCTTGTTCCAGATCTTAATGGAATTGCTTTCAGCTTTTCACCATTGAGAATGATACTGGCTGTTGGCTTGTCATATATGGCCTTTATGATGTTGAGGTATGTTCCTTGTATCCCAAGAATTTCAATGGCTTTTGTCATGAATGGGTGTTGCACTTTGTCGAAAGCTTTCTCAGCATCTATTGATATTATCATATGGTTTTTATATTTCCTTTTGTTGATGTGTTGGATAACATTGATTGATTTTCGGATGTTGAACCATCCTTGTGGAATGAATCCTACTTGGTCGTGGTGAATTATCTTATGGATACATTGTTGGATTCTGATAGCTAAAATTTTATTGAGGATTTTTGCATCAGTGTTCATTAGGGAGATTGGCCTGTAGTTTTTTTTGTGTTGTCTTTCAGACAATGGAATTTTATCCAGGCCCCAATGGAAATGAGCAATCAAGCCATGGAAATACCTTAAATTTTTATATACTTTAAATGATAGAAAATCTGAAACAGCTACATACTGTATAATTTTAACTATATAACATTCTACAAAAGATGAAACTATAAAGACAATGAAAAGATCAGGGTTGAGAGATTGGGGGGAGGAAGTTGAACATCAGAGCACAGAGCATTTTTAGGGAAGTGAAAATATTCTGTGTGACACTGAATTGATGGATACATGTCAATATACATTTACCCAAATCGGCAGAATATACAGCACTAAGAGTTAACCCTAATGTAAACTATGAACTTTGGGATATAACAGTACATCAATATTCACAGTTCGTGAGGTTGTTATCTCCTTCTAGTTTAATCTGTCTCTCTCTTATTAGGTGTGACAATGAAGAATTTTTCATATTTTTTTGCCTTCTAGAGATCTTCTTTGGTGAACTGTCCATATATGATATGTACTTGTTAATAGGGTTAGTTTTTTTTAATTGTTGCATTGTATGAGATTTTCTATATATCTTGGGTATTAAACTTTTATCAGTTTATATTGTGTAAATACTTTTTCTCCAATTCAGTAGGGTGCCTATTTAATCTTTTATTTTCTTTCACTGTATGGAAGCTTTCTAACTTGAGGTAATCTCAGTTGTTTTTAGTTTTCTTGCTATAGGTGTTGGCAAAAATATCTTTATTGTTGATATCCTAGAATGTATCAGCAATGTTTTCTTCTATGTACTTTATCGTTGTAGGTTTCATTTTATTTTATTTTACCTTTAAGAGTTATTTATTTATTTATACAAGCACTGGGTACAATCAGAAGCACGGGAGGGTGAGAGAATTCACCAGAGCCAGAGCGGAGAGCAGAGCAGGCAGACTGACGAAGTACACTGCTGAGAGGAGCAGTGGGCGGCAAGAGAGGTCTGTGCATCATGTGGGACCCTCGCCCAGTGGTCTGGGATCAAACTAGGGCTGCAGAGGCTGTGTGCAGCTTCGCAACCCAGTGCTCAACCTCTGCACCACAGGGGAGACCCTATCGTAGGTTTTAAATCTAAATCTTTAATCCATTTGGAATTAATTTCTGTGTATGGTGTTAGTGAGTAATCCAACTTCATTCTTTTAAATGTGGCCTTTCAATTTTCCCAGCACTATTTATTAAAGAGACTATCTTTTCCCATCTTGTGGTCATGCATGTTTTATCAAAGATTAGGTACTGGGGGCCTCCCCGGTGGCACAGCAGTTGAGCGCTGGGTTGCGAACCTGCCCGCGGCCTCTGCGGCGCTGGTTCGATCCCCGGCTTCTCCCCAGCCACTGGAGGAGGGTCCCACATGGCGTGCAGACCTCTCCTGCCACCCGCTGCTCCCCTCAGCAATGTACTTTGGTCCTTCTGCCTGCTCTGCTCCCCATTCTGGCTCTGGTGAATTCCCTCACCCTCCCGCGCTTCTGACTGTACCCAGTGCATGTATAAACAAAACAAACAAACAAATAAATAAACATGCCTCTATAAAATAAAAAAATAAATAAAAATAAAAAAATAAAAAAAGATTAGGTACTGGTATATGCATGGATATATTTCTGGAATTTTCATTCTATTCCAATGGTTTATGTATATATTTTTATGCTAATACCATACTGTTTTAATACTGTTGCTTTATAGTAAGGTTTCAAATTGGTAAGGCAACTTTAGACTTTTAAGGTTACTTTTGCAATTTGAGTACTTTTGTGTTTCCATGTAAATTTCAAGTTTCTGATCAGTTTTTTTGAAAAATATTGACAGGATTTTGATGGGGATCACATTGAATTTGTGTATCATTTTAGGCAAGATATTCATTTTGATTATATTAATTCTTCCCATCCATGAGCATGGGATATCCTTCCATCGCCTTATGTTGCTATGAAAATAGGTCAATAAATATTATCAGATGCTATTAATTCCATTTAATAATATCTGTTTATAGGTAAGTGAGTGCTAATATCCCCTTATCTTCTGTTTACACTATTAATTTGTAAACATAACAAGAGGAAAAATTTTGACAATCTCTAATTAAGTATCAAAGCCCTAAATTATTAATATAGTCATAATTTGGTCTGCAAAGAATATATAACTTAAGAACAAAGATAAGGTAAAAATTATTTACCTCAACCAGTATACCAACAAAAGGGATAGAAGCTTCTTCATATTTCACAAAGAATAACTCAGGGTTAGTCTTCCAGACACCAAGCCATTTGTCTTTCAACTTTAATTTTTCTGATAGGTATTTACTCATAGCTTCATCAGCATCTTCTGCCTAACAAAACAAAAAATACATGTATGTATAAATATACAAAATTACAGATTTACAACTGATTTCTACTTAAATGTGGAACCAATATACCTTTAAATAATGGAATATAGTACTTTAACTGGATCTATATTTAACAAAAATATCATAAACAATAAAAAAATTAAAAGAGATCCATTTCTTCAGTACATTAATTCAGAGATGAGGCTCTATTTGTCTTAAGTAATTTGTTTTATTAATCCATTGAGCATTCTTTTTTTTTAAAAAAAGATTTATTAATGCATACAAGAGCTGGGACATAGACCAGAGGTGTGGGAGGAGAGAGGATTCACCAGAGACAGAGTGGGGAGCAGAACAGGCGGATCTACTGAAATACACCACTGAGGGGAGCAGTGGGTAAACAGGAGATGCCTGCTGTGCCATGTGGGTTAGCTCCCTGGCCGTGGATCAAACTCGTGCTGCAGTGGCTGGCGACATTTTGATAGTGCTGAGACTTATCCCCTTGTGCCACCAGGGAAGTCCGAGCATTCTTTTTCTGAACATATAGATATAATGACCTACTTAAGATGCATTCAAACATAAAGATTTAAAATTGCATTACATTCTATAAAACAAATGAATATACTAGGTATTCATAAATATTTGTCCATTTGACTTAAATTTAAACTCAACTATCTCAAGGATGATAATCAGCTATAATGAAATTCAGTAACTAGGCTCTTTTTGATTAATGATACAGTAATTTATATAAATGTTTTTCAACTGCTTTTAAGCAACTTAGTCTTCTCCAGTCCTCAATACCAGATATAATTTGTTTACTAACACTACCCTAGCTTTATGGTAATAATGTTTCAAAAAATATTCTTCTGATTATATGGTTCACTTACAGAAAATCTGGAAAACACACAAAAAAATAAGGAAAACAAAAAGCACTCCTAACCCTGGCAACCAGAATTAGATATAACAGATATCTAACGCCTTGTTGATATTTTCATGTATTTCCTTCTGGTCTTTTTTCTATGCATCTAATTATTCATATATCACTCATGTTTTGTCTCCTGATTTTTTTACTTAAAATTACAGTGTATCTACAGTTCTTAAAAACATGATTTTACAGCTGCAGCATTTACCAGCATCTGAAGGCACCATAAATTCTTCACCACCTCTAGAGATGGAAATTTAGTTTCTAATTTTAATTTTTGTAAATATCACTGCAATGAAAATCTTTATACACTAAATCTCCAGCTATGACCTTTTAAAAAACAAAATATGTTGAAACATACATCAGTCCACATCCTAGACTGATAGCAGGGAATCATTCTTAAAGTGTTGCCATTTTTCGTATTATGTGTAAAAGAAATCTTATCTTTAAGTTTGGCCCAATTTGTTATGTGAAAGTACTAAGATGTATACCTGGGAAATGATAGGACCTAGCTACATCTTTTTTGGCTCTTGGAAAACCAGAAAACACTATTACAATCGTCTCTTTTTTTTTTAAGATTTGTTTATTTATGCATACAAGAGCTGGGTACAGGCCAGAGACGCAGGGGGTGACAGGATCCACCAGAGACAGAGTGGGGAACGGAACAGGCAGACTGACTGAAATACACTGCTGAGGGTAGCAGTGGGCGAGACATGAGAGGTCTGCTGCGCCATGTGGGTAGCTCCTTGGCAGGCCGGGGCTCGAACGCCTGCTGCAGAGGCTGCAGATTGCTTCCTGGTGCGGTGCTTAACCCCTTGCGCCACCAGGGAGGCCCCACAGTCAGCTCTTTAACTGAAGAATCTCTGACAGATAATATAACGCTTTGAGGTCTGGGCCTGGGCACCTCTTATAGGGGAAGCGCCGTCCACGTGGATCTTGATAGACAGGTTTTCTTGGCGCCCTCTGTACCCCCATCACCCTCAGAAGAAAGCCCCCCTCTACCCCTAGGGGCGTCTCTTCCCTGGGCCAGGCTCCGGCACCTCGTCTCCCTCGCCTCACCTTACAGCCCTGCAGCACCTCGTCACAGTACAGAGCCACCTTCTCGTCCCGCCACATCCCCCTCATGGGGGACACGCAGACCGGGGGCAATGGCTGCGCCTCCTCTTCATCCTCCTCGGGCACTGTGAGGAGGGGTCCCTCCTCCTCCTCCTCCTCAGCTCCCTCTCCCGGGTTCTCGGCCTGAGAGTCCGGCAGGAGCTGCAGCCGCCGCCGGGCGGCCTCCCGGCCCGCCTTCCCCTTCACCTTCACGGGGCGAGGGGAGGCCACCACCGACCTCACCGGGGACGCGCAGCCCTTGAGGGTGCCCGCGACCGCGGAGTCCCCGGTGGGCGCCAAGCCAGCCTTCTCGCCTCGCCTGCTGGGGCTGCCGGTTCGGACTGAGCCCTCAGGCACCGTGGCCCCGGGCCCCGACGCCATCTCCACGGCCTCCCGAGGCTCAAGTGCGGCCGTTAGCACTTTTCCCGCCCTGAGGTGCGCTGGCCAGTGGGCGAGCCGGGGGCGGCTCGCGGGTGCTGCCGGGGGCGGGGTGCGCGGGAGGGGTTGGGGAGCGGAGCTGGTTGGCCGAGGGAGTGTGGGGGTGCGTCCGCGTGGAGCTGTGGTTGGGTGCGGCTCCCTGCGGGATGGGGGTGGGGGCCCGCGCAAGGTGTGGGGGGCGGGGGAGGGGCCTCAGCTGAAGGTGGGCATGAAGAGGGGTGTGCCCCGAGTTCTGTTCCGAGCCGTGCCCGCAATAGGGCGTAGCCACGCCGGTCACTCTTCCTGGCCCCACCCCGCAACCCTTTCTACCATCCAGCCACCAAATTGTCTCCCCCAGGCGGGTTTCCTTAGCGTCCTCATGCGTTTTCAGGGTGATCGCGAGTTCCCACAAGGTCTTTATGACCTAACAAATGTGCCACCTACCTCTCCACGCACACAGCTTGAACGAATTTGTCTTTTATTCTGAGGCCACAGTAACTGGAACCCTGATCTCTAGAGGAAACTAATGACAAACCCAGCGACCTAGTTTCCTCCCACCCTACTCACATGGTTCCCAAAACATTTCCTTTACTTTTTTTTTTTAAGATTTATTTTTTTCTTGTGTTTTTTTTAATTTCATATGTTTTTTACATCATTTTTCATTTTCGCACAATGTATGCATTTTCATCTTGGTTATATTCCCCATACACTTCCCACCCCCCTTATTTTGACCCCAATCCCTTCTCCCTTCCTCCCCCCCCCACACCCATAGTGTGTCTCTGGTTTATAGTTGCTTGTTGATTTTGATTTTTACTTTATTATAATTAGTCTTTTTCCTGGTCCCTTATTTAGGTTTTCTAGATTCCTGTTATGAGTGAGACCATCCGGTATTTTTCTTTTTCTTTCTGGCTTATTTCGCTGAGCATGATCCCTTCCAGCGCCATCCGTGTTGCTGCAAATTGCATGAGTTTATCTTTTTGGATTGCTGAGTAATAATCCATTGCGTATACATACCACATCTTCTTGATCCAGTCGCCATACCAACCTGAACGGGCCAGATCTTGTCTTCTTTACATTTTCAATAGGACGTTTTCTCCCAAGAAGGATAGGTTAGTCTGTTTTTATGTCTGTTGTGGTACTCAAAAATTCTCACACAAAAGCTATTATTAGGTAACTATAAAAGAGTGAGACTTCCAGCTGTAAGTAATGTGTGCAAATTCTGGACATTCGCACAATAGAAGTCTGTTTACTTAATACATTTTGAGAAGAAGAAAGCCCATCCATTTCTGTTATTTTACCATTGAATGTGCATTGAACGGATCACAGTAAGTTTTGTTTAAAGTGTTGGGTGAAGTACCACACAGGGGTGGACAGGCCCTATGGAGAACAATGCTAGGAAAATACTTGCCTTCACACTCATCGGGAAGGGCATTTATATTCGGTTACATTTGCATTTTATCTTGAGGGAAATATTAGGATTCATATCGTGTTACTATCATTCAAGAGGCAATTACAACACTCATCCTATATTGACTGTTTATTCCTTTTGTCAGGAGTCTTAGATTTTGCTTTAAAAGGATACTTAATTTTACTCAATTAAAGTAAAATCTCTAGCGTTCTTTCAAAATTGTTTTAAGGGCCTCCCTGGTGGCCTAGGGGTTAAGTCTCAATACCATGGCCACTATGGCCTGAGTTCTATCCCCTCTTTCAAATGAGAGGGCATGGGGTTCTGTGCCTTTCCCTATGTCTCACTCTACTCAGCTCTTCCATCTGGCTGTTCCTGAGTTATATACTTTGTAATAAATCAGTGATCCAGTGAATAAGTGGTTTCTGAGTTCCTGAGTTCTGTGAGTTGCTCTAGCAAATGAGCTGGACCTGGGGAGGATTGTAGGAACAATGATTTATATGAGTAGGTGTGGTCAGAGCACAGATAGTAGCACCCTGTACTTTTGGCTAGCACCTAAGTCTGAGAAGGGGGCCAGAGGAACTTTCTGGATGGTGACTGGTGTCTGAGGGGAGGGCGATCTTGGGAGAGTAAATCCTTCTGCCATCTCCAGGTAGACAGTGGCAGAATTGAGCAGAATTAAGTTGGATTCTTGGATATCCTGCTGATGACTGAGAATTGCTTGTTGGTTTGGGGAAGCCTCCCACATCTACTCCCATTGGAAATGTGTCCAAGAACCTTATACGTTTCCTTACCGACAGCCCATCTCTTCTATCTTATATAATATCGGTCTCCTTTGCTGTAACTGCTAGCTTTCTGCATTAGAGTATTTTACCCCAAACCTGTTCCTGGAGGACTCTTAACCTCTTAGTTTCTCTAGCACTCTGGTTTAGAGGAGAAGTTAGGGTCTAATAGGAGGGGAAGTTTGGAGAAATCTCCGTGGTGCCTATTGAAACAGCTGGACTTATCCAGCTGAAGCAAGTACATCTGACCCACTCTGCTGGTGTCTTCACTGAGAACCCAACAGCCAGTAGGTCTTTCCCTTCCCTGCTCTTTTCCCTTGTTAGACACTTGAATTCAAATGTATTAGCAGTCCTTACTCTGCAAGGTTAAACCTCAACTAGAAGGATCTCTCCTCCCCTACAAGTGCCCTAGGCGAGCATTAGACGCATAAATTCAGGAATATCCCAAATGACAGCAAATTCAAATTCATAGCCATAATAAGGACACACACAGATCTAACATAAGACTCTCTCACCGGAACACACATGCCCTCAATCTTGCACAGGTACTGCTCTCACACACACACAGATCTGCACAACAGACACATACTTACCAGGTAACAAAAATAAACAAATGCAGAGAGACATACACAGTGAAGGGCACAGATGCCCAGAGGTGGCTGCACAGCTGTAAACTCCTGTCCACCATTGGCAGATGCAGAAACACACACCTACGTTGATTCATGCGGATTTCCACAAGCACACAATGCACGTGCTGGCGGCCTCCCATAGCCACAGGAAAACAGACAGACTTGGCCATTCAGTGGGGGTCACTACAGGCAGACCCAGTTATCCCTCTTCCAGTCAGGTTGCCTTCCACCCCTTCTGTTTCTGGTCTCTCCTTCTGTAACTGTGAGAGGAGCTGTGAGAAGCAACCTCTGACTCCAGCCCTGAGTGTGGCCAATGGTGAAAAGAGCTTTTGGTGCTTAGACTTCTTGGACGTTTGTTAATTAAGCTGCTAGTTTGAGGGCACTTATGCTGCTGGTGCTTTGGAGAAGTCAAGCTGTAACAGGGTGGTCCCCAGGAAAGGGGGAGGTTCCAGGTTTCCTGCCCCACCCAAAAAGGAGGGTGAAGCTGAGCAGAGAGAGAAGAAGCTGCAGAGGAGACTGAGGAAGGAAGCAGGATGGAGAGCCAGGAGACCTGGAGCCAGGAGACCTGGATGGAGCAGAGAGACACGTAAAGAAAACTGCGCTTGCCTTTTGGTCATGGACTGGCTGACACAGATGCAGGTGAGAGACCCGTGGGGAGGTGACAGTGGTGGTTTTTGTCTTGATTTTGATTTTGCTCTTTTCCTTTCAGACTTGTCTGGTTGTTTCTGACCCTTTTCTGTGGGTCCCCACTTGAAGGTGCTTTAGACCTGTGGCAGGCTTTGGGGCCTTGCTCTGGGCCAATCCCATTTGGATGGACTTTTACCCACTCGGGGACGTGTAACTTTGGGTGCTTGATTTAGAAACTATAGTCTTTGCCTTTCCTGTATTGTTTCCTAATTGTATTAAAGTTCCTTCCCATTAAAGTCTCATGTTTTGTGTTGATGCGATGGATGGCAGAACCCATGTAGAGTAGGCAGGTTTGCGGGGTCTGGGCTGCCCCCTCCCTGCCCTGTAACAAAACTGCTGGGGTTTCAGCAGTTAAACCTCTAGTGAGGAGGGAATGTCTGTGGAGGAACCATCAACTTTAACTTTGACCTTGGTCTCTGCTCAAAGTGTTATAGGACAGGGAGAGGGGCAGCCCAAACCCCGCAAACCTGCCTATTCTAAATGGGTTCTGCCATCCGCCGCATCAACACAAAACATATGACACTTTAATGGGAAGGGACTTTAATAAAAACTAGGAAACAATACAGGTGAGGCAAAGAGTCTAGTTTCTAAATGAAGCACCCAAAGTTACCCATCCCCTCGTGGGTAAAACTCCATCCATATGGGGTCGGCCCAGAGCAAGGCCCCAAAGCCTGCCACAAGTCTAAAGCATCTTCCAGTGGGGACCCACAGCAAAGGGTCACAAACAACCGGACAAGCCCGGAAGGAAAAGAGCAAAATCAACATCCAGATAAAAGCTGCCATTGTCACCTCCCCACGGGTCTCACCCACATTTGTGTCACCCAGTCCACGACCAAAAGACAAGCGCAGTTTCTTCACATGTCTCTAGGCTCCATGCGCCTCCTCCAGGTCTCCTGGCTCCATCTTGCTTCCTTCTTTAGTCTCTTCACCAGCTTCTCCTCTTCCTGCTCAGCTCCACCCTTCCTTGGGTGGGGCAGGAATCTGGAACCTCCCCCTTTCCTGGGGACCACCCTGTTACAAAAGGACTTGATTTGGGGCAGAACAGACGACTTCTGGCCGCTTTCCTTCCTATTAATTCTCTGTCAGCTCTGCCTTTTCACCCCGTGTTAATGAATCCCGTCCGGGTCTTTTCTCTCCTGTGTCTGCTTTTGGGTCATGTCCTGCAGTTTAAGCAGGTGGGTGAGCACCCACCAACTGGTCAGCCCCAGTCCCCCTGGGTTTGCTCTGCTTGATAATCAGGACTGCCTGGCCCTGGGGCTCTGTGAGCAGCAATAGCTCAGGATGTAATTGAGTAGCCTGTTCAGTTTCCCCTTTTGACTTTTTCTTTTTTATTGAAGACATTGACTTAACATTACAACAGTGAGAGAATACTTTGTTAATGATACATTTACATGACAATAAGAAGTGGTGAGGTTTGCAACAAAGATGTGGAGCTGCCTGGACTGACTTGAGCTGTGCGCTGTATTTGAGTCCTGCAGATCAAGCACCTTAGGAAATTCAGTTCAG